TTACTGTTCCTGTTCCTGACATGGGCGCGGAAGAGGATGCCTCCGACTCGTGGGAGGGGGTAGAGGCTGAGGCGGGCGCCGCTGCTTTCCAATCCCAGAACACGTTGCGGTTTTGATCTTGGGCGATGGTTGGCGCTGTCATTTATTATTGCTAGTAGCGGCTTCTTCAAATTCTACTTCTTACGTCAATCAATCCTAGACTTGATGAACCAATACTCCCCGCTCTCACATCTTAAGCGTACCACTCCTCCGCTCAGATTCGTACCATCCAAACCATCACCTACCTACACGCTCACGCATGAATCGCCTCCTGTACATGCGGATACACCTGGATCATGCGGTGGTACAAATCCGGGTGGTCGCGGATCATGACCTCGGGGTCCCAGGCGGTCGCCACAAAGATGGTGTCGATGCCGCTGCTGATCGGGGTGGTGAAGACATTGCAGATCTGCAGGCCGATGAGGAAGGCAAAAGCCACGACGACGGGCGTGAAGCCGCCGCCCGAGTTGTACGCGGGGTTTGTGAATACCATGTACACGTACGCCAGCAGCGCACACGCGTATCCCACAAAGGTCGCCCCCATCCCCAGCACGGGGCCGATCAGGCACTCGTTGATCAACGCGTCGATGCCCCGGTCCTTGATCATCCTGTTGCGGGTAGATATTAGTACCTATTTATGTGTACGGCTGCTTGTTTTGGTACAGAAACAAGGGATGCAACTTACTTCCAGGTGTCCTTGGCTGCGGGGATGTACGCCTTGCCGTAGAGGGCAATGTGCGCAAAGGCGTAGCGGTTGAGGAATTGGACGGCCCAGTCGAGGATACCGATCAGACAGCCGACGACGCAGTACAAGATGGTGGCCAAGATGTCACCCTGTGCCGCCGCCTGCGACTGGGCGACCGATGCCAGCTGCCGCAGGAAGTTGATGATGGCTACGACCAGGCTGCCCAGGCTGATGCTCCCGAAGCTGTACGTTAGCGACCGCCGCAGCGCGCCGCGCGTCACCTTGGTCGGGTAGTTGCGCGAGTTGAAGTACCACGACCCGTAGACCCCCGCGATGGTCGTGTGGATCGTGTTCTTGAGCCACTCGGAGATCCAGTACGCCGCGAACGTGATGAAGACGATCAGCCCGACCACCTTGCCCGACCCGCACCCACCGGCGCCTTGGCGACAGGCCGGATTGTTGGCGCTCGGCTCGTACTTCACGTACACGCTGACGAGGGTGACCGAGTACCATGCCGCAAAGGCGGCTCCCAATAGGCCGCCGATGGCGCTGACCATGTAAACGTGGCCGTGGCGCTTGGCAACGTCCATGGCGGTCTGCAACATGAGCACGCTGAAAGGGATACGCTTGCGCCAGCTGAGGAAAGCGACGACCATGAATATGGAGAACAGCAGGAACACGATGCCACCCGAGTAGTAGCGCCGGCTAAGCATGTAGATGGCCGTCACAAAGCCGAAGACGATGTTGAGAATGCCCGTAAGCCACACGAACTGCTTGGTAAACTTGCGCGCCAGCCACATGTAGGCGTAGCTGAGCACGATGGCGGTGACCAGCACCCAGAGAAAGAGGTAGATGGTATGGGTGGTCAGGCCGAAGGTATTGAGCTGGCCATTGAGGCCGCCCGAGTTTTCACGACGGGTCGCAGCTAGGGGTCATATCTGTTAGGAAGAATTCAGTACAAGAGCGAGAGAGGTACACGATGCTCACCATATCCTTGAATCGAGATGGCCGAGACAACAACGAAGCCGGCGCAGGTGGCCAAGAAGAGGATACCAGCCCACAGATCATTCCATTTCGGTTGCTGGACGGCGAAGACTTCATCATATGACGGCGGTGCTCCCTTAGGGTCCGACTGTGGAGGGGGGTATGAAGGGGGCGCGTAATTGCCGTTCGGTGGAGCGTAGTTGTAGCCCTGCTGCTGCGGCGGAGGAGGCTGCATCTGGTACGTATTGGGTGGAGGAGGGCCTTGCTGATTGTAATAATTCGCGGCTTCGCCGCCGTATTGCGCCATGTTGTCGAACTTGCGACGAGAATGCCTTCCCGCGTCCAATCCCGTCTCAAGTTTCTCTCCCTAGTTTCGATGGAAGATGGAAAGCAGTCGTAGTTGAATCGCCGGAGCGAAACCGCCCTGATCCTTGCGGATCCCAATGGAGGGCCAACCGCCGAAGGTGTGAGATGAGATCTGCTATCGGCGCGGTCGGCGCAGAGGCAGACAACTGTGAACCGTGGCGTATGATGCTGAATATGATAACTATCACGATCTAATAAACGCGTCGAGGAGCTGTTGTTGAGCTCCAAGTTCCATGACGTCAAACCAATAAGTTGCACAAAAGGAGGCACATGAAGGTGCAGGGGGGCCTGGAGCACTATAAATTTTGCAGGCTCTGCAGTGCCGAGCCCGCCTAGGGTTCCTGTTGGCTCCCCAATCGACCCTCTGCACCACATGCTTCCGGCAGTTCGGCACATCCCTGGCGCATCGCCGATCGGATGCATTCCCGAGATTCGATTTCTCCAACCCGAGCTCGTTAAACCCAACCTAAAAAGGGTTTTTCATCTCGCCGTCCTCTCATATTCTGGCAAAGCCCATTCCCTCATCCACTCCGTTTCCAGCACCTCCTTGGCACTGGGCCGATCCTCAGGCCTAAACGCCAGCATCCGCCTCAGCATCGCCAAAAAGACCGCCTTCTCCCTGTCCTCCACGGTCGTCATACCTTTCTTTCGCCGAAGCCCCTGCACCCACTCCTCAAACTTTTGATCAAACGACCACGCCCATCGACCTTCCACCGGCTGGTTGGCGTTGTCGAAGTATTTCGACCTCGCTTCCCACTTCTCCCACCACTCGGCAGGCAAAGGACCCAGCACATCAACCCATTGCGCCGCGACATCGTCATCCGTTGCGAGGAGCACGTCGAACAATGACCGATGGGCGAGCATGGCCCAGATTGTGCACCCTGCGCTCCAAATGTCGGAGGCGAAAGAGAGCGCGTTCTCAGGCTCGAATCGGGCTTCCGGTGGGCGAATTTCGAGCGGCGTGTAGGATTGGAATCGTACTTCGGCGGCCGGCCGGAAGGCGACCCCAAAATCGCTGAGCAAGAGGCTTGCTTCAGAAAGCCCGATTATCTCTGGACTATCCCCGAGCCACACCGGCGGCACGGCCTGGGACGGAACACCCGGCCCAAGAGGCTCGCCGTCCGACCGGACCACCGCTTCAGGTTCGGGTGCTCCGTATTTGCTGTAGAGTTCCCCTTCGGTTAAACCGTCGAGGCTGGAGGGCAGCTGGAGGAGGATGTTACCGAGGTGAAGGTCTACCAATGGCTAGTTAGAACAACTTGCAGGCCTCGGTACAGAGTGGGTATTGTCCATGGTGCTTACCGCCATGAACCAGTCCTTGCTCATGAATGTACGCAACCGCGAGTGCGATCTGAGTGGCAAGCGATCTTGCAACGTTCAGTTGGAACAATGGCCAGCTTGATGCTTCCTTATATTGGAGATGCTACATCTCGCTGGGGCAGAGACAAAGCAGGTGTGGGTGCCATTCGGGCCTTGGATGCTGAAACGGTCCAGAAGGGTCGGAATCAGACTCTTCCCACGAGTCTCTGCCTGTGGTGCGGGATGTGCGTCGCGTAGCCGGGAGAGAATCTCGCCTTCTTGCGGGATCATATCTGCGGTGCACACTTTAACCGCGACGTATCTTGACAATTGCTCGTCTCTGGCGAGCCATATGGTAGAAAACGAGCCGTGTCCGAGTTTGTGAACTACGCGGTAGCGCTCGTGGAAGCGATCCCCGATTTGTAGCGGGTGGTATCCCCCGGGCAAATAATAATCGAGTCTTCCCACACCCTCGATCAGCTGATAGCTGACCCACGAGCTTGAGGCGTTTGAGCTCAGAGGATGCCTCAGAACCAGAGAAGGTGTTCGGTAGCGCTGAAAGAGCCACGGTCTGCCAACGGGATGGCATCTCAGAGATCGAGGAAAGAAAAAGACCATGCTAACAAATCGCTGTTGTTATTGTTGTTGTTGTCGATAGGTATGGAAAGCCGCAATACCTACAGTACCACGGTGAAGGTGGGCAGTATTGTGTGGCGACAAGATATGTTGAAGACAATGCAATCGATCGTCCACTTAACTACCTCATGGGACAAAAAAAAAGAAATTCGGTAAGATGTGATGAAAAAGAAAGACAAAAAGAAGAAGAAAAAGTCATCTGACCTCTACCTTTTCTTCAAATGTCGCCGCTTTGTTGGAGGTTTCTGGTGGGCCCTGTCCGATCTTATGACGAATATCGTGAGATAAACGTGTAGTTCCACATTGTGGGATGTCCACATCTTCAATGCCGAGCCGCGACGTACAAGCGTGGGTTGTCAAGGCACAAGGCAGGTTTGAAGCTCTCAAGCTTCATCCTTTTTTCCCTACCCACTAGAAGTAGGGAGGCAGGATTGGCCGGGTCACAGATCTCGAAGACATTACGAGTAATTTGAGCCTGAATTGCTTCCACAACGATTATACATTGCGTTTTAACTACCTAACCCACATCCTAGATCTCTATTTCGGCCCCGTCTTTCCAGTCGGGATGCAGAACAGCACGAGCCTCTTGCCCTTGGGCCCCTCCTCGCCGTCCTTCCAGTCACCGAGGCCCTTGTCCACCCGGTAGTAGCCACGCCGCTCGAGTTGGATGATATCGTCCTTCTTGAGCTCTGCTGCGGCCCCATCACACCACGCGTCATCCATCGTCTCGGTCACGGGCGTTAGGAACTCGTCCAAGTTGTCCTCCTCCTGCAGGACATCCTTGGTAATAAGGTAGTCAAAATCCCACAGCTCAGCAGGCACCAGTGTCTGACCTTGCGAGGCGAGCCAGGTGACCTTCTTCTCGGTTTTCTTGACGTCGCCCTGGAGGTTCAGCTCGCAGGTGAGGCTCGGGATCGGATCGCCGCCCGAGATCTGGCGGACGAACGCGTTACCCCAAGCCATGAGGGTGATCTCCTCTCCGTCCTTGAAGCTCTTGGCGTCCGCCTGATCTAGCAGGAGCTCCGGGCCGAAGGTAACCTTCTTGGTCCCGACCTCCTTGTTCTTGGGGTGCTTCGGCTTGTCGCTGGAGAAGGGCTCCGCCGGAGCCTCGGCACCAGTCACCGTCACCTTGACGACGTCCTTCTTCAGGATGGCGGTGTGGCGAGGGGCAATCGGGTCGATCTCCTTCTTGTTGCTGGCCCAGAAGTTCGTCCAGTCCATAGTAACCACGTTCCGGCTAGGGCCCTGCTTGAGGATGAAGTCGCGCAGAGCAGGGATAGTCATACCCCGCCTGCGAACACCGCGGATCGTCGGCATGCGCGGGTCGTCCCACCCCCAAACCTTCCCGGTATCAACGAGCTTCGCAAGCTTACGCTTGGATAAGAAGGTCCGAATGAAATTCATCCGCGCAAAGTCCCACATGTAGACTTGACGGAGTTTGAGCGTATCCAAAAACCACTGGTACTGGGGGTTCCGGTCGGTATATTCGGTAGCTCTCAGAGCGTGCGTGACACCCTCGTGGCTGTCGACAACGGGGCATGCAAAATCGTACATGGGGTACATCTTCCACTTAGTGCCAGTACGGTGATGGGGCGTCTCGATGTTGCAGCGATAGATAACGGGGTCGCGCATCGCCTTGTTCGGGTTATCGACCGACAGCTTGGCACGCATGCAGTTCTGGACACCCTCCGCAGAGCCTTGCTTCATCTCTTCAAAGATGCGGAGGTTCTCCTCCACGGTTCGGTCACGCCGCTTCGAAGCGATACCCTTGAAACGCTCATCACGCATCGTCTCTTGGTCGGTATCATCGGCGTAGGCATGTCCCTCCTTGATGAGACGAATGCACATGTCGTAAAGGTAGTCGAAGTAATCCGACGTGTAGGACAGCGAGTCGGGCTTGATCCCCATCAGCGCGAGATCCTCGATAATGGCATCCTGGTACTCTTGCTTTTCCTTGGATGGGTTGGTGTCATCGAGGCGAAGGCGCAATTTCCCGTTATACGCTTGATGGGCGAAGTAGTCGCTGAGAAGGGCGGCCTTGGCGTGTCCAATGTGCAAGTATCCCCTAGAAAGTATCTATTAGCTCAGCCGCTTCCACTCGAGCATGATTCTTGCGGCTCACGAGGGCTCTGGCAAAAATCGCGTCACGACGCCCTGATCGGCATTCTGTAGGGCCAGAGCATAGCTTGCGCCTGCCTTGCTGGCGGCAGCAACTTTGGCCTTCGCAGCGGCATCCTTTGCCTTGACCTCGGCCTGGATCTCGGGGTGGTTCTCCTCGATGAACTGAAACCAACGGGCTAGGTTGGCGAGGCTGCCACGTTTGATGAATGAGACGGCAGCGCGATTTCCGCGGAGAGCGAGCCAGATTTTGGTGTCGATATCGCCGAGGATGTAGCCGTCGAGGTATGTGCGGAGGATTAGGTGCTTGTCGAGTGCTTGCAGCCTCGGCTCGATCTGGCGGAAATCGGCCGTGAGGAGCGCCTCGAGCGGCTTAAGTTCGTCTACCTTCATTATGCGGCTGTGCGGAGTTGCGTAGGGTTGTTGAATATGTTGAAGTGAACGGAACCGTCGCTAGGATAATCTGATCTTGTTGTTGACTCAACAGACAGCTGTTATTGACATCTGCAAAACTTTTGGAGGGGCAGAGGGGCAGAGGGGCAACGCCCAATTCGTGGCGGGGTAGCGTGCCTGTTCCGTCGGGCGGTGAAACCCCACCCCAGCAAAATTATTACCCTCGACGCCAGACCCCTGTCTGCTTTCCGCCTAAGAATTGAGGCTTCTAACCTGCAGCTCGGACCCAACTTTTTTTCGAGAGTTGAATGAGGGTGGTGTTGAACGTCGACGGCGAGTTTATTGTGTCGTTAGCAGCGCGGCAAATGGCTTCCCTCAACCGATGCCTTGCCTCTTTGGCAAGGCTTAGCCTCACAACGCCTGCCAGGCCAACGACAGCCCCGTTAATACCGAAATTCCTCCTCCCGACGACGACAGTTCCCTTGGTTCGATATGCATCCGGTGGAGGAGGAGGCATGCGCAAGCGCCCTCCAAAGAAGAAGAAGACATACAAAACTTTCCGGTCGTACGACCTGTCTCCGATGGAGCAGTTTTCCCTCTGCGATGCTATGCGGTATGCTCATGTTTTGAACTCCCCCCCAGGCGTCGTCCCTCTAACGTTTTGTCTAGCTACCTCCGCGCCTTCGAAGTCGGCCGGCCGCCCGCTGTTATTAAATACGAGCTTCATATCAAGCTTAAAACACACAAAAGCGGCCCCGTTATTCGGAACCGAATTCGTCTTCCTTTCCCTGTCAAAACCGACACGCGCATCGGCGTTATCTGTCCCGAGGACAGCCCCTTGATGACCGAGGCGCAGCAGCTTGGTGCCGTAGCAGTGGGAGAGGAAAGCCTTTTTGAGAGCATCCGGCAAGGCAACATTCCATTCAACAAGCTTATCTGCCACGAGGACAGCCAAGACGCATTGAAGAAAGCCAACCTCGGCAAAATCCTCGGTCCCAGGGGTCTGATGCCCAGCCAAAAGACCAAGACTATTACGACCGACCTCAAGTCTACAGTTCAGGAACTCATAGGCGCGGACGAGTACAGGGAACGCAGCGGTGTGGTGAGGTTGGCAGTGGGCCAGATGGGATTTACCCCCCAAATGCTGTCCGATAACATCAAGGCGCTCCTGTCCCTGTTGAAGGCGGACATCAACGATGTGGATGACAGCTACACAAAGGCACTTGACGAGGTTGTACTCAGCTCCACTAACGGCCCAGGTTTCAGCCTGAACGGCACGTTCAAGTCGGACGACGAGGGCGTAAAGCCGGAGGACCTGCAGTCCGTGATGTAACCTTTTTGTATCATAGATGTATGTCGTGTACCATTATTTCATGAAGCAAACCGCGTCGCGCGGTTGGGTATCTAACGCGAATTGGGAGTGCGGCGCTGGGTCATTATTTCCCCTTCAAGACCTCCACCGCGTCGTCTTGAGCGTCCAGGATCCTGTATATCCCCAAAAACTTCAATATGCGCCCTTGACACTGCGGGCCGGCTTTGCGGGCTTCCCTCAATGCTGTGCTCAGGTCGAGCAGGATTGTATTCCGGCAGCGGGCCATCCTCTCCTCCATCTTCCTCACAAACGGCAGATCCCGGCCGATGGATTCTGCAATCTGCTCTGCAAAAACGTACTCCTTCGCCAATGCCGTCAACTTGGCCGGGCTGCTGCTGACAAGCTCGACCCCGTCCTCCTCCTCGTCCTCCTCCTCACTCCCTGCAGAATCAAAATCATCCCCCCAATCCCCGCCCTCCTCCTCGCCACCACCCCCCTTCTTCCCTCCCTCCCCAGCACTCCCAATAGCCAACCTCCTCTCCAACCCCGCCACTCTCTCATCCAACTCCAACATCCGCCTCCCACACTCAACCGCCGTCTTCACCCCCGCCACCTCGGCATTCACCCTCCCCACCTCCACCCTCCGCTCGCGCACCCTCCCCTGGATCTCCTCGACGGCGCGCCGAAACCCCAGCAACGCGACGCGCACGTCGCCCACCCGGTCCTCCCCGCCCTTCAGCCCATCCCCCAGCCCCAAAAACGCCGTGTAGTTCGCGTTGACCAGCTCCAGCAGCTCGGCGCTGATGGCGGCGCTGCGCTCGCGCAGCTCGGCACGCAGGTCCTCCAGCGTCTGGTGTCGTGATGCGGGCCCCCCCGTGTGTAGGGCCGAGAGGTAGGCGGCCGCGTCAAAGTCGGGCGCGAGGAAGTCGGCGCGGGACAGCGCGGCGGGGAAGGGGAGTGGGAGGTCGGAGTCGGCGTCGGAGTTGGAGTCGGAGTCGGAGGGGGGGTTTGGATTGGTGGGGGAGCGCGGGAGGGTGTAGCTTTGTGAGGGGGTGTAGGAGTAGGCAGAGGTTGGTCGGGAGTTGGGGGATGGGGGGGCGAGTTGCGCCATGGTTGGTTTGGTTTGTGCGGTTGGGCGGAGGCGGATGAGGTTGGTTTGGTGATTGTGGCTCGGATCGGCGGCCACGAGAGGTTTGGGTTGTCAGCCACGCTTGGGCTTTGGTGTGGTAGCTGTGTTATGTCTCTTTTTACGTAGGTTGGCAAATGTTCGACATTTGCAGAGGAGCACTGGAGCACAAGATGCTTGGCAACATGTGGTCCGTGCTTGTTGAAGGACATGCAGCATCATTGTGTACGGAATAATATTACTGTTTAAGCATCCAAACCAAGCTCTATGTATTCGACTCGTTATTTTCGTTAGATTCAGACAACAATAATGGTTTTGTCTTCAACGTCCAAACCTCGACTCGCACTTGGTCCTCGGCTCGGCCACAGTCGCGACTGTACCGCCGCCGGATATCGACGGTATTCGGATACAAGTCCCACCAGGAGAGTGAAGTTGTAATATTCGTAAAACATTTTGCGCACCTCCGACATCGCTTGAAGCTTGCGAGGGCTCGGTAAGTTATCAGCGTCGCAGCCTGTTCCCAAAGCCACTCCATCCATAACCGAGCCATTCTGTCCCATGCTACCCCGACGGGCTGTTCTCCGGGACCGGGACTTCGGAAGACTGAGCAGTGCAGTGGTCTGACGCATGCATCGGGTGCATGAATCGCCGTTTCCCTCACCGGCACCAAACCGCTTTCGGAGTAGTGCCTGAAAATTATCTTATCAATCAATCAGTGGTTCGATCAGCATCTCCATCCCTCCCTTGCCGAATCACAACGCTCCACTGCCTTGCGCTTTCGCGGCACTTCCGGCCTTGTTGCCCGGAATATCCCTTGTCGCCGGTCCTCGGTCAGACCAAGAAGAGGAGTTTTTTCCATTACACGTCAGTTTGGAACAACAACCACAACGTATGAATCATCAGCGCGGCTACACAACAGCGCCTTTCGGTCCTACCATTGGTTTCGCAGTCCTCTTGACGGCACCAGAGATACCCGTCGACGACCCTCGCATCACGCCACAATTATCGAATTCAGTTTCCTGCTCACCAAGACTTTCGCCGCTTCTACAGTCAAGGGTGCGGGGTTACCAAGCATTCTGCAACGTCGTCGACATTCAGGAAACCTGTCCATTCAACCACCATTGGCATCTGGCGTGTGATATTCAGCACCTGGTGTTGCCTTGTATCCGACTGAAGAGCCGCATCGTTGCTCCCGCGTCTATTACAGACTCTGAGCGGCGCATTTGAGACACACGCGGAAAACTTTGCGAGATCAAAATACTCTGCTGTACTTCTGACGAATCCCAATCGGTTCACGGAGACACCCACCAGCATGGCGGCTATGGTCATCACGGACCCGGATCCGGATTTGGTTCCCGGAAACGCGCATGTAGGGTCGTCAAGAGCGCTCTCAATCACTACCACGGTCAACCACGGCTCTTCCAGTGCCGTGGCTAGCCCCGCTTCGGCTGTTTCGCCATCAAACGACTCCACTCCCACATCTTCATGTTCAACAGCACCGCCAATTGCAATCCGGCCCAGTACTTTAACCACTATGCCGTCGGCCACGCCTTCGATGGGATTGAACGGGAGGTCCAAATCGATCGTCATGTCACCCGCTTCCATGTCACAGCCCAAGGCCATGTGCATGACCAGCAAAGAGTGGGTCATACCCCCTCGGCCGAAACCCGGACGCAAGCCTGCCACCGACACCCCGCCAACCAAGCGTAAGGCACAAAACCGGGCAGCTCAGAGGGCATTCCGGGAGCGCAGGGCGGCGCGTGTGGGGGAGTTAGAGGAACAGATGGAGGAGGAAAGGCTTATCCACGAACAGACAACTCGAGAGTTGCAGGATCGGATCAGCCATTTAGAGACCGAAACGCAGACGCTCCGGTCAAGATGCCAGTGGCTGGAGTCAATGCTAGAGAAGTCCCGCCAAGGTCGCGGGAGCCTGGCAGGGAATTGGGACGACCAGACAGGTGCTACAAGCAACGATATCTCGGTGTCGGGGCAGATGCAATCACAAGCTGGGCTATCGCACGGCATGCGGCCACTGCAACCAGCACCGTCGAGAAACGTTACAGCACACCCGGGCCCTGTCGCCCAACCGCGGCCTGTGGCTCAGTCGTTTCCTATCTCTCAGATCGTCTCACCGCCAGGCGAAGGAACGCCGGTGGGCCTCACTTGCGGCGGTTGCCAGTCAAGAGGTTCCTGTGCATGCGAGGAGGAAGTTCTACCGACCGCAGATATCCCCATGGGCTGTGGCAGGTGTACCCTGGGCACTAGATGTGAATGCTTGGAAGAGACGTTGGGGATATCAATGGCCGGGAACGACTTGAAGCGGCCACGGCGTCCAAGCGCGCCGCCGTCAACATCACCAGAAGACAAGCGGCAGCGCTCCGATGCTGGCATTATCATGGAGACAGACTTCACGGCCGTATTTGCCTCGCAGGGTAGTAGAGAGCCGGCGCAGTTCATGTTCCCGCCGCCAGCTCAACCACAGCTCCAACCCATGGCTTCAATAGAGCCTAGGGACTCTTGCGGCTTCTGCAAGGATGGAACATACTGCGTCTGTGCAGACTCTATGATGTCGCCCGCCTCTTTACCGGCGCCTGAGAGCGAGATCACCACACACACGCAAACACGTACTCCTCCACCGTCGGATAATGATGTGGCCCCTATTCCCATGGAGGTTACAGCGACAGGGGCTATCAAGCTCCCTGGGCCGCGACCACTACAAGGAAGACAAGCCATTAAACCCACCGCACGAGCTGGCGGGTGCGGCCCCAACGGCCCCGGCACCTGCGCGCAATGCGTCGCCGACCCTAAATCCGGCCTCTTCTGTCGTTCTCTCGCAGCGAACTTCGAAAAGAACAACCCCGGTGGCAGCGGCGGATGCTGCGGCAACGGCGGCCCAGGCGGGTGCTGCAAATCCGAACCGTCACAATCACAGCCCCAACCAGAGATTACCGCTCCCCTCCCCGCCATGGCGCCGTCCAGAAGACCAACAACCGGCGCCACCACCGCCGCTGCCGGACCCAACGACCTCGGTCTCAGCCTCTCCTGTGCCGACGCCTACAAGACCCTGGCCAGTCACCGGCACTTCGACGAGGCCGCGGACGACATCGGGTCCTGGCTGCCCAAGCTCAAGGCGCTGCCGGTGCCGCGCCCGGGGCCTGTGGGAGGGCGCCGCGGCGGCCGCGATGGGCGCGCACCGATCGAGGTCGAGGCTGCGAGCATTATGAGTGTGCTCAAAGACTTTGATGTGCGGTTCGGCAGGGGGGAGTGATTGGGGTGATTAATTAGTGTGTGATCGTTCGGTGCCGGGGAAGACCCGGGTGGGGGAGGAGGGGAGAGGGCTACAGCCGGGGATGCGCGCGATGTGATCCGGTGCAGGTCGGGGAAGTCATGTGCTCGCCATTTTTAGTTTCTAGGTGAGCGTGAGAGATGAAAAGATGGGTGAAAGGGGGAGGGGCCAAGGGACGGGGGAGTGGCGGGCGGCAAGTTCATGCGGCCGAGTCTGCGGCCGGACTAACAAACTTGCCTGCCCGTCTCCCGCGTCGTTTTTCTCTATCGTTTTCGCCGCGCGTTGTCGAAACCCGTCAGATATCACTTGCATGAGCTAGCGGGACAATGGGCGGGGTGGTCGGTTGGGATTGGACGGCAGTCGTCCGATCTCCGGGTTCGGGGCGGCTATATTTCGACAACGCGCGAGGAGGGATTGCGTGTTATTCTGCATGTACATCGTATAGTATACGTCCGCTTTTCGTCAGCGAAGAAAGGGAAATCCCACATATGGATTAGGGTTTGCCCTGAATATGAGGCCAAATAAAAGCAACAAATGGCGAATACACCTCATATCTACATACTTACCCGCAAGGCTTCTGTGCAATGAATGCATGCACCCTGATTACGAGGTCCTGCATGATGCCAACTACAACAAGCGGAAGCACCCATCCGAAGAGAGAGAAAAAAACGCAAAGCGCACTGCAACGAGCGAACGAGATCTGTACGAACTCGCGGTAAGGCCGGCGGAGGGAAGCGGCATCCAGTGCGTTGGCCGCTTCTCCGGTGGCTGTGGGTCGCGTTGTGACAACGACTTGTGCAACAGGCCGACAGGTTCTGTTGAGTTGCGCTGGGTTTACATGTCATGTGCATCTTTGTGGATACACGGCACCAGCTGAGAGTTTCCCACCGAGTACCTACGGTCGCACATTGGTAGCCCACGGGGCCACGCGTTATATGTCAGCAACTTCAGACCGGGGACGCCTTTGCGAGTGGTTTCCTTCCGGAGTTGCTGTCCCTTCACCATAGGTGAGGCGTTTGAAGAGGGGCGGGGAGAACACCCATGGAGTCGATGATAGGCGCCGGCGCCGGCGGTGGGACGGGAGAGCACCGGGAGCCGGCAGCCAATGAAAAGCAGCAGCCCGCTTGATTCAGAAGCTCGCCATCGGGACCGAGTCCAGGAAGTTGTGGACTGCATCCAACCCTCCAGCCAGGGACTCGGCGGGGGATCGCCTGCAAGATCTCGGCCGTTGCGAATCAAAAAGCTCCCACAGACTTTCGCATGGTTACACAGCACCCTCCCCCCGCCCGTCGAGCTGAACCGATCGAACTAGATGAACCAGATGAACCAGATCATGTTCCCGAGCCTTCCTTGACTTTCTTCTGCCCTGAGCTGACACGGGGGGCATGAGCAATGGCGAGGGCTCGGGACCTCGGTTGGGGAAAAAGAAGCATGGTCCCTGGAACCAAGGCCAGCGGAAACTGTCAGAGATGCGGCGGACTCCTGCCGGCAAGAGGCGAGCGGGAAGAACAAGGCATGGTGGCGGTAGTTGATTGGCGAAGGACGGCTGAGTTGGCATGCCGGATGATGCTGGGGCTCGACGATGCAGGCGGGTTCCGTCCTTGTGGTTTTGGGTCGTGGACGGCGCAGATTGGACGGCTGGCGGCATGCCGGCCGCAAAAAATGGAACCCCCCGGCTAGGCAAAGGCGGGGCGATCTGCAAGGCCAGCGCAGCGGGGCTGTGGTCTGAGAGCGACTTTCGTTGAACAACCACACGCTCACAAAGGACACTACTTGTTGAGCAAAAGACCCTGCCGACGTCTCCTCGACAAAATGAGACGAGACACAGCTAGGGAGGAAAGGCTCGAGCGGGAGGCCAAGGACAATATTTGATGATGGCGCATGGTTGTTTCGGGAAACTGGAGATTGCCACTTTAGGCGCCGTGTAAGGTTGTTCGTTTCCCAGCCCGGCGTGCTGAGTTGGCAGTTTGCAACCGCTTTGGGCCGTCAGCAACTCGGCCATCTACTTCCAGGCTGGTTGAATCTTGCATGGTGGTTGCAGGCAGAGGGTGGCGGGTGGCAGGTGAGTGCCTGAGCATGGCGAGAAAACCCCGAGATTACGGTTGCTACCCAGTTCCCTGAGGCAAGGAAGGGAAAAAAAAAAAAAAAGGTAAACGAGGCATCAAAACGCGTGGTAGAAATCAGGGAAAGGGGGAGCTGAAGCGCGACACCCACGGCTGCGGGTGGCCTGCCTGAGTCACAATTGGAAACCCGAGGTCGTGTCGGGCTTCCATCGGGCCTTCGAAAAGGAAAAGGGGAAGGCGACTGGCGGGGCAACGGTCATCCCCCCAGAAAAAGAAAACCGGGTCACCAGCGAAAAGATTGTGCGAGGAAGCAAATGCGGTGCTGCGGCTCGCCAGCCAGCTCACCAAGTCACCGCTCACCATTTGCCAGGGCTGTGGTTGTGGATTGACAAGAGACCAGACAGGATTGGAGGCACTTGATGCAATTGGAAGCGGGCGTGTGAGAAGACAAGGATTTGGGCGTGGCAGATGAACAGCCCAGTGGCTTGTCCGACCCCGGTCACTAGGGACCCTATCGGGATTAGCGACCCCGTGGCCCAGGCTACTGGCTGGTCGTCCCTTACCCCACGCTTCAAATGGTGGATCTGGGACATCAACAGAGCACCCAAGCCCAGGTATGGAAAGCTGCTGTGCTTGCGAAGCTGCAGGGAAACACACTCCCTCTTTCTTTGCTCCCGTCATCCATCCTGTCGAGGGCCTCAGCGGCAGCCTGCAACGTCATCCCACCGTCCCAACGCCTTCAGCCCTTTCAGACGAACACTTTACAGCCACTGCCGCTACTTTTTCCCGACGAGACAATGACCCCGCGGGACTTCTGAGCCCAATACTTTGGTCGCAAGCCGACCGGAGCCGAAGCTTTCCATAAACACAAACACACCTGCGCGTACCTACCTTAGTTTACTAGTCAACATTCACCCAGACCACTTCACCGGATCACCCACTTACCCGTACATACGCCCATTATTCGTATCCTGCTCTGTCCATCTGTCCAACTTGGGGGAGACAGCACCTTGAATCCGATCTACAACCAAGAACCCACCAACCCACCCATTAGTCCCCGAGTCGAACGGACACTTCTTATAGCTTATGGGCGATCGCAGTCGCCAGCTTGATTCCCCTCATGGGCCCATTATGAGATCCATGCAGCGTTCCCCCCCGCCGCCCGCCGCCATCCACCCCTCGTCGCGTATGTTGGGAGGGAATATCACTAACTCGGAGAGGTCGCAATGCTGACTCGTCTCGTCTGAACCACAGCTCGGTCGGCCCCTGCCACGCGGTCGCCGACCCCTTCGCCGTCCGATAATCATGTCGAGCTTCAACGATCCCGCCGATTGCGATCGAGGAGTCCGTCCCGCCTTGCGAGAGATTCGATGAACGGTTCCGGACGCCGCAACGATGACGCCTCCCGACGCCCTTCCATGCTCCACATCCCGAGTTCGACCTCGACGCGCAGCAAGCCGATTATCGACCAGCCAAGTATCCTGTCCACGGCGGCGGCGGCGCCAAACGATTCCTCGGATAGTCTTGAGAACACCGGATTTGTTCCATCCGTGCCGAGTGACAAGCATGCCAACATGAAGTTCTTGCGGCCGCTGCTGACTGATGTGTCACTGTACACAAACCCTAACCTCGGCCCGGAGAACGAGGGGACAAGCCTGGAGGAACTGGCGCACCTTGTGCGACTGTCCAAGTACCAGGAGCGCAAGCGCGCAAACACGAGGATCCGCCTCCAACGGAGTTTGGTGTCCACGGCCCTTTCCGCCCGGTTGATGAGGTGTGGTGAGATGGCCCATCGCAACCTAGTGGACGGCTTCCGCGGGGATGACAAGAAGACATTTGGTGCCCTTTACAACGCTGTCATTGATGTTCGGAGAAGCTGCGATGAGACCCGCCGGTATGCGCTCCTGGAGCCAGAGATGGACCTCTTGCAGTCGCCAGGCCTCACTTCGTCCGATAGCGTGGACACCCCGACCGGATCTGTCACCGGCTCAACCGCGTCCCCAAACGCTGTGACGCCGTTTTTAAACGAGATTTCTGCCTCGTCCCGAGAGACTTTTCTGAACTTTCTAAACCAGATCAGGACTAACCCAGACTATCTGGCCACGCGCATCGCGTCCCTCAAGAACTCGGAACTTACCGCTCTCACCAGCTTCCATCAGACTCTTGAACCCATCGAATCCGTTCTCCCTTACCACGGCCGGTCATCAGGGCGCTCCGTCTCGGGTAGTTCCACGTTTCCCGGATCTGGCGGAGCTGGAGGAGCAGGCAAGGAACGCAGCGCTATCGAGCGCCTGTTGTCTTTCCAACGCCACGATCCCATTTCGGCTCTCATCTACACCTGCTTTGCTAATTCCGCAGGCCCAGACAGCGCTGAGGACAAACGCCGGACCGTCACCTGGGCCAACGCCTGCGCGCGCCTGATCTCTACTCAGACAACTGGCAGCGAACAAACCGTTATTTCGGTCTTAAATGTCTGGGTGTCGATGCGCGACTGGGCCGGAAAGTCTAACATGGAATGGTACCTGATGAAAATCCTAGAGGATGGAGCTTTCCTGCTTGATCGTGCAGAGGACCAGCATGGGACCCGCATTAACCTTTCGAATTGGTCGTCCAAGGACCAGATTGCCGCCGAGGAGTTCTACACCAAAGCGGTTGATGAGCTGTTCGAGGTCATCGACGATGAGGACGCCACGGGCATCCCGGAAGGCTTACTAGAGCTAGGAAATGAACTCCTCAAACGTCTGGATAGGAGGTACTCCGAAAGCACCCGTCGGTGGCTTATCGCAAAGTATATGTTTACAGTTTGGTTGCTTGGCGTCGTCATCCACCCGGAGGCGTATGGCATGATGGCCGATTATCACATCACCGAATACGGCCGCCAAAAGATTCTCAAGACCGTGGCCATGCACGCCCAGAAATACGTCGTGGACATGCTGCAGAGCATGACCCCGGTGTCTACGCCGCCCAAGGTCAAAGGCCACATTGAGAGCATATACAGCCGCTTCAAGGACCCGTCCAAGTTTCGGAAGAAGCCCAGGCTCTTGCCCGCACGGTCTATTACGTCCCTTCGGGAGACTGCCGAGGTCCGGCCTTACTTGGTCATCAGCCCAGCGGATCTTGCGACAGTGGTCAACGCCCTTTTCCCGGAACGCAGGCCACGGTCGGCACGCTCAAGCAGCTTGCGGTCTGGAGCACCATCGATTTCCGGATTTTCTGCCATCTCGCAACCCATGTCCATCAGGACGGCACCGAGCACATTTGATACCATGTCCGTCCTCAGCACCAGCGCAGAGTCGTCCTTCAGCGATGCCACCACCTCCCGAGAGCCCCTTGGGGATGAAGAGAGCCCACGCCGTCATTCCCCTTCTGCGCAGGAGCCCGTTGCCCAGAAGCCGGAGAATTACGAGGATGACGGTTACCGACTGCGTCTGGCCATGCACGAAATGACACAAATCTTGGGCCAGGATGTCGTGTACGGATTATGCCACCCTTGCGCCGAGCGCTGGTCCGTGTTGTTCATATCGGCCGATGGGAATAAACTGTCCACCCATATGACCTTTGATCCGGACGATGATGTGGAAGATGAGCAGAACTCCTCCAGTACGAGTGATACGGAAGGCGAGGAAACCGACGACGGACGCCCTGAACTCAACAAAGACTACCACCAGCTGCGCGACTCCATCCTCAAACTGGTCCAGGATTACGAAATCCCTCAGGGCTTGGAAAGCGATGGAGCTAAACAGCAAACCTTTAGCAACCGGGCCTCAACTCTCAAGAAGTACCGAAACAAAAACCGCATTATCACGACTATGGGAAGCCGGAATCCTTATCGCCAGAGGGCCGCAAGCATCGCGAGCAGCCTCGCTGAGAGCCCTCCAAAAAGTGCCAAGGGGAAGGAGGCCGACCAAGAGAACTCATCCCCGCTCGTCACCATGTTGACCGCCGCCTGCTCGCAGTCTCGGGCGCAATCTGACTTCGTCAGCGCACACATTTACTGGAGGACGCTGCAACAACTCAATGCTTTGTCGTCCGATTCACTACGACGCGAGGGCTTTTCGGCGCTTCTCAATATCTTCTCCCGTGGCCCGCGAGATTCAATCCGCCGCTCCGCAGCCGCTATTGAAGAATACGACGCCTGGCTAGTCTGGCTCAAACAAAGCCAAGAGCGAGCAGAAGGGATGATCGAGGGTATGATGCAGCGCCTGCGATCTCTACGCGACAAGATGTGGTACGTAACAGACGTGCGAAACTCAGCGCCATATGAGGACTCGCGGAACGTGGCAGCAGCATTAAAGACGATGGGTGCATCTCGCCGATGGTCGTCCTTCCAGCGCATCAAAACCCAGATGCAAAAGGGCCCCGCATCAAATTACATCTTCCGAACCGAGTCTCAAATTCTCGATATCCTCGCAGCACCCGAAGACCAAGGAGGCCCGAACAAACTTCGCGACGAACAATCAGAGAAGACCAGCCGCTGGCTTCAGCAATCAGGCGTGGAGAACTTCTGTCAAGGCGAAGAGCGCATTCACCGGTTCTGCTGTGAAGTGGAGAATTGCGTGAGCAAACTCGTCGGCGACAGCATTATCGATGGGCCGGTGCTGTGGTCGAGCGAGCTCTTCGCCAGAGACCGACGGGCTTTCGAGTCTAACAACAATACCAACAAGACTGCGCGGGACCGAGATCGCGACAATCAATCTGTATGGGATGACTCCATCAGTGTCATCAGCGATCCTGACCGCAGGTTCGTGTCTGTCAGTCGCCCCGCTTCGATCAATAGTAGGGATATGCGAGCCATGTCCGGTAGCATGAGCCAAGTCTCTTTCGAGTCGAGCCGTTTCGGTTTCTCCCGCGCCAGCACAGCCATGTCCGAGGTCCTGGACGGGCCCGAATATTTTGGTGCATCGTCCCCAGTCCACCAAATCGACCCCAACGCAACCTTCTGGTCACCCTTCCAACACCGGGCTACCTCGCCAAGTGCCGCGTCGCGCGCGCATTCCCCGACCACCAGCCTGACGAACCTCTCAGGCTCATTCCACCCGCCAAATCACCAGCAAATTCCCTCCCAGCCTCAGTCGTCAACCGGGCGCCCAGGTACATCGGCTTCGTCTAATGAGACGGTGTACCAACAACGACAATTCGACGAGAAATCCCGCTTCCTCGCCGACTTGAGGCAGACGCTGACCAGCCTTCTCCTTTCTGACCTAGGTAACCTTGTTTTTGCCCGCGGATCAGAAACGGACGCGTGGTTTGAGGGCCTAGGTCAAGATTGCATCGACCGTCGCGAGGCAATCCAACGGCGGGCGCGTAAAGCGCAGGCCAAGGATAAGCGCAAGTCTGCCAAGTCCAGCCTAAAGCAGAGATTTCTCGAGCAGAACCGAAGTTTCGGTGATGTGCGCGGAACGATCGCTGGCGATGCGCTGAGCGATAAGGCTCTTTCGGATACGCAGAGCCTCGGCCCGGAAGGGGCTGGCGGCAGTCAACGGGGGAGCCAGCGTGGCAGTCAACGCGGCAGCGTACATGGGGGCAGCATCCATGGCAATGAAAGCTCGGCCACAAGCGACACTATCTCGGCCCGGAGACATAACCAAGAGGCAAGAAAGGAAACCATGCCCGACTTCCCTTTCACCAAGGCATACCAGCGGCTTCTTAAGATGTTTTGCGTTCACCCGAACCCTCAAGTTAAACTCAACGCTCTCTGCGAACTCGAACATCTGATTACCGCATCTTTAAATTCCGGGTCCCGGCGGGCCCGGCTGGCGTGGGCACGCTCTGAGCTGGGCTCGGCGTCTTCTGCAACCGACGAGCACGGAAACGGGCCACTGGGAACTAGAGCCCAGCCACTGGAGGAGACAATTGGTAACGTCAAGGAACGCCGCTCCTACACAATGATGCAAGTACCCACATTCGGCTCAGGCGGCCACACACAGGGTGGCCGTGTATCAGGCGGAGCAGGCAACGCTGAGACCCGGTCCATCGCTTCGGTTTACCCAGCCAACACCGACGCGGTCGCCAACATCCTGCAAACGCTTTTCCGCGACCCGTCCCTCCGGCCAAAGACCCTCTTCCGCGACCTGCAATTCATCTCGGCCTTCTGTTCCCCCGCCGTCCTTGACAAAACCGAGCGGGGCAAGTCCTTCTGGGACGCCGGCATCGCCGCTCTCAGCCTCAAACAAGAAGTCTGCCGCACCATGGTCGAGGTAGCCGACGAGATCGTCAAGAACTACACGCTATCCCGCGGCGGCAGCGCCGGTGCCGCCGCCAACAACCGGGCGGGCAGCACGGCCTCCGACTCGGCCGCCGCGACCCCAACCAACGAATTCCCGCCCGCGTCACCACCTCCCTCCCCACCCTCCCCCTTACCGCTCTCTACCCACTCCCTCGCCGACGCCGCGCGCATGTGGACCATCACCGCCAAAGAGGGCGACCCCACCGCGCAGCGCGAGCTCGCCATCTTCTACCTGTCCAACCCGGAACTCGTGCAGCGCACCACTCTGCCCCTGTCCAAGCCCAGCCAGGTGTTCAAGCAGGCCGTCATGGAAAAATACGGCGGCAGCGGCAGCGGCGGAGGGCGCTCTGGGGGCGGCCACCACCATCCCGGTGGCGCGGCTGCGGGCGGGAGTGGTGGTGGTGGCGGCGCGGGGGGGTCGGGGGGTGCGGGTAAGGAGGATGGTGGTGCGGGCGCGGGCAGGCTCGGGGATGTGCGCAGTGATCCGGCGCTGATGTGCGTGGCTATCCATTGGATGGAGGCGGCGGAGAAGGGGGGAGATGAGTTGGCGAGGTCGTTTATGGCGCAGAATGAGATTGGGGCGAGGTTGATGGGGTGAGGGGGTGCGTGGGTGAGTCGGTGTGTGGGTGATGGATATTGGGATTTTTTGCGTATGCTTGTTGGATCATTTTTGTCCGTTTGCTTGTCGATGATACCTGATGCATGTTTTTTTTTTTTTTTTTTTGGCTCTACATGATGGATGTTATGTGTGTTTACGGCTGTCCGCTGATGTCTCTTCATCCTCTATCCCATCATTATGTTGTATGTACATACCCCTTTCCCTCCTTCCCCCCTGGTTGGGATTACATCACTCGGTTTATGCCACCAGCCGAAAGAGTGCCGCCGACCTGGCCCGCGCTTGGCCTGGCTTGCGAGAGCTGTGAGCATTTTCGACCTGGGAATGGCCCGTCTTGGTGGGCTAATTTTGTTGTGTTGCCTCATGGCTCATAGAGTTTGGTTTTTGTCAGGATACCTCTAGACGATACCACCACGTTTCATTGATGCCACATTTTGCCCAAGAACATGCAGGTTGCAAGCCGTCTCGCTCTTCTCGTCGTTTGCATTCTTGAGATAGGAAATAACTAGGGGCTTTGTTATAAACCACACACGCTAATGATGGAAGCACAATTTCACTAATCATGGTCGGGACGATCTTCCGGGATCGCTCGTCAATCAACTCGGACGGCTCCCAAAGCTGGGTAAGCAAGGCCAGTCAGTGTTGAGGCATGTAGAGGTTAAAGGAGCAGGTAAAACGTGTCCAGAAATTCATTACGCGACAAATTTTACGGTTGATCAATGTTTTACGGAATGCAACCAGATTCTCCATCTCCATGTCGCTACTAAAGCAGCGATCACAGCGAAAAAGAGTGGTTTGTTTGACATCAAAAATTCCGACCGGAACGGCCCCGAAGGACAATTCAGAATGACTGGCTCCGCGATGTGCAATGCAGGCCTATCACACTGGTACCCCTGCTTCATGATCCAGGTGTACCCAATCAAGGTAAGTATGAAGAAGAAAAAGAGAAGAGACTAAGTTTGGGGAGCAGAGGGGAGATTAAATAGTCAGATGTGGCTGGTCTGTGCACGCCTGCAATTTTTCGTTTCTGCAGGCGTCCGGAACCCGGAGGTTAATTAGTTCCGTCCCCGAGCGGGAATCCAACCTGAGGCACCAGAGGAACCCCCAGGGCGGTCTGCATGCTTCGGACGGCAAAAAATGTGCCCCGCATTTGAGTCATCTCTGTGCGGCAGATTGGCTTGGTGTCGGGCTGGGCCGTGCCAAAAGTTCAGGAACCCGAATAATCGACTTGGTGTTGAGAAGCTTGTCCAGGAGCTACACCATCCAATTCGGGTCAAAGGTGCTTGATTCCTGAAAAGCGACCAATTACTCCAAGATGCCGACCATTAACGTCGACAAGTACGCCCTCTTCGAGGCGCTTGGCGAGCAGTAAGAACGATTACCCCGCCATGGTGCATCCCACTCTGCGATAGCCCGAGTCTGATCCAACGGTGTGTTGCAGGTTCCCAGGGGATAGCTTCCAAAAGCTCTGCTTCGATTTCGGCATTGAGCTGGACGGAGATACTGAAGATGATCCGTCACGCCCTAAGGATCAAGCCCCTGAGCTGGCCATCGAGATCCCCGCCAACCGATATGATATGCTGTGCTTCGAGGGTAGGATAGCCACGGCGCGGTGGACTTGGGAGAGAAGACACTAAAAGTCCTGATCAATAGGCATTGTGACAAACCTTAACATCTTCCGGGGCAAGCACGCGACACCGAACTGGAGGCTCGTCGATATTCCCGAGGACAAGATGCAAACTCTCACTATCGCACAAAGTACGGAGCAAGTCCGCCCGTATGCAGCTGCCGCTATCCTTCGCAATATCAAGTTTACAAAAGCTTCCTACGACTCCTTCATCAGTCTGCAGGACAAGCTCCATCAAAACCTAGCGAGGCAACGTACCTTGGTTGCGTGGGTAGCCCCTGGTCGTACTGTCTCGAAGGCGAGCCACTAACCCCGCTCAGAATCGGAACACACGACCTCGACACCATCAAGGGCCCTTTCACATACGAGGGCTTGGCGCCAAAGGACATCAACTTTGTCCCGTTGAACCAAACGAAGCAGATCAACGGGGAGGAACTGATGAGTTTCTACGAGACGGACAGGCACCTTGGCAAATACCTTCATATTCTCCGAGACAAACCCGTCTACCCGGTCATTCTCGATGCCGACAGAAACATCTGCTCGCTACCTCCTATCATCAATAGCGAGCGTTCCAAGATTACGCTTGACACGCAAAACGTCTTCATCGACATGACGGCGACCGACCAAACTAAACTGGACATCGTCTGCAACATCATGGTCACTATGTTCTCCCAGTACTGCGCCGAGCCCTTCACGATCGAACCAGTCAAGGTGATTTCAGACCACAACGGGACTACTCGGGTAACACCCAGCTTAGCTACACGGACGATGGAAGTCGAGGTCGATTATCTGAATCAAGTCTGCGGGCTCAAGGAGTCACCCGAGTCGATAGCCAAGCTTCTGAGCAAGATGGCATTAAGCGCGGAGCCGCTGGAAGACCCGAAGCTGCTTAAGGTCACGGTGCCGCCCACAAGAGCCGACGTTTTGCACTCATGTGATGTGGTATGTTTTCTATTGATTCTGTTTCCTGTTTGCCAGCCTCGCTAACGTTTTTCTAGATGGAAGATGTCGCCATTGCCTACGGGTTCAACGACCTCCCCCGGTCGACTCCCAACAGGTCGGTCACGATTGGCAAGCCGCTGATGATCAACAAGCTCAGTGATATTGTGCGCCATGAGTCCGCCATGGCTGGATGGGCCGAGGTCATGCCCCTTATCCTCTGCTCGCATGAAGAAAACTTCGAATGGCTCAACCGCAAGGACGACGGCACGACGGCAGTTAAGCTCGCTAACCCGAAGACGGTCGAATACCAAATTGCGCGGACGTCGTTGCTTCCCGGACTACTCAAGACCTTGAGCGAAAACAAGGCGATGCGCCTTCCCCTGGAGATCTTCGAAGCATCTGATGTTGTTCTCAAGGACGAGTCGCTTGAGCGCCGGGCGAGGAATGAGCGTCATTGGGCGGCTGCGTACTATGGCAAGACCAGCGGCTTCGAAATCGTGCACGGCCTTCTTGACCGCGTCATGACGATGCTGCGAGTCGCCTTTATCACACACGAGGAGGGCTTGGAAGGCAAGAGCATCGACTTCGAAGTAAAAGAGAACCCGAGCCAGCAGGACGGCTACTTCATCAAAGAAATTGACGAGCCCACCTTCTTCAACGGGCGCGCTGCCGCCATCTACGTGCGGCTCGGAGGGAAGCTTCAGCGGATCGGCGAGTTCGGTGTCTTGCATCCGACGGTTCTGGAAAAGTTCGATCTGAGGTAAATTGTCCCCCTTCCCACATTTCGACGGTACCCGTACTCACCAATCGCAGGTACCCGGTGAGCACGCTCGAGATTAACCTCGAAGTCTTCTTGTGAGACGCACTCGCTACCTTAGATGTAGATCTGGTTGAAATACACTAGCGTGTGACACAAAAATAGAGCAAGGTTGATGCCTCCTGATGACTTGCAGGGAGAGATGTTTCCCAACAACCCAACCCCAGCTCACGACGGCCTATTTAATCTTGATGATGTTAGAAACAAGCCCCTTGGCAACTCGATTCAGTCCTCTCGCGCCAGTTTACGGGGGTTCGTTTGACTCCCATCTCACGTCAGCGCGCGAATCTCATCGCCACCTGCATCCAATCCGCGTCCGATCCCAAACGATCCCAATCGCGGACCAGATCTTTCTCTATGCAGAATCTCGGCGTCCCATCGCAGGAGCGGCGTTGCGGCGCCGCCCGCTCCTGTGAGACGCGAGATGGCTTCTCCCCCGGAAAAGGACCAACGGGGCGGTCCCCTTGGGATGGTCTTAAGCAAGTGCTGACTGTGCACTGGGGCTTCAATTTTCATCCCATCCCCTTGGCGTGGAGAGGTGCTGCCGCAGTCGGATATCATCCGTAGGAGCTTGGGACGAACAGGGAGTGCCGAGTAGAACTGCCCGCTGCGATGCTCCACAGACCCCAGCACCACGAGATTGCATGGGCTTGGTGAATGATGCTTAGTAGAACTTTGAACGTTCAAGCGAGGCAGAATCCATCACCACCCCCTTGTTCAGTGGGACGCATCATCTCATCTGGGAAGCACATGGCAACACTGGGTCAAGGTATGTACTTCGTGCATACCGATTGGCTGGTTACCGTCAGCATACCGCATCAGGGGTGCGAGTTCTCGGACACAGGTCCTTCATTCACCAGATGGATTTTTGCGGTGACTTTGGACGCTAAAATCTCAGTCTCATCGTGCGGCCAAGCCAATGGATGGTCTGGCTCCTCCTGTAATGTGCGCGTATCGCGGACTTGGGGCGGAGTTTATCGGAGACAAGCGTACCGTGAAGATGGTTGTTGTGGAGGGAAGGTAGTCAGCCACGGCTGACAATTTCATGGGCGGGCACGGAGTTAAACGGAGACTTTTCTGGGGTGCAATTTGTGTGTAGCGTCGCGACGCTGAATAACCGACCCAGTCAATTTTGGTACTTCTGCCTTGAGCTTATTTGGCTTGTTTGGGGCTGGTGCGGCTGCAACCGTCGTCCCAGCAGGCCGGCGCGGCGTAACATCCCTGTCGACGACCTCGGGACGACAAAGGAGATTTCCGAGTTTCGATAACCTTCGGTCCCGCGTGGCCACCCTGACGTCTTGATTGGATTGGGATAACGTCAAATTATGGGGAAAGCACCGAAGAAAGGGCGCCCGGCGACATGGCACCCCGACCAAGTGTCGAATGGCTCCGGCATGGATCTTGCTTGGACGCCATAACGGGATCTCAGAAAGTCGCCGAGGGCTCTGGAGCTAGTAGCAGGGCTGAGAAATACATACCGTTTCGGTAACATTTCTTTACCATGGGCGTGTCATGAACGAGAGGGATGATGACACCAGCGCAGCACGCACAGATGCGGCAGGTGCGTCATGGCTCCCAGGCTCCTTCCCATGCTTAGCTCAGCAGTCTTCATGCCCGGCACATCATTGGGTCCGGTCGAAATCTCCTCTCTGCGCCTCGATTCAGATGGTAATAGGCTGCGAGATCGAAACTGCATAAGAACTGCCACCTGCCCTTCCATGCTCCTTTCCGTCGTTTCAACCAACAACGCTCGTCCCAACCCGCTAGCTGGCAAAAGAGAGACAAGGAAGGAAAAGGTCGTTTCATTCCACCCTTGTCACCTTCTCGAAACCACAACCCTAGTGCCATTGGAGTACAGGCCCCTCACCCCGCCTCAACCATGCCATCGCCGACCACAGCAGGACCAGCGTCCTCCGAGGCAACCCTCGCAGGAGACGCCGACAAACCTCGGGCCCCTTCGCCCGCTCCCGGAAACGAAACTGATACGACCCGAGCCCCGTCACCTTCTCCCGGGGACGAAGCTAAAACGGCACGCGCTGCATCGCCGACTCCTGGCGATGAAACTGATAGGACCCGGGCTGCATCGCCGGCGACGCTCGAAAACGAAATGAAGGACCCGGAGGCGGGGGCTGTCAAGGAGAAGCCCGCCGAGGAGGAGGAGGAGATCGAGTACCCCACTGGAGTGGCTTTCACATTCATCGTCGTTGCCTTAGTGCTCAGCGTGTTCCTAGTCTCCCTTGATATGGTATGTTTTCTATCTGCCATATTGTGCCCCTTGATCGCAGAGAGCTGACACAACGCAGACCATTGTGGCGACTGCGATCCCCAGAATTACCGACGAGTTTAAGGGCCTGGAAGATGTCGCGTGGTACGGATCGGCCTTCTTCATGACCGTCGGCGGCTTCCAGTCGACCTGGGGCAAGATTTTCAAGTACTTCCCGCTGAAGATCAGTTTCTTGATTTCCATCTTCATCTTTGAAGTCGGTAGTCTTATCTGCGGCGTTGCCCCCAACTCAACAGCTCTGATCGTCGGACGCGCTATTGCTGGTGTCGGCGCGGCTGGCATTGGTTCTGGGGCTTACACCATCATCGCCTTCACGGCCCCTCCCAAGAAACGCCCCATCTTCACTGGTATCGTCGGTACGGCCTACGGTATTGCGGCCGTCGTCGGGCCCCTGATCGGTGGCGCGTTTGCTGACCATGTTACCTGGCGCTGGTGTTTCTACATCAACCTTCCTATCGGCGGTCTCTCTGGCCTTATCATCCTTTTTTTCTTCTCGGCCCCGAAGGGCGCTAAGCCTGTGGATGCGCCACTCAAGGAGAAGCTTCTCCAAATGGACCCGCTCGGCACGGCGCTCGTCATGGGCGGCGTGATCGCGTATATCCTGGCTCTCCAGTACGGCGGCCAGACGAAGGCGTGGAACGATGCGACCGTCATCGGCCTGATCGTCGGCTTCGTCTTGATTTTCATCGTCTTCGGCATCTGGGAATACTACAATGGCGAGCGGTCCATGGTCGTCCCGCGTCTCTTCGCCTCCCGTCAAGTCTGAGTATCGTCCATCTTCGCCTTCCTCTTCGCGAGCGCCTATTTCATCGTCATCTACTACCTGCCCATCTACTTTCAAAGCATCGATAACTCGAGCCCGACTGAATCAGGCGTGCGCAACCTGCCGCTGATTCTATCCGTCACCGTGGCAACCATCATCTCTGGCGTCGGCATTTCGGCCACAGGCCTCGCCGCCCCGGTCGCCGTGTTCGGCGCCATCCTCGCGACCATTGCGGCCGGTTTGCTCTACACGCTCGACATCGGCACCGAGTCCGGCAAGTGGATCGGCTACCAGATCCTAGGCGGTTTCGGCTGGGGATTGGCCTTCCAGGTGCCCATCGTCATCGGCCAAGCCACAGCCGCACCCGAGGACATCTCGTCTGTGACAGCCATCATCCTCTGTAAGCAACCCTCCCACCTTTCCCCATCGAAACCCCCACTAACCAACCACAGTCTTCCAAACCGTCGGCGGCGCCTTCCTGGTCTCGGCCGCCCAATCCGCCTTTGTCAACCGCATGGTGCAGGAGCTCGCGTCGTCGGCGCCCTCGGTCAACCCGCTCATGGTCCTGGGCACGGGTGCCACGCAGCTGCGCGAGGTGTTCCCCGCCGACGTCGTCCCGGGCGTCCTGGTCGCCTACATGGCCGGCATTAAGACGGCACTGGCCCATCGCGCTGGCCGTCGGTCGGTATTGCATTTTGCGTGAAGCTTGTTCCAGCAATTTCAAGAGGCTGGAATACGCAGACGTTGAAGACGGGCGGGGGCGGCGGCGTAGGTGTGGTTGGTGGGTGGTGGTGGTGGTGGTGGTTAGAGAGGGGTTCGAATTGAGTGTCGACAGGGAAGGGGGTGGTGTTAATGAGGAGGGACATGAGGTCGGGTTTGTTTTCGTTTGTTTCTTTTTTCATGTTACCATGATTAGACGGTGGGGGTGGGCAGGGACATAGACATAGGGGGGAAGGGGGACGGGGGCTGCACGAATACCATGGGCTGCTGGAGGAGATACCCTGCGTGGCGAGAGAGTTCGGGGGGCGAGTTGTTTCTCGGTCTCACTTTGGAAACTAGGAGTTAGTGTATAGAAAGCGTCGGTCTCAACTCATACTTATCGTTTCTCACACAATGCTCAATCCTGCGACTTGTCACAAGGCTTGGGGTAATGTCACTGCAAGGGCCGAGGTTCGACGTATAACTCCGACCGATTCGGTTGGTTGCATTAAGAAACATAGTGCATTAACGGTGTAGATCCGGGTTGGGTGTCTCTCTTTGCGTATTGACGGCGGTAACTGCAACCCAAGGCCTTCGATTGGGGGTGCAAGGCGGATATCCACGAGCCGAAAAGGGTTAGCACACAGCAACGACCTCGCCCTCTCTCTTCGGTTCACAAACCTGAACGGCTTATTTCGTTGCAGCCGTTCCTTTCTTTAAGGCGTAGAGTACCCGCTCTTTTGGAGTAGGGATGGTTGGGTATCGGCTTGAAGGAAGGGGCGGGCTGCGGATGGAGCAGATTATTAGAGGCTCTCACCATGGTTGCCTTCGTCTTGCCTCGTGGACGGTCGATCACTGACCCAATACCTTATCATAATGTCTCAGATATCTGCAGGCTCTCTCTACTGCACGCCGGACCCGAATGTGAGCGTCGTGACACACAGATGCACGATGTCTCGCGTCTCAGCCTCACTGTCTCGTGATGCGCAGTCGGGTCACGCTTTTCAGGCACGTCTTTCCAAATAAGTTTGTGACTCTTGACCTCCCAAGCCCGTGGTTTATGATCTCAGCCGTCATCAAAATGCCGCCTTCCACATTGTTCATCCATCATCATATCACAATGTCGGGCTGGAAACACGCATTTAGTCTGCCGGCCAACGCCGTCAAGAAAGCCATTCCGCCTGGAACAGTTATACTAATTGGTAAGGGTCTCTTTCGTATCCTTGATTGCATGTATTCTCGCGGAAATGTCTTGCCTGTGGCCAACTCCCAGCACAAACGCGTCGAACGAGTCGTCGCGTACTGCCAAAGGTCTACCCTTCCAACATCACCGCCACATCCTCGGAGTAGAGTCGTTTCATGCAATGCATTCTCCTATTGTAAGAGTTCATCAAGTGATGAGTAGATGGATTTGCAGCCGTTACCTGGCTGCAGCCATTAATTGACGGCGGGAAGCGCGTCTCGGACTCTGGTGCATCTCAGTCGGCCGTGCTACCTACCATCCTTGCAGCCACCTAGCCTCGCCGTTGCTTGTTTCAAGTCCCATGACAAAGTAGGCCGGTGTTCGCCAATACTAACATTTATTCTAGAGCATGATTCCGAAAAATTAGCCGGAAAGCAGGGTGACAGCGTCGTGAAGGTCCCAACTCCCACGGCTGACCCTGCGGACCCCTTGAACTGGTCGCGCTGGAGGAAGGTTACGTGTATGCTTTCGGTGGCATACTACGTCTTCGTTGCCAACTACATCTCCTCCTCACTCGCGCCAGCTCTGCCCCTCTGGAACCACGTGTTCCCCCACGATCAGAGGCCGATGCAGGATCTGATCCAGCTCGTCTCAGTAAGTTACATTGACATTGATGACAAATTGATGTTGTTGTACTCTAACAAACATGGCAGTTCAACGTCCTAGCCGTCGGGCTCGGCAACATCTTCTGGGTGCCCTTGTCCAACATCTACGGGCGTCGCCTCGTCTTGAACCTGTCGGTCACGGTTCTCGGGAGCTCTTGCGGTATCGGCATGATGTTCACCGGGTACAAGACGACCATGATCATGAGGTTGCTCCAGGGACTGGGGAGTTCTGCCTCCGAGACCGTCTCCGCAGCCGTGGTCGGCGACCTCTTCTTTGTCCACGAGAGAGGAGGCTGGATGGTGTGTAGCCCCAGAACCTGCCCATGACTGACAGCAGACACTCACACTCCTCCCAACAGGCATTCTACAGCGCATCCCTCGCCAGCGGCTCCGTCATCGGCGGCATCACCGGCGGATACGTTGCAGCCAAGTTCGGATGGGTGAAACAATTCTGGCTCGCCAGCGGCCTAGCCGCAATATCCTGCCTCACCCTCGCCCTCCTAGTCCCCGAGACCATGTACGACCGCAACACCGAGCCCCTTCTCCCCACCCACCTCCACCGCCACCGCGAACCACCCCTTCAACGCCTCCGCCCGCGCACAAGAACAAAAAGACCACCCCTCCGCCCCACCCGCGCCCGCGTCCCCCACTTCGACCTAACCAACACCATCTACGCCCCCATCCACACCAACCCCCAACAACTCCACACCATCGTCCCCCTGCCCCCACCGCGCTACGCACCCTACACCTTCCGCCGCTCCCTCAGATTCAGCCCCTACCGCGGCCACGTCGCCCACCACTTCCTCAAGCCCTGGACGACCCTGCGCCTGCCCGCCACCTGGATCGTCATGTTCCAGTACGGCGGCCTGGTCGGCTGCGCGGCGGTGATCTCCACCGTGGGGCCCCAACTCCTCGCGGCGCCGCCGTACCGCTGGGGCGAGCACGCCGGGTTGTTGTTTGTGGGCGCGCTGGTGGGGATCGTGTTGGGGGGCATGTATACCGCGCTGGTGGCGGACCGGCAGTTGAAGGCGGGGGCGAGAAGGAATGCCGATACGGGGTATGCGGAGCCGGAGGCTAGGGTGTGGATTATGCTGCCGGCGCTGGTGGTGGGGACGTGCGGGCTGGCGGTGTTTGGGGGGTGTGCCCACGCGCCGGGTAGGTATATGTGGCTGGGGCTGGGAGTTTGGGTATTGCATTGGTGGCGTTTGCGTTGGCGCAGGTGCCGTCGATTTGGTTTAGTTATGTGAGTGCTGTCGGTTGCTTGCTTGCTGTCTGTCGTCCTTGGGAATGCTGTGGCTAACTTGGTCTCTCTTACCTACCTAGCTTATTGACTCCTACGATCAGCTCGCCAGCGACTGTTTCGTCATAATTTGTATCCTCCGCGGCGCGATTCCGTTTGCGTGGACGTTTTTCGTCGCGCAGTGGATTCAGAGGCAAGGGTTTCTGGTGCCGTTTTGGGGCTTTACGGGGCTCATGGGCTTCTTTGCACTTTTGATCATCCCTATTTTGTGGGTAGGAAAGCGGATGCGTATTGCGACAGCAGATTATGTACAGAAGAACCAGTGAAGGCAAAACGGGGAAGAGTTGCTTGTATTTTATGGGGGTAGTTGGTTACTTGTATTCGGATCAGTACGAGGACTGTATAACTAAGGTAAAAATTCTAATTAACTGGGCATTCTCGAATAGAAGACATGGAGTCAAGTGGATGACCTCGTAGGACCCCCTAATATGGCCTCCAAGCTGATTTCCACGATGAGCAAATGGACGCGGTGAGGGATTCATGCACACGGTTTAAGAGTTGATGATGAGGGAGTAGATGCCGCCCAGGGAAAAGCTGCCATCCCCCGCCTTTCTGATCTTGGGTGTGCAAATCTCACCGCTGACTTTCTTTGCCGTCACATTGGCCCCCTCCCTACCCCGAGACGTTCATCACAGTTAGCTCACAGTTTCTATCCTCAAAAAAAATAAACCACTTCTTGCTGCGTGTGCTTATCTTCTCGGGCAAATATAACGCGGTGAGCGCGCCGCGCGTCGCCCCGGGTAAAGAAACATGAACCGTGGACGACTCGATAGTCTCCGAGGCTCTCAGGCTATCACGAACGAGAAATCTAGAGAAGAGCACATCTGCGAAGCCCAGGTTCATGGTGGTGGTGAACGACTGCGACCGGGTGGTCGAGATCTGCTGGTCCGCCGGGCCGGCAACCGAGATCTTGACGATCTGCGTGTTGTTGGCAGGGCGGGTGTACTCGGAGTAGCCGTCATCGGCCGTCCATGAGTTTTCGCTGCAGCTGCTCCTGGGATGGAGGTGCCTCGTGGACACAACGGCAAGGGCAGTGTCGATCTGGGGAGGAGCTGAGCGGTGCGTGGAAAGGCTGTCCGGGGGTGGCCCAGCCTGAGCCGGCTTGATTTCGGTGCCGTTGGCGTCTCGCAGCACAATGCTGTACATGCCACCGCTGGCTGCTGCGGTGTTAAGGCGCTCGTTCCAGCCATATGTGCCGCCGAATTTAGCTGACCGACGCAGCTTCGAAGCCCCGGCGGAAGAGCAGTCGCCGAGGCCGCAGCAAAACTGGACCATGAATGTCTTCTCGAGGTTCACAACGGCGCACACAGGACTGGAAAAACTGGCGATCGGGTATCCGCATCCCGGCATGTCGGTGTGGGCTGGGGATCTGATGATGAGCTGGCAGGTCTCGTCAAGCTCGGGGATCTCGATGTAAGGTCTCCAACCTCTGAGGGGAATCTAGTTATCAGCCTGAGTTGTTCGTTGGAAGGATAAATAAAAGTCTTACCCTCCCTCTGAGCCTGGGAAGTCTGAGTTGTAGAAGACCGTTTCCGAGTAATATGTGACACGGTCGGGGTACCCCGTGCCGGCATTGGTGATGCCAACCAGGCAGTCATCGCAGTGGTCGTCTTTGCACATTTTGTAAACGTTGGCCTTTGCAAGGGGGAGGGCAAGGCTCATGACCCAGGCCACAAGCTGAAAGCTCCGCATGTTGGTTGGTGAATACCTAGCTGTGAAGGGCTCAAAGGTGCAGCGTCGATGGCTATGCTCAGAGAAGATGATACATTGAGCCAGCTTTCGAGGGCAGCCCCTTTATAAATAATTTGAAGAAGTGATTGACCTCAAAAACCTCCTCCACGGCCTGTCTCAAACACCTTGACGGGTGACGGCCGTGGACCGTGGCGCCGACATCGCAAGACTCCGCAAAAGGGGGTGACATGGACTCCCAACTCCCGAGCATGACACTAACAAAGCGTACCAACAATACGCAGAGTAAACTTTTGTTTCCTGCACTAAATATGACATTGCCATCTTCCTACGCCGCTGTCCTGACGCCAATACCAGCCCTCGCCAAGGAGCTGAGTACCAGTGTTAGTACAGAGATTCCGTGATGCAATTCTCGCCAGACACGGGTCCAACCTCCGAGCACGTTCGCCAATAAAACACTCCATTCGATGCCCATAGAATTAAATCTCTCAAATCAGGCCAGCGACAAAGTTGAATATCACGGCCTTCACCTACCGTTTTAAGCAAGAGCATGGTGTATCAGTCCTCTCGAAGCGAACCCGGCGGACTCCGTCGGTGATCTTAAACCACGACAGGAACCTTCTGCGAAAGGTGCGGGTGTATCAACGCTGTTGAGATTGAGATTTACTCGGGGGACCTGCGGAGTTGGTACCAACAGCTTTCAGGGGTGGGTCACGGCCCTTCGGCGATTACCCCTTGCGTCTTGTATCGACAGATATTGAGAGCGATCCGTTTGGGAGATGTACCAACAGTTTTTTCATGACTCGGGATCTTGATTTTCTTCGCCCTTTAATATGAATTCTAAGCAACATTGGGAAATACAATGCTGCCGAAGACGGAGAGCAAAAAGCCTCAAACCAAGGACCAGACAGGAATGCAGGACCGAGCGTGATTAATTCTGTTGAACACAGTTTTTGTCACAAGATAAACGGCTACAAGTACTCCATGCGTCCAATACCTGCCCATTTCGCACCGCCCTTCTTCTCGTCTCAGCTCTCCTAACCCACAGCCTTTCTAAAGTCGCTGCCTCTCCCATACAAAAATGCGTTTCATGCTCCCCTTTACTGTTATGGCCGCCGGACTTTTCCGTGTTGGCAGGGCTACCTGGTGAGTTACACTTGACTCGTTACGTTGGGAAGGAGTACGGATCCTGACCATTCCCCAGGCGCGTAGATCTCTACAGCAAGGGTTGCCCCAAGGAAGACGACTCGGTTGACACGAACCTCGAGGACGCCGGTGCGGTTGCTGGGCAGGCGGGCCAAGAGCTCTGGTGAATGAAGGTCGGCCCGGCTCACTCGGCTTTCGTGGCCGGCATTGATGAGGACGAGATGAAGGTGGATGTCTTCTCCGATTGGCGCTGCAACAACTACATTGAGACTTGGACCACCGATGGGTGCTATGTTACGAACTCGGATGATGGCGTGAGTGATAATTCATTAAACGAGACCCATAATCTTGGCCTTTATTCCTGCAATCGAGACTAATGTGACACGCTGGATAGGCAATCGAAGCAGTCAGAATATTGCCCAAGTAAGGGAGGACCCAGGGTTTGGGTCTGTTCGAGTTCCCTTCCAATTAGGGAGAGGGCGGTGGATCGGTTTCCCTCCGTCTTTAATGGCCGTTGGCTTGCCTGCAGACGTGGAGGTTCACAACGGGCAGTTCAGTCCGATGTCCTAGGTTAGGGTGAGAGTGGCAGATAGACATGTGCTTCTTGCCTGACAATGACGTCTTATCAGCCCATATAACATGTATACTCCGCTGCCATTGCCCAAGTAAAGAGAAACCCCAGGTGCCATCCTTTTTGATTAGTATGTGGTTATCCCATTTCAGTCATGGCCGCTCTCAACTCCAAATGATTTACTTTAATTTCCATTATGGTAATGACAGTGACGTATCCCTCTGGTTTATTGACGCCCTCCATGCCGACAGCACTGCGCCCCCTTGCTTCAGGACTGAGCCTGGTCTAGTTTCCCCCTTCCCCTCTTTCCCACCACCACCGCTCCTGAGTCCTCGGCCCACCGCTGTTACGAGACGCTTCCACCACCGCATCTAGCTCCGCATTTCTCCGTTTTCACCGGCCCTGTGCCGAGGGCCCACCGTTTCAAAACTGGCGCCAAAAGGCCGGATACAAGAAGCCCAGATAGGGGTTGAACTTCACGTGGCCGTCTTGGTCAGGCTGTGTAGTTTCGGTTTGCCTAGGTAGGGAGGACCCTAGTTTCGTTTCTCTGGTGGTGGTCGTTTGCTAGTGGGATGTTCTATTGGGCTCCCACACCTGCTCCTATTAGATAAACGTCAAGTGTAAAAAGAAAAAGGAGACGGAAAAAGAAAAAAGAAAAAGAAAGAAAAGAAAATGCAACTATAGTAACAAGCCCCCTGGTTACCTTGCGTCGTTCTGTCTCCCTTTCTGTGCAACTTTCCAAAACCCTGGTCCCACCATACACATCTCCCAGGAATCCGGTGCGATTTCTTGAAGGAGCCGAGACCGCGTGAGAACGTCAAAAAGCCCACCCGCGACCAGCAAGAATAGGAGGAACTGGCGCCGGTATGGCAACTCGGGATCAGCGAGGCCGGTGTAAACTCCGGTTATGGTTTTGACTGTGAGCTCGTCTGGCGAATCACCGAAAAGCCAGCCGTGATACCCACAAGTCACGCGAACGAGCCGAGCAACCGGGTAGGTCTCATGTTCACTTTTACTTGCTGAAGTGATCTGCGGTCACTGCCTTTTGCTGGGAGCGAGGATGATCATCACGAGTTATAATAAGTTGTGTATTGCAGTATTAACTTATCCATCTCAGCAAAAGTGAATTCGCCCGAGGTATTATTGGAGAAGGTGGTGATGGATATGGGGGGGGAGGGTGGCGGGGAGTTGTTTGGGGCCGCCGGAGACGGCGAGGGTTGTTGGCAGGGTGGTAGTGTGATGTTGTTGTGGTGGTGGTTTGAACTTGAGTTGCTGGGCTGGAATCCATTACTTACCAGTGAATGGGGTCTTCTTTCTATTAGGATGGGGATTGGGTTCCGGTCTGAAAATTATACAGGTAACAAGGTAGCCATTCCACTTTATATGGGGCTACCCCTGGGTTGCTATTCTGGCGCCCATTTCCACCTTGTGCGCGGAACCATGGCATAGCTCTCGATGGTTTGAGAATCCAAAGGCTAGCCTCCAGCCCCTCTGATGTTGCGAACGAGCTACCGTTGGAAATCAAAACACCACTCTTTGTCTATGTTGCCCCTACACTCATTATAGACCTTTCGACTGTTGACTGGCACAGGTACACGGAAACCCCCCTCGAACAATAAGGTAAGGAGGTACCTACCCAATGCTTTTGCGGTAACATGTTGGGCGAGAGCCAACTATAGCGTCACACCTCACGGACATAGGTACCTTGTAAAGTTGGCTCCTTCATGTTCCTGCAGGGTGCGGGATCAAGCAGCCGAGAGCAACAAACCAATCAGTCCGCCCGCGATGCGAGCTAGTTACGAACTACTGCCGTCTCTTCCCGACTCGAGAGGCCCGAGGACAAATAGCCAATACTTCTGCTGCAAGCACATTATTGTTGCAGCGCACTAGTCCACTTACGTCTCAATCAGAAGCGGCATAACAACAGGGATTATTCAGGGTGACAGTAGAAAGTCAGCAACGCCCCCGCTCTTTTGCTCTTTATCGGTACATGTAGGTAGCTTACTTCCAACTCCATTCCCACCAGACATCTATTAACTCCAGTCAACTTTCATTCCATTCTACGATGAGGTTTCTCACTCCCTCCTCGGCGTATTCCACCCCCTCGCCGCCCTCGCCATGCCCCCCCCACACCCCTTCCGAGACCCCCTCCACCCTCACCACAAGGGACGGCATCCGCCTCACCTACACGCAGACCGGCCCCCGCTCCGGCCCCCCTATCCTTTTCATCACCGGCTGGCGCCAAGCGGCCATCGAATGGCGCAAACAGTCGGCCTACTTCTCCGCCGCCGGCTTCCGCGTCACCACCTTCGACCTCCGCGGGCACGGCGAGTCCGAGGAGTCTTACTTCGGCTACCGCATCAGCCGCTTCGCCGCGGACCTCGACGACCTCCTCACCCACCTCAACCTCCACCAAGTCGCCATCGCCGGCCACTCGATGGGCTGCTCCGTCGCCTGGGCTTGGTGGGACCAATACCCCGCGTCGCGCAAGCGCGTCGCAAAGTTCGTCTTCGTCGACCAACCCGCCGCCATGGTCAAGAACCCGGCCTGGAGCGACGAGTATGCCGCCGAGATATCCTCCATCTTTACCCCCCTGGAACTCTTTGGCCTGGCAAATGACATGTCGGCCCAGCTCGAACCGCTCGTGAGGGGCATGTTCACCCCCGCCGTGTCGGAGACGGACCTGCAGTGGGTGCTCGAGCAGAATAGGAAGATGAGCGACGAGAATTCGGCGGCGCTGCTGGTGGATCATGCGTTTGCGGATTGGAGGGATGTGCTGCCGAGGATCACGGCCAAGAGTTTGGTGCTCGCCGGGGAGGTCAGTGTCTTTCCGCCGAGGGGGGTCGAGTGGGTTGCGCAGCAGATTCCTGGAGCAGAGTCGTACACTTTTACCGAGGCCGAGAAGGGGAGTCATTTTGTGTTTTGGGAGAATCCGGAGAGGTTTAATGAGGTGGTGGAGGCGTTTTTGAGAAAGTGAAAGTCGGGGTTGAAGAGCAGGTGGCGGCCAGGTGCATCTCGACCTGGAAGCTGTCGCTTGCAGACACAGGCATGCAGGCTTATAATTATACCTAGGTACCTACCTACGCATGATACTCTCTTATCATTAACGTTGCCATAAAATGCAACGAAAGCAGAAAAAAGGACCGTCAGATGATGAGAAATAATTAAGTTGTACAGCAAACTCATTAGCTTCCAGTAGGCAGATCAAGCATGGTGGGTGCTGCTGATGATTTTTCTTAGACAAAGCTGCTAATTCTTCTTCACCCGACCACCCAGGTGGATAGACCTGGTCATGAGTCGGCTAGTGTACCTGAAACGGCGGCAGGCGCGGCGTCGGAGCTTCTCGACCTCTTCTCATACCGATTCGTGAAGCTCAGCAAGGTCCGAGAGTGGTCCAAATTCAAACGATGCCAGGACCTTGAGAGGGAGGAGTACAAATTTCGAGCTGGAGCTCAAAGACATTGCGGCAGAAGAATCACATTTTTACTTCATAATATCCCACCGGTGGATTACCCCTGATCATCCGGACTCTGACGGTGAGCAACTGAATCAAGTTAAGGGACTTGGGGATGAAGAACCTCTTTGTTGTTCTACGACTACTGCGCTCTCCCGCAGCGCCCAAGGGACGAAGTCCAACTATGGCTTTTTTCCAGAATGGTTAGGGAACTCAGCCGTTTGGTCGGGAAGATGAAGGTCATAATCCTGAATGATTCCGAGTATATAACACGCTCCTGGTGCTTGATGGAATTCTTCATGGCTGCCTTCCGAGACTGCCTTGCCTGCGACGAGGTGCACAATGAACATCTACTCGACCTTCAGGCAACTGCAAAAGCCCTGGCACCTTCTCGGGACCCCAAATCGGCCACCGCTGCTTTCGAAGCCGCACGAAACCAAAAGATGGCCGGGATTGCTCATTGGTTTTTTGGAATCTTGAAAACAGCAACATCACCAATTCGGGTTCGATCGAGAACGTATAGTGCTACGATTGTTCCTGAAAAGTTATGTCGAATTCTACGGCTATGAACCATACTTGGGGGTGGGTCAGACGCTCTCTGACTCAAGACGAGGCGGAACGGATGCTTCGGGGGGGAGGTGGGGGGGAGGTAGAGCTCCTGTGCCCCGAGTTGATCCTCTAGGCATGGAGGTTCCTCGGTCTTTAGAGGACATGAGACACAACAGGCGTATTTTTTATTCATCGTTATGTAGATTTGATGGTTCGTTTCATTAAGCTAGGCGACAGTAGTATAAAGATAGGAAGTATGATTGGTTTAAACATTAACCCCCAAGAACCTGTAAGGAAAAGGAGTTTGTCGGAGGGTCTAGAAATTATCCTCTGTCTGGTAGAGAACTGCAACGAGCTATGCCAGGCATACGCCTCGGCGCCTCAGCCGAATCAAAAACCAAGCGCCCCCCCCCCCTCCGCCGGCGGCACGACGCACCTCACGCCTCCTCCTTATATCCCACCGCCGCGACGCCCCTATACCTCACCAAAAACGGCACGGCCAACGCAAACAGCACTTCGAACCCAAACGTCGTCCACTGCAGCACCTGCAGGGTGGTGCCGCTCTTGATCAGCACGGACGCATGGCTCATGCCCTCGGACGCGTACTCCAGGGCGCCGGCTCGACTGGGCTGGTGGCGAGGGCCGCCGCGAAGACCAGGCCCGTGGAGCCGAACAGCATGGCGTAGGTGACGCGGCGGATGATGGTTGCTGCGGCGCGGGTGCGGGTGCGGGTCCGGGTAGCTCGCCGCGCTTGGAGGCGAACGTCGCGCTGGAAGGAGGAACCAGCGCTGCCCACGCCTGAGGACGAAAGAGTAACCGCGGCCGGCGGCGAGGACTGAGATTGAAGGTGCGGGCATTGGAAGGTCCGAGGGCCGGTGGGAGACGAGGTCGGTGATTTCGGATTTGTGGGGGTTGTTGTTGGTTGAGTTGGAGGTGGAGTTGAGGTTGAGGTTGGGGAAGAGGCTGGAGGCGAGGGTTTCTACGGAGCGGCCGCTGGCGGATTGGCAGCGGGTGCCGTCTTCGTCGATGCCGCAGATGCCGTAGTAGCCGATGCGGACCTTGAGGAGGTCTTCGGTTACGTTGGTGTTGGATCGTAGATCGACGACGTAGATGTTAGGGATCGCGGGGGAGGTCGAAACACATCCCGTCAGGGACAACGCTGGTAGGGGTGTTAGAAGTTGTAAGGTTGATGGAAGAAGGAGGTCAGGACATACCGTGAAAGACAATGATCGGGAGGATCAGAAGATAAGGTGCGTAACGCAACAAGCCCGAAGCTGCTAACTTGTTAGTGTTCTAGCTCACCAGGGTTTGCTTGCGGAGAGGGGGGATCTAACTCTTGCTGGCCCCAGAGGCCGAAGGGGACGACGTACGCTGAAGTACTTTTTTCGCCAAGCTGATGAGAATAGGCATTTTGTCGGAATGATTTGCCAAAATAAACCGGGGGTGTGTTTTGATGGTGAAGATGGGCTGTTCTTAAGTTGTTGGCCAGCAACAAAGCAACAATGCACAGAAAGGAGCCGTGATAACGCCGTGACCGAAGAGATGGAATAATGAATAGGAAACGAGACACAAAGGAAACAATGGAACCCCGAGTTGGCAACAATAGACAATGCGATGGTTTGAAAGAAAAAAAAAAAAAACATTCTATTTCCTGGGAACAAGTCATCGCTAAATACCCAGACTGACCATTATCATCACCAAATGCGCCCACTTCGGGAGCGTTTCGAAACCGATCATGATGGTCCATGTTTGCAACTTCAATCTTCAATCTGGCGCATCGCGGTTGCGTTTCCATCCTGGTTTACTGAACCGATTCGTTGAGAACCGTTCGGATTATGTTGCACTGTGGCCCGCTGTTTGACCAACCGCCGGCCGTGGGTCAATTGTGCCATGTTTCGCGCTGGTTTCTCGCTGCAGTGTTTTGAGTGGGTGGCTCGAGGGATCGATTCGTGCGACAAGCGACGGTTGTGGAAGCGCGGTCCACACGGCGCTTAACAACAACAGACACCGCGCGTCGAGGCCAACTCGACGAGATTTTGCCAAGAACTTATTTTGGGAAGCAAAGACGCGGCGCTCACTTGGGAGACTTGCCCGATGAGGATCAATGAAGAATGGCTAAACCAATCAATGTGCTTGACGGGGAGTTGCCAGGAACATGCCGCTCTTGGCATCTTGGCTTTGAGCTTGGCGCCTTGCTTGGCCTTCAACTCTCAACTGCATGCAATGTTTGGATGTCGTAGGTAGGTAGGTAACAAGGCAACGTAGTTTGGGGAGCACAGTCAGACTGAGTGGGGGAATTGTTGGGATTTGGCGGCCTTGCGACCTTTCTCTTTTTGGCGAGCATTGCGATTCCTTCTTGTTCCTCGAAACCTCCGACTGCATGCATGATTCAGGGACCCGCGAGCCCAAGCCAGCTGAAGAAAGCCCGGCAAATACCCTGTGCCCGGGCTTGGCTTTTCCTGGGAAATGCACCCGAGACCGATGAGCCATCCCAAAACATCCACTTGCATCCATTTCCATCCATTTCCATCCCACACCGGCCGGGCATGACCACCTGGCACTTGCATATCACCGAGACATGCAGTGGCTTGCAATTGGGATGGTTCGCAGGCTGGTGCGCGTCCAATATGCGAACCATATGCAAGGTACCGGAGGTCCAAAATGCCCTTGAACCAAGCCGACGCCTTCGATCGGTTGGTGGGCACATTGTCGGACCACTCCAACCGTGGACGCGAGGTGGGCGAGGTTGATGCCCAAGGTCGGCCCAACCTTGCTTGAACCTTCCCAGGACAATCCTGGTCACGCAGGTGGAATGCAGCGGGCGGAACGGGGCGGGGAGACGAGGGGAAGTGGTTGCAAACAGGGAGGGAAGGGGTTATCGCACACGGATCAGCGGGTATGCGGCCAAGGAACGCACGGAAGAGCGGGCAACCGGTGAGTGGGCAAACTTGTTGGGAATGCGATGATTCCAAAGCCGGACTCATCGGTTTCAAAAACCTCATTCTCATCAATACTACCAGGGCCCGAGAGGCGGGGAACCGCGACCGCGTTGAAACTTGTTCTTCAGTCAAGAATTATAGTATTGAAGCACAGTTAGGTACTCGAGAACACTGAAACAGACCCCAAATATCAGTTATCTGAAAGCCTAAAGGCCTGGAAGCGCAGTGCGCCTTCCTATCATCATCATCCACTTGGATACACCCAGATCATCATTAGGTGGTGACTTTTGTCCACAGCTGCCCAACCAACAATTTTTGAACGCGTATCCCAAGAACCAAGCCCAGCAGAACACCTCCACCAGAAGAAGAGCCCCCTATATCTCCCCATTGCAGTCAGCTCCGAACACCAACCCCATAACGTCCCTGTTTCCATCACTCACCAATCCCCTACCCAACCCCAACGAAAAGTCAAAGCCCAGCCCCCCGCCCCCCATCCCCATCCGCACCCGCACCCACACCCCCACCCGGCGTCTTCCGCCTCCTCCCGCCGCCCCTCTTCCCCCTCCCACCACCACCACCACCACCACCACCACCCCGCCGCCGCCATCCACCCTCACCACTTTCTCCACCCCCCATCCCACCCTCACCACCACCACCACCACCACCCCCGCCGTCCGCCACCCCCGCATGCTTCTTCTTGACATGCTCCCGCAGGTTATCCCCCCCGGTAAACGACGTGGTACACCACGCACACGGGAACTGGGGCCCCGGCGCCTGGCCCGTGTTCTCGCGGTGTTTTTTGGTGCGCTCGTGCTTGGCCATCTTGTAGTTTGGGTGGGGCCCGACGGTGGTGAAGTCGCAGTGGGGGCAGTGGAGAGGGGGTTCGGAATCGAGGGGGTGTTGTTGTTGGGTTTGGGGGTGGTCCTGGGGGTGGTTTTGGGGGTGGTCCTGAGGGTGTTGGGGGTGTTGAGAGTGTTGAGAGTGTTGAACCTGGTGCTGATAGAGGGGGTAGGTGTGAGGGCGTATGGGGGTCGACGGCGGTTGTGGTACTGGGGCGTTGTGGGTTTGGGGGGAGCGTGTTGGGTGGGTGTCAAATTGCTCGGGGGTTGGTGCCACTTGACCGTACGAATAACGATTAGGCGTAAGAAAGTTGTGGATGTTCCCTGTGTCGGCGCTGTACAAGTCGAAAATTCCCCGGCCCTGGGGCATGAACGGTTGTGGCCCAAAGTGGGAGGCGGGAGCCCGAGGGCGGTAGCATTGGTCGTATGAAGGGTTCGGAATCATGGGAAGATGGCTTGCCGTAGTCATCGTTGGCGAATATTCCCAACCGCTGACAGCCGGCTCCATGCGGGGGTCCCCGGGCATCTCTCGTGGTGGCATGGGCTGTGAGGGTGGGAGGGATATCACAGGGCTCATGAATGACCCGGGCACAAGGTCCTCCATTTCCGCGACCGGATCGTACGCTCGTGGCTGGCCCCGCTCTGGCGTTCCCAACCCAGAATCAGGAATCTCTGCCGGGAGTTCCGCTGTGTAGTTACCTGGGTGCTGCGGTGTGGGTTGGGAGGCGTTCCACGACATATTGCCTGGCTCGTACTCCTGGGGCGAAGATGTGGTTTCTGTTGAAAATGACGGAAAGCCAGTGTTAATAGCACTCATTCCGTCTGGGCCCAAAGCAGAGGCGGCGCTCGACATGGAGGTTTGAGGCGTGGCGAAGGAGCCGCTGCCCTGATGAGACACCGTAGATGTGGCCAGGCTTGGGTTGGTCCGGGGGGGTGTCGGGGCTTGACCCGAATATTGCGCCATCATGTGGAAATTCGGTGCACTGGCCAGAGCAACAGGCCGACCAAAGCTGGGAGGTTGAGTTTGACTTCGACCGAATGCCAGATGCGGCTCGCTTGGGGGGCTAGAATCGGCGAGCTCGTGCCGAGCGTGGGCATACCCGAGCCCTTGGGGATCCGAAAAAGAAGTCGAGCGAACACCAACTTGTGTCTCTTGGCTCAGAAACGACGTCCCGCTCAGCTCAGGGGTGAAGGCAGAACTGTCGAGTTCAGTGGGCTCGTCGTTGGGGGGCGTTGTCGGATGTCTTGTGCGTCCGGAAGAATGACGTTTGTAAGGCGATATGCGTGATGCCTTGGGCTCTGACCGGGTCGACTTCTGAGACCTGGTTCGTGACTTGAGGGATGCCGCTTGTGTCCTGAGACTGCCAAAGAAGGACTTTGTCAGCCTGCTCCAGGTGCTTTGTCCACATCGGCATTGGCAGCGCTCTAGGTTGGCCACCAAAGCCTCGAGGTGGGCATAGCGCTCCTCACACAAACGCGTGGTGTGGACACACTCTCTGAGATCACGAGGCCTAACGGTCTCTTAGATCGAAGCGTGCTTGGCCAACATCGGGAAGACTCACTGATGGTTGTGGTTCAGATATGGAGCCGTGAGCGGCAAGTCCTGGGCCGCGTATGGTGGCGGTGGAGTAAGCGGCTCCCCTTCAAGGCCGGCGTACATCGGAAAGTCATTGCAATCGAATGGGGGAGCAGAAGCAGGGGAACGATAGGAAGGGGCCATGGCAAGAGTGTTTGTCGTTGGTTATCTGCACGGTGTTCCTCAGATATCGTCTGATAGTTTGTGAAATTGGGGAAGAAGTGGCGGAGCACGGTGGCAAGCTCTTATAATGAATGGTCTGAATGGACCATGAGTGTGATGTGGCCGCCCACCGGGGCTCGTTGTGTCGCGGCGACGACAGGACAATGTCCCCGCATGGACAACAACTTGCTAGGTCGAGGACCTTGCTGGAGCGGACAGGTTCGGTTGCCCCGCTTCAAAGTCCATTTCCCAAAACTGGACGCAAGTTCAACAAAAAGGTACATGGTGCGCGGATTGTGATTGATCGGGGGTTGGCTCCGGGGAAGATAGCGTGGTGGTCCCGTTATGATCGTAACGCGACGGGAACATTGATGACCACTCCATTGGCTGGAGCTCCACGGCGAAAGGGATAAGTAGCAGTAGCCCCTGCTTATCCAAGGTCTGTCGCGGATGCCTTCGGATGGCTAGCAGGAGGAGTACTGGGTCATGCTGACTTGGGACGGGACGTCTTGACCGAGGACTAGTCACGATTGGTGTCAGGACATCTCATCGGCTTGGCACTGCTGGGCTGCCAGCAACGGGGAGTGTTGACCGGTTGGTAGGTTGGTAGGTCATTGCCATGATGGACTATGTGATGAGGATGGCACTGACAAGCTACCTGGACTAGGTCGGAACGCGTCAGTGGACTGTGGGGCCACGGCCGACGTAGTATCTCGTAGGTGCTTCGTAATATCTCTTGAGAGGGGACTGAAACGAGTCGGTCGGGACGCACAGGAACTAGCCTGTGGGTTCGCTGCTGAAAACAGAAATGCGGCCATTGCCCGGTGCTGGCGCCATCCTGATCGGTAGTTCTCGTAATCCCATTGCTGATGCGGGACTCAGGGGTTGCCGAACTTGTCAGTGTGGCCAGCGCCCAAAGCAACGCGGGAAGTTCTGAGGCCGAAAAGTCACAAAACGACGCCAGAACATGACAACAAGAGGGTTGAAGACCGGACTTATTTTACTTTATACAATGTCCACATTTGCACCGCCACGATCTGCTTTCAGCTGCATTTTCCATACTATGACTTAACAGGTCATTTTTCCCTGTGCGGCACCGTTGACTCCAGGCTTGCCGGTTCTGAGCTCAGCTTGGGCGAAGAGAAGTAGGAAAATGATCCAATCAGATTGCCTGGTCTAGAGCCTCGCTGCAGTGAGCCATGATCGTGACCCAAGTGGGAAGAGCGGCGTTGCATCACAGCGGCTATTGAGAGGCTGGCCCGCCCTCGGGCAGTAGCTGAACCTGAGTCGGTCCACGCTCTCTTCTTGGTTGCTGGTTCTTGAGTTGTGGGGTTCTAAACAGTAGTTATTTTGGCAGGTGAGGGTTTGTTGCGATTACGACAAAGCATGCTGCATCAGTGCATATTCGTAATCGTTGGCCGATTCCAGTTGTCATCCATAATTGAACCTACACCAGGAAAGTCGCCGCCAGGTTGCCTTTCGTTTGTTTCGACTTCCGAGCAGAACGCGAAAGGGAGGAGCGGGGGGATGTTGAGATTAACCTCCCAACTTGCTTTTGCGGTCTGTTTGGGGCCCATGATTGGGTGGTGGGCAGGCCTCGACTTATGCAGGTTAAACGCCCGCTCTTGCCTCGTTTCCCAAAGGTAAAGTCGGGCAATTTGTGATTGCGCCCGGTTGATGCGGTGCGCGCAATTGCTTGGGTGCGTTCAACTCTGTCGCCGCGGACCAATAGGACCAGCAGGACCAGCCAACAAATTGTCAACCATCAAGTCGGAACACCTCGATTCATCGCCATCTCTCAAGTTGCCGTGACTTGCAAATGGACAAACACTAGTGACAAAGAGGCAGGATACTCATGATAGAGTGCCTAGGTACGAAAGATTGCAGCAAATTTCCCTTGAGCGCTTGTCGCTGATAAAATACCCAACCGGGCCTGTCTAGCAGAGCCGTGGGAATGTCTCATGACGTGGAAAGTGGGCGTGCGTGTCACGTCGACTGCTGTAGGGACACTAAACTACATCTCTTCTTCTTCCTTAATGTATACAAACCCCGCTTTTGGAGTACTTTTGCATGCGGCCAGGAGGAGCAAATTCCCCAGCACTGAACCACACGCTGTGCTGGAACATACACCATGATCAATCAATGAACTTATTTTCAACCCCATTTTTACGTCCGCGCGCCCTTAAAAACCTGCTTTCGCCTGTATATCGATGGAGCGGATCCCTACCACTTTCCCCGACGCCCCCCGGGGTCCCCGATGGTCTGGGCGCTCTGCGGCCATCGTCACCGACAGTGCCCAACTGCTCCTCTTCAATATCCGGCTCCCAGCAGGAGCAGCTGCTAATAGCTGGCGCTGGAGCGCCCTGCGGCCCGCCGCCACCACCGGCAACCTACGCCACCTTTGCCGAGGCTGACGAGGGTATCAAGGCTCATGCCCTGAGCAACGGATACAGCCTCTCAGTCAAGGAGATCTGGCCTCGAGCCGCTGACGCAACACCCGTTGCTAACGTCAATGACGAGGCTGGGACTACCATTGCACCCAGGCTTTCACGGCAATGGATGCAAGATAATGACGAGACCTACGATGATGCTCTCTGGGATGACGATGGGTACAAAAATGGGGTCATTTCCCATACATTTGAGGGCAGATTGGATGACCTGTATGGTCAAGAGGAGCAAGGGGAAATGGAGGAGTCACAAGCACTTAGCTGTATCGAGGTTGCAGGTGGGTAACTATAGCAATTGAACCAGTTTTGTCGCAGATCTCGGAATATTTGGATGAAAACAATGATGCAGGTCGTGGTGGATTCACGTAAATGAAGTGAGCCTTCGCGAGATGCAAGGCTGTCGTTATAGGGAGATCTTCATCAGTACAGAATACGATGTACCTTGTGGCACTCCCTTATCATCGGGAAAAGTCTTTTCCGCCGCCCCACTCTTTCCACGGCCCGTCGAGACATTCCCACGGCTCTGCTAGACAGGCCCAATACCAACGCGTCCTGGCGGTGATGGCACGAGTGCACGAATGGACCCGCGAAATGTTCGAGTTTGGAAGGACGGAAGCAATCAGTTCAGGTTATCGCATTGGCCTAGCAACAATGCCGACGTCCACGCGGAAATTCCACTATTTTGGCGGGTTTAAGATATGATAAAGAAACTCGATTTTGGAAGACAATTGGAGTCGTACTCGAAACAAGGGTGTTGACGAACTCGGGAAAGTTGGGTGGGTGCGCGGCGTCCGCCAAGCGCTCACGCACTTGGAGGTCACAATTCGAATTGTCAACAGCAGCTCGACAACACAATGTTTTGGTCCTGTTTATTATCAGAGTATCAATTAGCCGGGCGTAGACAGGGAGTGACACGTTCACCAAAACTGCCCATACGGTCAAGCATCGTTAGGTCGTTGACAAAAGCCGGAGTAGTTGTTGCTTGGTTCATAAACGAAAACATCGAGTCATCGGCTGAGAACGGCAGAAAGCGGTTGAAAATGACACGGAATGCCTTCGTCGGCAGTGAGATGGGTGTTGGGAAGGGACGCCTAGTTGACCGCTCGTCCCGTTCCCCGGCATTCTTGAGCCCGGAGGCCTCGGCCGATGCTGACCCGGACACTTGCTGGATTGTGCTATTGTGGTGGCCGGGAGAGCACCGCCTCACTGAAACTGCGCCGCACGGTCCACTGAGGAAACATGCCACTAAACCTCTCCAGGTAAGCTGGCGCTGGCTGGTGAGCCAGGCTGACCGACCACGCCAATCTTTGCTCGCGCAAAGAATGCGCAGCATACCAGCACCCCAACTTCGTCTGCACCCCATTCCGTCGGCCGCTGCCGCTGCAGGAGCAAGCGTGAGCGTGGTCGAGGCCTCACATTCAGGGCTGTCGCTCCAATGGGAGGCTTTCTTGCTCGTGTTCCTGCGGGTCATCCTCCCAATCAACACGATTGACACGATTGCGCACTCATTGTCTAGGCAGCAAACCGGACCTCAAGCTGCCTTACAGATCGGCAGACAGTCCACCCGCTTTCCCGGAGCTCTTTCTGGCCAACAAGATCATTCCCTTTTGATGCATGTCACCCTTCTTACTCCGAAATGTGACCACATCTCCAGCCTTGTGGGCCCCGAGAGGGTGCCCTGGCCTCTCCTGCGCTGCCTGTGCCCCTCCCTGTGTCCCAATGCCCCCCGCGAGGACCCCCCCTCCGTATCTCACTTGCGAGTTAAAACGGCACCAACACACCCTTCCTTTTCCATTTCCCCGTCTTCCTTCTCCCACGGCTATCAATTGTACCTGTGTTTCGCCCAATGCCCTTGGTCCCTCGCCATTGAACCTGTCTCCATCATGGTCCAGACGGATAGGGGAAGACGACCCCTGCGGGGTAACGACAGCGTGGATGACGACGACTGGACCGTCTACAGCGACGCCGAGAGCATCTCCAGTTGCTCTACTCTGTCATACCATTACTTCCAGACGCCGGACGGAGGTGATCAGCCGCCCTTATTGTGAGTGATCATGATGGCCTATCCATTGATAGCATTGATGTGCTGACGCCGCGGTTGTCAGTCGTTTAAAACGTGAAGAGCAGGACAGCGTCGTCTACGAAGCATGGAACGTTTATTACTACCCGGCCAGGCGGGAGGCACACTATGGCCGCAAAGCGTTCGGGATTACGTCTCAGAGCTTCGACGAGATAGCTAGCCGCACCGAGCTGAGGCGCCAACCATCTGTGCAATCAGAATTGGCCGATATGCACCTGCACGCCATTGAGGAGTTCAGGGCGGAACACAAGCGATGCTGGGCCGCGCGAGCGTTCCGTGGGAAGGGCAAGACTTACGAACAGCATCTCGAGGAGAAATGTCGCGCCGCACCGGCCGAAGTCAGGAAGACTGTGACGGACCTCCTTTTTGACAAGGGTAAGGCGACATCAAACCGTTACCGGACGCGAACTTGGACCGTTGTCGCGATGAGGGAGCAGCTGCAGGACCGGTTCGCCGAAACCGACTTCACCGAAGTGAAACGGCACAAGGTCCGGTTTTGGAAGAACCCCAAACCCCAAGAACACTTGCTGTATACCGTGGTCATCCGAGGCGCTGGGACCAAGGTTGTCCCTGAGGGTCAAGATTGGCTCACCACCTTTTCTCCAACCTCCAACCCTTGGCTGTACTGCGACAATGACGAAAGACGCCGGAGAACACGCGAGGAGCGCGAGCGACGAGACGCTGCTCGCCAAAAGCGGCGCACATTGTCACCCTCATTCAGAGCTCCGTCGCCGTCCTATCGGGCCCAGTCGCCATCATACCGCGCCCGATCGGTGTCACGCAGGACCCGAACACGCTCCTTCTCACCGCCCTCGTACCGCAGCTGGCGGAGCCGCTACGATTCGCCGCCGCCCTCGGTCCGGTATTCCCGCAGCGACAGTCCCCCTCCGTACCGGTCCTCCAGCCCGCGCGCATCCCCGCTCCCCAGCCGCTCCCCCAGCGTCCGCATCCGCGTCGTCCCGCGCTACACCCCGACCAACTTCGACGACACCCCCTTTCCCCCCACCCCACCCGAATCATTCACCCCTCCGCCGGGCGTATCAGCGTACCATCGCCCGGGGATGTTCGCACCGCCACCACCACCACCCTTCCCTGCCCCATACACCCCGGGCCCGGCCACTACCAGCCCGTTCCAACCACGCCCGCCCATGCCCGCGTACCCGATGATCACGGGCGGGCTCCCGGCCCCGCGGATCACCGACCCGCCCACGCCGACGCACTGCCCCAACTGCCGCAGCACAGGCACCGCGCCGTGCGCGCACTACCCGCGCACCCAGCCCTGCCGCAGGCCCGTCCTCTGGCACGCCGGCATCGCCTACCACCCGCCCTGCGTCTTCTGCGCGCTCTCCCGCCGCTCGTCCCTCCGCGGCACCTCGCCGTACCCGCACCACAGCAACGGATATGACAGCGCCGCACCCTTCCTCGGCACACGCCCCACCAGCAGGCGCCCACACCGGCTTCAACTTCAACTTCACCACCCCCCTACCCCGCGCCCCCTCCCGCCGGCACCTACCCCCACCCCCACCAGCAGCAGCACACCACCATCACCCCCTTCCACATCCCCCCACCACCCATGGTGCCCACCTCCCCATCCACGCGCATTTCGCCGCCACCCATGCCCCCTCCGATGCCAGGCTCGGCATCCAGCTCCCGCCCCGCCAGCTGGTTCCCCGACTCACCCGGCCCGATGCCCGCCGCGCCCAACCCCTTTTCACCGCTGTCTACGCCGCCGCTCACGAGCGCGGGCGGGTCGAGCGTGGGCGGGTCGAGTGTGCGGGCGTCGACTCCGGTGTTGGAGGAGAGGGTGAGGACGCCGGTGGTGGTGAGGGTGAGGACGCCGGTGGTGGTGGCGGTGGAGAGGGCGGGGGAGGTTGTGAGGGTTGGTGAGGAGGATGGGTTGGATTAAGCTGTTTGCAATTATTTTCTTTGATCGGAGGAGTTTGTGCACGGGAGTTGGTTGCGTGTGGGGGTTGTTGGTTAGCTTCTGTTATTTTTTCTTCGTTTCTTCAGTGGTATTCGTACAGTGATAGGGGGTTCAAGGGGGGATTTGGTTGGATGATGTGACACGATTATTATGACGTTTTGGTATATTCTTCTTCATGATGTACTTTCGGGCCGTATTCCGGTTAGTCGGCCGCTTTATCAACATGATCGTTTTTGCAAAGAATGAGAAGATGTCAGTGCTGTGTTGAGAGGTGCTCAGAATGTCCCAGCTGCCAAGCAGAAAACCCACTCTCCTTCCACAACCGCCCCACTCTTCCATCCAATGTGGAGTGAACCCTTCCATCCTCAATTGGCGAAAAATTTCCATGCAAACCAGACTCCGAGTCAACAACGAACCCATCACCACCACAATAACAACACCACCCCGTCCACGAATACCCCCTCCAACGGCAAACATGCATCTGATGTACCTCCCCGAGAGCAACGGCACCGGCCGGCGCTACACCCTGAAGAAGGTCACGGACGGCCAGGTGACCAAGTCGGCGCACCCGGCGCGCTTCTCCCCCGACGACAAGTGGTCGCGGCACCGCATTGCCATCCGCAAGAGGTTCGCTGTCCTTCTGGCGCAGCAGAGTACGTTTTCCATTTCTCTGTCTTTTGGAGTGTGGCGTGACGAGGCTGACCTTCTGGGTAGAATAAATGCGCCGACATGATACCTCTCGATGTTCCGGGCAACAAGCCGGGCGGGCCAGACCAAAACCGCCACGGAAACGAGGCCGACGATCGAATTTGATGGTTGGTCGGAGCCTGATCGGAGTCCAATGATAAGGAGTTCAAGAAGGGTACCAACTGCTTTCGGCCAGATTCGTACCGCTGGGAATAGCGGACGGTCGAGGACGCCGGCTGGTGAAAACTCTGGAGCCAATGGCGGGCGGCTACACCTGCCTCGGGCTCGGGCATGGATGCAAAAATGGGTTGGCGTTGACTGGGTCAGGGGCTTTACATTCATGGCGTTTTGTGGTCTTCACATGCTTGTTCGGTCAGGCAAGAATAAAATAATCGCGTTGACACACATTGTGCGCCGATTCCCAACATTCCCGTGGTATCTTTGGTTTCTACTCTACCATCACTTCCTCTTCTTGGCGTTAACATTACGCCCTGCGCCGACCTTGATCCTGCCGCCCCCCGAGGTTCTAGAGCCTCCGAGAATGCTAGGTAAATAGTCCTGGTCCATGATATCCCGGGTTCTCAGCCGGCGCTCCTCGTCCAGCTTCTTGGTGTACTCCTTCTGGTCTTCCGCAAAGATCAGCTCCTTGCCCCACCCGTTCTTGCCGCCTCCTTTGGCATTGCTTTTCCCGCTCGCCGAACCGTGGGTCGGCTTCGGAATACTAAACACGTTGCCCCGGTTATTGTACTGGAAGTTTTTCTTGAGGTGCAGCGTGAAGTTGCCGCCGGAATCGGTGCTACATGAGACCCGCGTCAAAGTAGGCTGCCCGCATGAAGGGCAGAACTGCTTGGACATGTCCCGGCAAATTTTGAAGCAGCCGTGGCACCGCAAGACCCAGGTCTTGAGGTACGTAATGCGGGCTAAGCCCGTGTCCAACAGACTAGGGCTGTCAGCATGTTCTTGCTGGCCTTGTAGGGCGCACTTACTTTAAATTTATCCTCAGAGCAACGTTCCGCATGGCCATATCTCCGGTGATCAAGGCTGCTTGGAGTACCCGTTGTGCTGTTTGGGGGGCTGTGTGTGCATTTTCTCTGGCCTGGTACTTTTTGATGTTGCTTGGCGCTGTGATATTTTGGTCAAGGAATGTACTTGCAGATGATGATGGGGAGAAAACCTACTAATCCATTCTCCATCGCCGTCATCTTCCGACGACTCGTCCGCATTCTCGGGGATGTCATCTGCGGTCGTAGTTGGATTCAACGCAAGGTCTTGTAGTTGCTCGGTAACCGCCTCGGTCGTTAGTTCATCTGAGAGAGCAGGGTCTTCTGCAACATCAGCCGCAGCATCACCCGCCCCGTTCGTCACCTCTGGGGTTTCGGCTGACAGTTCAGCATGTGCTGACGCTCCTATTTCGGTTGGTACGGCGTCACCAGCCTCATTCTCGGTCTTCCCCGGGGGTTTCCCATTCACTCCCTTCTGGTTAGGCTCTCGCCTCAACCGCCACTAAAACCGCTTTGTCAGATAAACGCAACCGAGCCGCCAGCCTAGGAGAACGTACATCACCGCCATTTCGCTCAATCTCCAAATCGTACGTAAGCGCTAGAAGATGGATATCAGGCTTCGACAACACCTGGAGGTCGCCAGTCCGCCGCGCGAAGTTGGTGACGAACTGGACGGACTCGGGTCGAGGGTTCCGGAGTTTGAGAAAAGGGGATAGGGTGGTTTCGAATCGAGATCTTGTTGCCGCGTCGCGGACTAAACTTGAGTCAGCAAGGGGATTCACAAGTTTAGGAGTGGTGTGGCTGGCGCACTCTCTGAAACCACAGCGGGGATGGTATAAAGCTTGTCGGCTTGAGCGAGCAGGGTCGAAACTGTTGGGTCGTTTTTAATGATGGCGTTGGCATCTATAACGAGAGAGTGAATAGGTTTCGAGGGTGCCGTTGTCGGTGTTGTTGTAGCTGGTGAGGATGAGGTAGGAACACTGGTCGCTGTTTCGATCGTGGTGGGGGCGGGGTTCTGAACCTCGCTCTGCGCTTGCGCAACGGGCTCGCTTGTAGTTTCCTCCATGGTTGAAATGGCCCGGGTCACCAGTACAAAACGGCTTGAAGTCCGGTGCGGTGCTCGAGAGGATGTATCTCTCCGACTTTCAGCTCAGTTTTCAAGTTCTGTCGTCAATGCCCCAGTATCGAGGAACAATGGCCCCTCGATTTTCCAAAATTCAAGTGGGGGGCAGTCGGCAGAATTCTGAGCAACACAGGGCGGTGAGGACGCCAAGTTCTTCGAGACTTGCATAGACCCACTGTTCTTTCATTTAATTTTGCTTGTATCCAAGCATAACTAGTTAGTTAGTTAGGTAGTTAACTAATACATACAACGCAAACTGCGAAACATGAAACTGAGATGGACACTGCAAATACCTGCCTACCTGTCTCAGGCTGCATCTTTTTTTGATCCAACCGTAACGATCCCAGGTCACGAGTGTCATACGAAATGAGGGACATCATGTCAGAGAATGCATACCATTGGCGAGCCCCCGAGCAGGGGCATCCGATCTATTGAAGCCACGCCGAATTTGGAACGCAGCTGAAGACTAGGGATCTGGGGCTGAAGCCCAACATAAAGACAGGATAATGACGGACGCGTCTCTTCTTCTTTGCTTCTCTCGTGCCAACTCGGTAACATTCATTGTTTTTGTGCCGTCGGGGGTCTCAATACCCGTCATTTTCAAAAGGTTATCATGGCTCTTACATATCAATACGAACGGCTCACACATGACGATGAAATCAGACTGCTGCACTTGGAGCCTGGGTCGGGCGACCACATTCACTTCACTCTCCATCCTGTAAGACTAGGTGACAGGCCTCCGTACGAGGCGATATCCTACTGTTGGGGTGATCCCAATGACACTTGCATGGTGTATTGTGGCGGTAGGCCGCTGCACATAACAAAAAGCCTCTACACCGGCCTCAGACGACTGCGGAAAAACGATGCAGTGCGAGTCCTCTGGGCAGATGCAGTCTGTATCAACCAGAGGTGCACCTCGGAAAAGAACGTGCAGGTTGCTCTCATGAATCGCATCTACTCGCAACCAAGTAGAGTCCTCATTTGGCTGGGTGACGATACTTCCGGGCTCGAGGGCCTCCACGAGTGCATCCAAGGTGCACTCGATGTCCTGCCGCCCGATCATTTTGAGTTTGAGGAATTATACGCCCTTTCCAAGAGCATATTCCGGGAAGCCAGCGTAAGTCCCGCCCTATTCAATGGAGCAAAATCACAGTAGCTAATGTTATCCACTGAGTCCAGCAACTACGAGCAGCCGACAAGCCCAACTTCAATGACCACGACTGGCGCCCCATTACGAACCTCCTTCTTCGGCCTTGGTTCGATAGACGGTGGATTATTCAGGAGGTTACGCTTGCGGACGACAGTGTACCCAGGCTCGCCATATGCGGAGACATCGAGTTTTCGTGGAACCATCTCGCCAGCGTCGCGTACAGACTCGCGTCCTATGGGATTACTCCTCCCCTCGCCGGACTGTCCATTAGTAAGCTAACATGACCAAATCTGACTTTCCAGAATGAGGCTCTGACATGTATCTCTCAGTAAATTGTCATGCGCCTTACATGATGTCGTTCATGGCTGAAGGGGGCAGGCCCATCATGGTGCTGGTAGCCCTTTCCATGACCTACCTCCTCAAAATGTACCGAAACACGGGGAACCTCGTCGACTGCGTGGTTGCCACCTCCCTGTTCAAGTGCGGCTTTCCACACGATCACCTCTACTCGCTGCTGAGCTTGCCACAGAAGCCAAGCGGCGTGGTGGCAGACTACGGCCTCTCGATCGAGGACGTGTGCATGCAATTCGCCGCGACAACTCTCATCGTCGACCAAAACCCAAGACTTCTTAGCCTAGCGCCGCACACGTCCATTCGCACCGGGGGCCAGAAAGTCCAGCGCCTGGATCTACCGTCCTGGGTTCCGGACCTGACGTGCCAGGGACCGGTGAACCCGTTGGTGTCCTACACAATCCGGCCGCAGCTCTTTCATGCCGGAGGGAAGGAACCACCTAACATTACCATGTCCTCCGACCGCAAGCGGGTGCACCTGAAGGGCCGTATCGTTGACAAGGTTGCAACGCGGGCTAGGGCCCAGGTAGATGTGCCCTGGCCCACCGAGGAAGATATCAAGCCCAGAACTGGCTTCCACGTTTATGTCAAGAAGCGTATGATGAACTGGCTGCAGGAATGCTATGAGGTCGCCGGGGAGGAGTATTCGAGACAGAATGGCAAACAAGGGAGCCACCCTGCGGAAAAGAGCGGGGAACGAGAAGAGTTGAGGCGGCAGTTCCTTGAGACTCTCCTCTGCGGCATGACTATGTTGCGGGATCCCATACCCGAGGAGGCGCTGGAGGCCACGCAGGTTTACGTCGACTATATCTTCGACTACTTCACCGACGACTATGTGTTGTCAACAGAAGTCAAGGGGACTATGTTGACGTACGGGGCGTTGATCGAGCAGTCGATTTTGGCCATGGCTGAGGCTCGGTGTTTTTGCCGGACGGAACAAGGTCGGCTGGGACAGGTCCGCGCCGATGCGGTAGCGGGGGATCTCTTTGTGTGTATTGTCGGCGCTGAGGTACCCTATCTTCTGCGGCCGAGCCCTGAGCTGGAGGGGACCTACACTCTCATCGGCGATGGGTTTCTCCAGGGTGTGATGCAGGGCGAAGCATTCACGAATGCGCGGTACCAAACTATCGACATCACGATTGTGTAAGGAAGTGAATGTTGAAGCTCGTAGTTTAGTTCCATGTCTCAGGATCGTGTTCAGCCCGTGAGACGTTTTCATAGCATTGAGAAATTACAGTTGGACCTACCTATACCGACGGGTTTTCAGAGACCTTTGATTCACGGTCCCTCTTCACGACGTTATAAAACAACCGGAAAAGGAAAAAAAAAAGGGGGGGGACCTCAGAGGGGCGGCTTGAAGCTCTAAAGTGGAGAGAACGCGGGTAATTCAGTCTTCGCCAACATTTTTGGAGCGGGATGGCTGCCTGAAATACGACCCATGCAGCCCGCTGATTGTTTAACAGCAATCATAAGTCCCCTCTGCGTTCCCTTCCCTCCTTTTCCCCCAACCTTTTATTTCTTAAAAGACTTCGAAAAGTCATACTTCATTTGCAAAGCCGCAGCCAACCAAGTCAACCGCCCAATAACCGCTGCCACAAAAATTACAATGGACGCCACCCTCACCCCCAAGCAAAAGAAGCGACTCCACGAAGTCGCCGACCTCATGCTCCAGATCTTTCAGACGCTGGCCCGTATGCGCTACCTCGAGCCAGAATGGATCGAGCCCGGCCCGCACGACATCAGCGCGCTCATGCCGCTCTACAAATCCCTCAACATCGACCCGGCCATCATCTACCTCTACAGCATCCTCCCGTACCTCAATGAGGCTGCCTACAGGCACGGCGTCGACTTTTACGGCGGCGGCGAGTTTGTCGACTTTCGCGACAGGGCAGACGTCGAGCAGGGCCGCAACCCGATGCACGACCGCGAACCCGAGTGGATGATGCGCCCGTGGATGACGCCGCTGTCGGCCATCGGAAACCACTGCATCGCGCTGCTGTATGACGCGAAGCTGCATGTCATCGGCATCTATGCCCAGCTAGATGTGGGTAGCTCGGATCCAAATTTGCACGAGGGGGCTATTTTCTCCACTGAGAATGAGGCGGGAGAACGGATATATTTTAGGAAACGGGACGGGATCGAGCAGCCCTGCGACGTGTCTGAGTGGGAGAAGCAAGCGAACGGGAGCGGTAATGACAGTGAGGATGAGGAGGAGGACAACGACGGCGATGATGATGACGGGAACGATGATGAGGACGAGGAAGAAGAAGGAGGCGAGCAAGATGAAGAGCAAGAGGAGGATATAAATCACTGGGATGAGATGGACGCTAGGCCGGCTGGCAAGGTTCTGCGAGATATCATCCGCTGGTACCACGAGCTGTTTGAGATTCCGGGGGATGGCGAGAGGACTGGGGACGACTGGGATAGAGACCTCGTGGAGCCGATATATCGCAAACACGGCTGGCCTAGGGAGGACTTTGACGGGGATGCCTTCCTTGTGGATAAAATGCGTGCCGAGGCTATTAAGTCGGCCAAAGAAGACGCAGAGGAACTCTTACAACAACAAGAATCGCTTGAGGCCCAGCTAGAGTGGAACAAAAAGGGTGAGGAGTCGGCTAAGCTACAGAGACTCGAAAAGCTTGCCGCTACAACGACCGTCGACGAGGAGTGGGTTGTACGGTGGGAAATCTGGCAGGCAGAACGGACGACCCGAAACCTGCAAACCAGACTGAAAGAAGTGGAAAGATCAATAAGTGCGGGTGGAGGCCGTTTGGTGGTCGAGGATCTCCCATTGCTGGAGCTCAAGCACGTGGAAATGAAGTTGCTCCAGACAAAACATGACTTGGAACAACAAAAGAAAGACGCGGTTGATCCTCAGACGCGGGACGAAATCCGCTCCCTCGAAAAACAGTTGGCGATCTACGAGAAGGCATATACCGCCAGTTTGGCTGATGCAGAACGTCTGTGTCCCGGAAAGGCCCCGTTGGAGCTAGATCCTGGTGAAAAAACAGGCGGGTTGAATTACAGAACGTGGTCCGAGGAATTGGGGAGGAGAATCGCGGAGGGGGAGCGGGCTATGGCTGAGGTCCGACTTTGGATAGCTCAGCTCCCAGATGGCGCCGTCAAAGCGAGAACGCTTGCTGAGGACGCCGCTGAGGCGTTCAAGAAGTCCATCGAGTCGTGCTCAAAAACGCGCCAGAACACTCTCGATGAACTAGAGAAGCACTTGAGAGAAAGCTCGGGTTGATCCAGGGGCTGCGACATGGATCAGCTACGCGATGCCTTGGCGGTTGCGGGAACACCGATGGGCCCCGCCTGCATGAAGAGGAAATCCACGAAGCTCTCGTATTGCACCGACCCAGCCACGGTGGGGAACCGGCGGCTCGCCGAAATGAGCGGTCACTCCGTTACCCTATAGCTCGACGGATATCTCCAAATACAAAAGGAACGTGCCGTCCATCTTGCTCCAAGTCCCTGGGCTTTCTCCTACTGTGTTCCGTCGCGGCTCTCGACATCAGGTCGACATTCTTACTTTGACCAGACCATGTCCCCGTCAACGATTCTGGTCTCGGCACTCGCCCTCCAGGCCCTCACTGGCGCCTATGCTGCGCCAGGTACGAAGCTAAATGCCAAGGCAGTTCGTCCTGACGAACCTCCAGTGTTCGATGCGAAGCCCTTCCCAACCAATGGCACGGAGGAGCCCTATATCCCTCCTCACGTAGACTCGCCACACTTCCGCCTTTTTCTCGGCCCGGCGAGCGAGACGGGTGCTGCGGAAGGTCTCCAGCCCCTCGAGGCAGCCTACGACTGCTTCGTGGGCGTGCTTGGCTGGAACTCAACTGGCCTATCAATACGGGACCCCAGCGAGCCGTACTGGAAAACCGAATTTTTCATGCAGGCAGAGATGGCCGGTGGCTTCAGCGGCCTCGCCCACTACGGCGTAGACACGGGGAGGGCCTGGGTGCAGCTACTTGACGGCGTGCTCACGGCTCCGAGCTTGACAGTGCACGAGCTGGGCCACGTGCTGCACTTCCACCAAGACAACAGTTTCTGGGGCGGCATGGTCAACGCGCAGGCCTGGGCCGAAGCCGTCGCCAACTGGGTCGCCGACACGTACCTAACCTCGGACCTCTGCGCCGCATCCCGGGCCAAGCACAACCAACCCATCGGCCAAACCGTCTTCCACATCTACCGCACCATCGGCGACTCGCACCTGACCATCGTCGACGCCACCAACACCCAGATCGGCAACCACTACGACGCCTGGCCCTTCTTCCACTACCTCGTCCTCAACCCGGACAACTGGCACGGGCTCGGCCGCGACGCGGTGCTCACCCTCATCCGCAGCACGCCCGCCGGCGCGCCCGACGAGACGCCCCTGCACGCGCTGGAGCGCGTCCTGGACGGCACGGCCACGGTGCGCGAGGTGGTGGCCCGCTACTGGGCGCGCATGGCGTACGTCGACGTGGCGCACCCGCAGGCGCTGCGCGCGTTTGAGGAGAACAAGGCCTTCCTGCACAGGTCGAATTTTGATAAGGTCGCCGAGGGCCGGTATAGGGTCAGGCCGGGGCGGGCGCCGCGGTATATGGGCGCGAGCATGGCAGTGTTGGTGCCGGTGTCAGATGACGGCGCGGGCACGGTGGCGGTTCATGTCACGGCGGCGGAGGCGGGTGCGTCGTTGGTTGCTACGGTGGCTGTTCGTGATACGGCGTCGGGCAGCGTTAGGTATGTTGGGCTTGACGGCGGCGTGGGGTTGGTTGATATTCTGGCCGGGGAGGAGGCCACCTTGGTCGTGGTCAACGCGCCCGAGGTGCTGCTCAAGTACGATGGAAACAATCTGGCGGGTAGTGAGGCGAACAAGGGGCTCGACTACTCCTTTACTGTCATTGGTGCTACAGTTTCCATGTATTAAATAAGTTGTTGATTTTGCACTAATCACAAATTCCCATTCTCTTTCTTAAATTCTGTTATGATGGCTTGATCTCATTGGTGATAATGTTTCAGCCCTTAACCCCTACCACACCTCGCTCGCGGTGTTAGCGAAGCAAGCCACATTCAACTGCGGCAACTGCGGCAACTGCGGCAACCGCGGGTGCGGTAAATACATACCTACCTCTTAGCTGTTATGAATATTAATGTGAGGGCTGTCTCTCTTCTGCCAACACCTTGTCGTTCAAGGGCTTCCAATTCCCCAACCAAGCCGTTGATCCTATTCTCTCTGCTACGGGTACAAAAATGACCGCAGCCGGGGTCAGACAAGAAGGGTTCACGGCGCTCACCAAAGGTGGATCGGCGCCGATTGCTGGGTTTGTCACCGCATGCCGCTTTGCAGTTTGGGTATCAAGATGACTGACTGAAACGCCCTAAATAGTCTCATCTTTGTCTACAGCTTCCAGGGCCACCCCGAAAAGACATGGACATACGGAAAGAGGGAGAAAGAGGCCAGGCCCATGAAACCCATGAGTCGGGTATTCGAGGTCTTTGCTTCGAGGAGGCACGCTGAAGACTCCTTCGATCAGCCGACCTACAGCCCGCCTGTCTTCTGGCCGCTCGATCTCCTGGCTGAGGACTTCTCTCACGTTCGGGTTCTCACGTACGGATATGACTCATTCTCGCATGTCGAACTTCTTAAACGGTCCCGCCAACCAGAGCGGGATTGTTGCCCATGGTGTCGCTCTCATGCATGCGCTTGAGGTGGAACAACGAAGTTGTCGCAAACGGCCCATCATATTCCTCGTGCACAGCCTGGGTGGGCTCATACTGAAGCAGGTGAGAACCCCATCCCGACGAAGGGGCAACACTGATAGTCCCAATGCAGGCTCTTAGCGGTCCAAGACCACCCTATCCGATCAGTATGATCTGCGTGATATATACGAGTCGACGCATGCCATTATCTTTTTTGGCACCCCACACCGTGGGTCTTCGTACACAAAGTTGGGCATTCTGGCGCGAGATATCGCCGTCCTCGTCGGCCTCGATGCCAGCGGTAGTATTCTCCGATCTCTCGAGCCCGACGCTGAGATCTTGAGGATTCTTAGCGATCAATTTGCGCACATGCTTCTTGAAAGGTCGTTCAAGATCCATTCTTTCCAGGAGGCATGGGGTTCACGAGTGCTTATTTCTTGTCGCGAGAGGTAAGTTAGCTGCGCCCGGCCTGGTATATGTAACATCGATTACTTGTATCTGTGCTCGCTTCTGGCGCCTGGTACAGATTGTCGACGATGACTCGTCACGACTGGGCGACGCTAGGGAAACCACCGACTTCATCAATGCTAACCACATGATGATGTGCAGGTTCAGTGGCCTGGATGATCCTGGGTACAGAAAGGTGAAAGGCGTTGTGTCCCAGTATTTGGACGAGATTCAAACCGTACAAGCGCGAGATGGTAGGCAATTCCGCGAAGCTTATAACGTTTCTGTTCACTAGGTAGGTACCTAACCAGTAGCAGGCGAGCGGAAACAGAAATTACTTGCGGAGAGTACGTAGCTCCCAGGTGTACCTTGGTTAAGACGTATTAGTGAATTGCTTACTCCGATATATAAGGTGTCGCCCGTGAAAAGCTGAGTAGGTCGTGGTACCCCGAACTCTCGCGTGTGGAGACTTACGATTTCACAGGACTGGAACACGAACGATCGAATCTAATTCGTGGTTGGTGACATACGCGATGAGATAAAGAGAAGCCACAGGACAAAACTGATCAAATTCTAGAGATTCGGGTCAGCCTTAGGGCTGCACAAATCAACGAGAGAGTGGGCGAAGTCGAAACTGCACACCAACACACCTTCGATTGGGCATTCTCTCCCTCCAAAACAGGTTTCCTCGAATGGCTCCGTGGCGACGACGGCCTCTTCTGGATCACAGGGAAGCCAGGCTCAGGCAAGTCGACACTTATGAAGTACCTACATCGAGACTCCCGCACCAAGAAGGCTCTTTCGCAGAATGATCAGAAGGTCCTTGTCATGCCTGCCTTCTTCTTTCACGCTAGAGGCGCAGGAACTGAAAATTCATTCGACAGCCTTCTCAGATCACTTTTCTATCAACTACTTTCGGAGGTACCGGAGCTGGTTGACTCCGTCGCTGGCATTTACAGCGAGTTCAAAGAATAAAACCTCACATGCCCGTGGTCCCTCGCTCAACTTCGAACTGCCATGGAAAATCTACGTCGACAGGAAACCGAAGGCTGCATTTGTGTCTTTATCGACGCCTTGGACGAGTACTCGGGCCCCGGAAAGGAAATTGCCGACCTACGTTCGGTACCTCGCCTCTCCTGTCGACAAAAGGGGAAGAAGTGGCAAGCTCAAACTCCGAGTATGCGTGTCTAGCCGACCCGAGACGACCTTCATCTCGAAGCTGAAGGGCACACCAAAGTTTGCGATCCACGATTGGACGAAGACAGACATCAAGAAATACGCCTCTGATAGGCTAGACAGATGCGACAGGTCCGGGGCCGGCATCGTACTGGACGATATCACACGCCGAGCGGACGGCGTTTTCCTTTGGGTTAGGCTTGTTCTTGATGAGCTCTGACAGCCCCTTTGCAACGGCATGCCAATACGGGAAGCACGTATCAAATTCTCCGAACTCCCCACAGGCCTCCCTGCCTTCTATGAGCGAATGCTGAGGCAGATACACCGGGATGATAGGCCCGTTTTCATAGCCATGCTCGAGCTAGTGTTGTGCCTTGATTATGGGGGCGATAGGATGAAGAGCTGCGGCTTCAAATACTTGTCTCGCAATAGACATGATGCAACGAAAGGATTTTGCGACGGCACACGACATCAGCCTGACCTCAGCCGAAGACGAAAGACGGCGCTGCGAGGTGGAAAGACGCATAAAAGCCTGCTCAGGTGGCATTCTTGAGATATCGTTGGAGGATCGGCCGCAGTTTGTACACCAAACGGCAAAGTCATTCATTCACAATGCTCAGGGCCTTGCCATCTTTGACGGAAAATCCACTCGGGACATGGCGCGCGCTGGCCGGCCTGCAACGTATGATGCGCCTCACCACCCTTATCGTCAAGAAAATGAATTCTGCGTAAGCGACCCTCCTCGTTGCACTACTTTCGGATAATACCAAGGCTGCTATCCGGCATCGAAACTAACATGAGGAGATATGATTAGGGAAAATCGGGCCATCCCTGACGACTATCATGTCCTCCGGCCAGCCTGCCAACCACGGTATCCAGATTCCCGTGCACCGGTTATTATCGACTTTCTGCAATGTGCAGCGCGTGCCGAATCCGTTTTTGAATCGACCAACGTCGCTCTGATCCATGACTTCCGCAGGGCCATCACCACTTCCTGCGGCGAGAGTTGGCTCGATACTTCAAACATGGTGGAGTGCCGTTGCATTCGAGCGGGAAAAGGTCCGCGGGGAGGAGAATGGGGGGGTTATCGGCAATATAACACCCGCGTCGTTCTTGGAGTTTGCCATACACACCGAGTTGTTCGCGTTTGTCGAAGCCGAACTGAAGAATATGCCGGCAAACTCAGAGGCCGTCCACAACCCCAAGCTGTTGTTCTACACCCTCATGAGGAACGCCTTTTCTCTCTGGGAGCTTTTCCCCTTTAGTTACCATCCGCCGGGATCATGGCTGAACTTCGCGCGGTTCCTTCTGAGAAAAAGGTTCAGCCCAAACGCGATCTTAGAGATGAACGCGGCTCTCAGCCGGCTCGAACTCATGAACGCATGCCAAGGAAACCGACCAAATTTCTGGACTCCAGATGAGAATAACCGTGGGATCGAGTTGAAACAGCATGGCCACGTGCACTGTGACGCAACAGACGAGATGGAGAACATCGGCATTGACAACGAAGGATATGAAACCGACAAGCAGGCGGCCGACGCGCACAGGGTCTCGATCTTACACTTGGCATTGGCGATTGCTTGTACCCGCTCCAGGGAAGGGATGCAGTTCCAGACGGTTTACCGACTGGATATGTTCCGGGTTCTCGTGGAAGAAAGTGGCAACGACGGCACGTCGAACTACACATACCGGAATTACTGGCACGGCTACCAAGACTCCGTGGTGGTTGAACGGTCTGCAGTTCACTACCTGCTCTCCTGCCGGTTTGAGCGGCGACCATTCGATCGACAGCAACGCCGAGGTGGCCAATGCCTTACACAAATGCATTGTCGCAGTCCTGGACCATGGAGCTGTTGGATTCGCCACATAAAACCTTCTTGCTGATACTTGTGTTGGAAGGCCATGGCACCGGAAACAGCCATGGCACCGGAAACGGTCATGACATCCGGAAACGGACAAGGTACCGGAAACGGATTCATGGAATTTTGGCAGCACAAAGACTCGGGTTAACTCAAGGAGACAAAGGAAAGATTTAGGATAAAAACCAGTTGCTCTGAAGAACTCTGAGAACCAGAGCCAGAGATCAATCAATCCTTTTCTCTCCAATCTTTTCGTCTGAGTGTCGTTTCCAACAGGAGCGGACCCAAATGCCGTCGACAGCGAGGGGATCAGCATCCTCGAGCTTGCAGTGGCATCACATCCCTATAGCCTGGTCCAAGTCCTGCTTGAGAAGGGAGCGAGGGTCACGCCGCGGCTCCTATCAGCCTCTGGTAAACCAGCACGCAATGCCGGCGGGATTTTAGATGAGCTGCGTTGGAGGAGGCCTGAATGCTATACGCCCGAGGCGTGGCGCATCGCGGCGGGTTACAACCCGCACTGGGGAATGCTGGATGAAGAAAGGGAGGGCTCACAGCTTGAAAAATCACAGGAAGGGGTAGGTAGCAATTTTTTCGGGGCCGTTAGATTGCACGTCGGAACTTGGTCAACTTGGTTGGATCGGTGAAAGGTTGGGCTTGGAAACGCATTGCTGATGGTCGCACAACCTGAGGACCTTGAAACACCGTGAAAAAGCATGTTCGGCCGGCATGTGATTAAGTTAGGGCAGATGAATTGCTGACTCTGGCCTTGGTCAACCGCCTACCTAACTAGACTGATGCGAAATCAGCTCCCAATACTTATTAACATGTGGGAAATCAATCTATGGATCATCCATAGCTGAGCCCGGAACCGACCGACCGGGCCGGTTCCACCTTGTCAAACCACGCAGTTCCTGGTATCAGGTTCGTGTTGCCGAAACCGGAAGGTGGAACCTAAGATAGGTACCGAGGTAGTTTGTTGGAAGTCCTGGCACGTCTGGGTCTGGCATAACTTAGCCCGAAGTGACAAGGCTCATGAACATTACAGTGATCCCCATGACGAGCTTAGGCATGTATTCTGGCGGATTCGAGGCAACCTTGAACAAAAAAAAAACACTCGTACATCACCGCCTCTTGTTAGGTGGTGGTCCTCGACTGCTTCCATTGCCATCAAGACGAACACCTCGGCGACCCCCACGCATCATCTACACAGCAACATAGTGGCCGAGAGCTGGAATGCGATGGAACGTAACGCTCCCTGGCCGTATTGGCCTGCTCGCATCGTCGTGGTCCCAATTGAGCGGTTTGAAAGCGGGAAGACCGAGAGCGGGTTGACCGAGCGCAGAAGGTTCCTGGTCGGGTCGATCAACGCTTATCGGCAAGAGGAGCTGGAGGCAGGCGTGGGGCAGGCCCTTGCCAGTGCAGTGTCCCCGCCTGTTGAACTACCAATTGCAGAACGTCGCTGCAACCGTGCCGAGCATGCGTCCAACAACATTCCTCCGTCTGCAGCATATTCGGCCTTGGTTGAGGTCACGTTTGCGGCCTGGCCGACAACCAACCCCAGATTTTACCAGGTTTACGTACCAGGATTATCATTTAGCGTGAAGGCGTAATCCTGATCCTGCATGGCGATGATGCTGTTGCCCCCACTCCTGCCTTTGGTATCGCACGGTATCGATAACTCCAAGGTCTTCTCAAAAACCTGCTGATCCGACAGCGCGACGCGTCTTGGCCGGATTTTAAGCTTTTGGCAAAACTCGGCACCTCAGCGTGATTGGGATATTTCCAATACCAAGCTCGCCAAGTTCATCGCCAAGTTCAGCGCCAAGTTCAGCGCCAATCGCCGAATCGAACGCCAATCGCCAAGTTCAGCGCCAATGTCGCATCAAGACTCGCCCGAACGGGCGTCCGACGACAAGAAGGATGCGGGAGACAATCGGCGAGGCTCTGTTACCGGGGTACCGAACCCGGCAGGCTGGTCTTCGTGGTTCGGCGGGAAGGACGTCGTGATCGGGCCACGCATCGGGCCTGTCCTGAGCAGCATTTCAATCGGGAGCGACTCCGACATCGAGCAGACGAGCAGTACCGCCATTCTCGACAAGCAGCTGGCCGAAGACTCGGAACATGCCATCAAATATCGGACCTGCAGCTGGCAAAAGGTGCGTGTTCGCGCGGGAGTTGGGACCGCAATCGTTGGGATCGGCATTGATATTTACAAATGTGCATCAGACTGCCGGGTTGCTCTTCTCCGAGTACATCTGCTTGGTACGTTCCTATTGTCCATTCTCTGGGCAAGCCACCGCTTGCCATATCGAATTGAATTTTGGAATGCCAACTTGCACTAGGCCATCATGAGCTTCCCGTGGTCCTACAGCGTGCTTGGCCTCGTCCCAGGGTAAGTTTCCCTCCCGCATCAATGGGCATCTTGCCTAGATTGTCTGTCAGGTCGCTAACATCAGTCAAACAGACTCATCCTGACCGTTGTCATCTCTGGCATCGTGCTATACACGTAAGCGGCAGCCCTGCCTCGTGCGATACCCCTCACCCATTCCTAACACCACTGGTTAGATCGTTGGTCCTCTGGGAATTCTGTCTGCGTCACCCCGAGGTCCGCGATGTCTGTGATATTGGCCAGATGCTGTTTTGGAACAAGAAGTGGGCGTGGTGGGCCACTGCCGTGATGTTTCTGTTGAACAATACTGTACGTGACCAGCTCGCCGTCTCCACGTTATTTTTTGCAAAACCCACAACTAACCCGGTTGCTTTTGGCAGTTCATCCAGGGTCTGCATGTCTTGGTCGGGGCCAAGTATCTCAACACCATGACCGAGGCCGATCAGGTCGGGTGCCGGACTGTCAGTTTCGGTATCGTTGTGGCCATTGTGTGCTGGCTATTCTCGCTTCCCCGGACCTTCGACATGCTGTCCAAGATCGGTACCGCGTCCGCCTTCTTCACCTTCGTCTCCGTCCTCCTTGCAACCATCTTCGCAGCCATCCAATCAGAACCAGCCGGATTTGATGGCACGGCCCCGATTGTGACGGCCTCGCCCGTGCTTGGAACGACGTTCGTGAACGGTCTCGGCGCCTTCCTCAACATCAGCTACACCTTCATCGGCCAGATCACCCTTCCTTCTTTTATCGCTGAGATGAAGGACCCACGTGACTTTCCCAAGGCGCTCTGGGCCTGCACCATCGCCGAGATCGTGCTGTTCAGCGTCGTCGGTGCCGTCGTCTACGCCTACGTCGGTAACCAGTACATGACCGCCCCGGCCTTTGGATCGTTAGAGCCAGTGTTCAAGAAGGTGTCCTTCTCGTTTATGATTCCCACCATCATCTTTCTCGGCGTGCTGTATGCGTCCGTGTCAGCCCGCTTCATCTTTTTCCGCATCTTCCAGAACTCGCGCCATAAGAGCGAGCACACCCTGGTTGGCTGGGCTACCTGGACGTCAATCTTGTGTAAGTGATCGTTCCCACCTACTGGCTCAAGCTTGACTTGAACTGACGCATGGCAGTGGCAACCTGGATTTTGGCATTCATCATCGCCCAGGTCATCCCCTTCTTTTCTTCACGTAAGTTTTCCCTCCCGCCTTCTGTTTCTTCCCTCGTCGGCGAGCTAAATTGTCCTCGCTACCAGTCCTCTCCCTGATGAGCTCGCTGTTCGACAGCTTCTTCGGCTTTATCTTCTGGGGCGTCGCCTACTTTCGAATGCGCCAGGCGGACGGAAGCATCGCGGTCGTGAAGGAGCACACCATTTCCGGTTACTTGCTCGGGGCGCTGAACGTGATCATCATCGTGATTGGTGTCTTCTTCCTCACTGTCGGTACCTACGCCACCGTTGAGAGTATCATCATCGAGTTCGAGACCGGGGCGGTCAGGGGCGTGTTTTCTTGTGCTAGCAATGGGTTATAGAGTGGGAAGAGGTGGGATGGTTGGCCGGAAAGATACCCGAACCTGGGGAGGATCTAGTGGTGTGAACGTACCGAAGGGGGCCGTTGGATGTGCCTGTCCGGCATGGGGACGACCGCCAGGCTTTGGATAGCCCGCAGGTTCACTTGGATACCTAGAATACGGCATTGAATCGCATTGTAGATAGCATATATTGAATCATCATCACTTGCGGGGAAAGTTAAGTCCACGCAAAGTCTTTGTAGAAAGTCACGGAATAGGGGGTAAGTACGAGCGTGATTAGGGGCTTTATCGGTCTCAATCCCTGCTCTTCCCATAACCCCAGAGGTTCTATGTCCGATGTGCTGAGGTGCTGGGCCTGCCACGGCTAGCCTCCATCCGCTCCGACCTGATTACCCACTTATTCTAATCATATAATTACTCTACAAGAGGCTCGAGGTAGTAAGGGGGGCAATCGTGGTAGGGTTCGCAGACGACACCAATATCCTGGCCGTAGCGGAGACGACGGAGGGTACCTGCGGCATCCTAGCGGAGGCCTGGGGACACTGTGCAGGTTGGGCAGCAGAGAGGGGTATGGAATTCGAGCCAGCGAAGAGCGAACTAATCCACTTTTCGAGAGCAAGGGCCCCGATCGAGAAGACCCTAACGATCGGGGGGGTAGAGCTGAAACCAGTTGAGGATGCTAGATCCCTTGGGGTTTCGCTCGATAGGAAGCTGAGGTACCGCGCACACCTCGCGGCGGTGAGGAAGAAGATGAAGACCCAGGTCTGTGCCCTAACAAGGCTCGCTGCAAAGACGTGGGGGTGTACCTTCGCGAGGGCGAGGGAGATCTACTCGAAAGTGATTCGCAGTGCGATCGCGTATGGAGCCTCAGACTCAGCCTTCCACACCCCTACAGAGGTAGGGGCCCCCCCCGCGGGGCCGCAAAGGAACTCGCAAAGATCCAATCGGAGTACCTGAGGGTGGTCGCTAGGGCCTACAAGGCTACCCCAATACGGAGCTTGGAGACAGAAACCTATTGCCCACCCATCGACCTGTACCTCAACAAGAGGCTCCTTGCCTTCGAGGATCGGGTTAGGATATCAGAGGAGGCGAGGCTAATCCGCCAGACCCCTGCCACAATCGCTGCAATCCTGCGGCGGAGGCGCAGAAGGGGGAGAGGAAGACCTCGGCGGGAGATAGCCGATATAGCAACGGCACCAGCGGAAAAGGGCTCAGGCGAATGGAAGAAGAGGTGGGCACAGGAGTGGGCCCCCCTCGAGTCGAGGCCGGAAAAGGAGGAGCTAGAGCCAGGGTCGACCGGCCCAGTACCAAACCACAAGAAACAGCTCGAGAGGTGGATGGAGGAGCCAATGAGAAGGGAGTGGATTGGAAGATGGGAGAGTGAGGTAGCTAGGGTGGTCGCTAGGAACCCGGGGCGGGCCCTCGAACCGGCCGATGCGACCGCGCGGTTCGACGCCTCTATCATGAACCGACACCGGTCGAGGGACCCAGCCTGGGAGCTATCGAAGGCGAAGAGTACCCTCCTAGTGCAAGCGAGGACCGGGAAGATTGGGCTTCGAGGGTTCCTCTTTACTAGGAGGTCCTCGAGGTGGTAACGCCGGTATGCCGCTGCGGTATGGCGCGCGAGACATTCGAACACCTCGTACTCAAATGCAACGGAGCCGCAGATAAACCTAAGCCCTGGCCAGACGACGGCGCAGAGCTACTGAAGTGGCTAGATGACGTGGAGAAGGCTGCCATAGTGGTGGGGTGGGTACTTGGGCTGGGGAGGCTGAACGAGTTCCGGCTGGCGGTAGAGCTGGAAAATGAGAATAACGAGGAGGCCCGCGGCGGGGCCGAAGCGGAGTAGCAGAAGGGCACCGATGGAACAGAAGTTACAACTCATTTTGTATATTTCGTTACTTGGACCTCGGAAGGTGGGTGAGCCCTTCCGAGGAGATGGATCCACGGGGTAGCGGCGAGGCCGCAGCGGAGGTGCGGAGGTTTTCATCCAGCTTAGGCATGGTTTTTCCTACCGAGTTAATCGCTGAGGGACCGCATGTACTTAGTACCTAGAGTGATAAAAGAAATAATAATTAGTTACCCACAATCATCGTCCTTGCTATTGACTTGTGACCCGCCATTCACGACGACACTAATATTCCGAGCACCTTTAGTCCCACCGGCTGCTATTATGCAGAGTTCTAGAGTAGTCCCAACCCTGATGTGAATTTGAAAGTCTTACCGCGGTAGCGCACCCATACACGACATTTTACTAGTAAAAACCATGGGCTAGGAATTGTCCTTCACTCGCGCCAAAGCCTTGCCTTGAACGTCCGTGTGGCCACCACCTATATCTACGAAGCCAGCTGAGTGTCAGCTGTGCTTATTGTGTCACAGACTGATCCGCAGGGAGTTGGTGCAACCGCAGCCCGCAACCTCACCGAACGCATTTTGTTGGAAAGACGTTCAACTCCAATGATGCCGAAAAGCTACAGGTATTTCAGGTATAACCCAAAGTCGGGCTTGGTAACAGTTGCCGAGATAACTTATTAAGCCCAGCCGAATGGATCATGGTCTGACTTTTTGAAGCAACCCGCCAGGTCCAAGTCAGCTGCGTACGTGTAGCTGACTGGGAGTTCCCCATAAATAAATAATTGACCAACAAGGGCTCCCTATCCAACCACGTACTAACCCCCAGAGGAGGGCATGGATGCGTACGTACATACGCGGTCATCAAAATTGGGACCGGATCACTGCATCTGAGGCTAGAACCTTGCAGATGCGTGGAGAGGCGATCGAGAAAAAGCTTGGGTTGCGCCCTGCAACTATGGCTTGCCTGTTCATGATTGGATCAAGTTGCTTCCCTACATGTAAACAGCCCATATTTGAATTGAAGCCTGACGGGAAATCCAATATGGGCCGGGGGGACAAATTTATGCCAACTCTCTCTTTCACTGTTATCATATTCCTCTTGTATAAATCCAGTAAATTCTCCCCATGTTCCGCTGCACATCGGGCCTAATGCAGCTTGCCCGATTTGCGGATAGCTCGAGGCATGGCAAAGCTGGAACAGCTGGAACCGAGCTTGGGTGCAGCGAGGAACGACGTGTGCCAAGGGGCTTGCCTTGCTGGTGGCTGCATATACGAGCCGCCCCGTGGTCGCTCGATATTGGCGGCATCGATTGCTTTGCTCTGGACCGACAACTCAAGCCCATCCGTCAGACGGCAGAATGGAAATCCGCTGATGAAATCACCACCATTGGTTTGACGGCTCTCTCGGTGAGAGAGAGAGGTGGTTACACCATTCTCGCCGTTAATTCCAGTCGCCGTCTGGGCTGCACCGTGAATAAGGGCCGATTGGAAAGGCCTCACCGCGCTCACCTCATCATCAACTTCACCCACTTTCGCGCTCTATATTTCAGTTGGTAATGTCTGTCATTCAGCCCCAGAGGGCTGCAGGTTGTGGGTGCCATCTGCCCTCCCACCAGTTGTCTGATACCCAAACCGGCTAAGATCAACGGGTATACCACGCCACAGCCGGAACCCGGTGCCGACATCTCGTGTCGGCGCAGCCCGCCGCGTCCAAGAACTTGGGCGATGCAACGGCAAGGGCGGCAGCCCCGGCTTGTCCCCGCATTCCAAAGTCAAAAACGTACAAGTTGAAAGGAACATTGAAAACGGCGCAACAATACGATACGAATACTGCGCGTCTGACGGTCTAACCCCGGTCGCCCTGGGCATACCATGGTGATGTTGGCGGCACATGACTTCCCAACCTCCAGCCCACGTCAAGGGTCAGGCTACATTGGGTAGGAAGCGGCGGATACTAGCCTAGGGCCCCGCTCCCGCTCTCGTATTTGCCGATTTCCTTTACTCGATGGAAATGGATGGTGAGCATGGGCGGAGCGTGGACCAACAAGCCGCTCCCATGGTTCTATTTCGGGGTTGCAGAACGGGGTAGGCAACAATGAGCTGTTATTTGGATGACAAGGTCGGGCTCAGTCGTTCTGGCATGGTCTTCAGAAGTCTATAAATCACCCCCCTCCGCCGCTGATCAAGACAGAAACAAACTCACCATCCACTCCCAACAACATCTCAACATCCCAAGATCACATCACAACATCACAACCTCCCACCACCACACCCAACCACCCAAAACAACCACCACCATGCTCGCCAAGGCCTCCATCCTCGCCCTCGCGGCCGCCACCCCTCTCGCCTCCGCCCTCGGCTTCGCCATCGTCCACAACAAGTGCGCAACCGACGTGCACGTGTGGTCTGTCGGCTCGGCCGTCGAGGGCCCCTTCAAGGTGGCCAAGGACTCATCCTACGCAGAGCCCTTCGTCAAGGACCCCGTGACGGGCGGCAAGGCGCTCAAGGTCACGCTCGCGGCCGACGGCCTGTACACGGGCGCGCCCCAGACCATCTTCGCCTACAGCCTCGATGGCGACAACGTGTGGTACGACCTCAGCGACGTCTTCGGCGATGCCTTCGTCGGCAAGAAGGTCTCCGTTACGAGCGCGCAAGCGACTTGCCCGTCTATCATCTGGCCCACTGGTGTGCCGCCGGCGGGGAGCCAGGTTAAGGTCTGCACGTCTAGCAAGGATGTTACCCTCACGCTTTGCGCTTAGGGGGTTGGTTTTGTCGACTGGGGGATAGGTGGTGAAAGACGCGTTGGCCGGGGGAAGGAGGAGTAATGGAGTTGGGATATGGATATCACATCTGGGTTGGGTCGGGGGTTCTGTTCTTACATTCCTTGGGACCTTAAGAGGTCTGGTAATTGCTAGTGAATACCTACATAAAATAACTGGCTTTCCATTTGCCAATTTGATATTTCATCAACTTATCATGGGGTCGTAAGCACGTCGAGTAAAAAAATGCCAAACAAGACAAACCAGGGGAGAATGGGAAGGAAGGGGAAGAAGAGGAGGGAAGAAACAAGGTACATGTAATGAATTGCACTGATAGAATTGCTGCCTCAGTGCGAGTGTGGAACAGGCTAGTCAAGACAAACTTCTAAACACCTATCCTGGCAGGTATCATATTCCATAGACCCATTTCCAGAATACTTAGTGGTAACATGTCTCGGGACTAAGGCAGGTAAGGTAGGTAGTTGCATGTACTTGTGGGAAGTGTACCCACATCATGCACTCCGATTCTGGTCACTGTGACACTCCTCTATCTCCTGTTGGGTAGAAGGCTCTTCAGTAACAGCAAGTCTACGGTCATGTCAAGAGCCAAGTTACCGAGTTACCACATACAAATAAAGCCGGGTTCTTTTTACATCACATTCTAGCGCTGACTAGCTGGAACGGAAGAACGCTAGGGGGAAGCCTCGTCCGCAGGTTAATCATACAATCACATGTAATGGCCCTCGCTGTCTTCCTAATGAACGCTTACATGTAGCACGAGGACAACGGCACGGCATACCAAGTGTGGGAACATAGGTCCAAAGTCAGCAACGCTAGGTTGTTGCAAAGACTTCGTCTCTTCGGAGCCCGTAACCACCACGGAGCCATATTCATGTCTCGGAACAAAGATAAATAAAAGAGTGTCAATATGTGAGCGCCCTGACATAAACGAGTGTATAATACATCTGAACCAAGTTGAGGACCAATGCTCCCCACAAAATTGAAAAGAAGACAAAACAGTGTGCGTATGAAGTCCCCCAGACTAATCGCCAACCGTCGAACCAGACCAAACCGTGACGTATATCCCCAAAGCAGACGAAACCCGACACGACTCACCCAACCCCTTAACCGCAGACGCAAACGTTCTGCGCAGTGCACTGACCGCCCTCAAGGTGCCCAATCTGCTGGCAGTGCGCCTCGCAGCAGAGGCCACCAACCGGGTCCGGGAAGCTGCAGCAGACGCTGCGCTTGTCGACCGCGGCCTCCGACCCATCCCTCTTCTCAAACACGGCATCCACGAACTGATCCACGGTCGCCACACCGTCTAGCGCGCGCGCGAGCAGCTCGTCTCCGTCGGCGGCGACGACGGCACGCTTGGCCTTCTTGGCGCCGCAGACGCAAATCTCGGAGCCCGCGGGGCAGCCGTCGCGCGGCACGCACTTGCCGCCCTCGGTGTGGCCCTCCATCTCGCAGACGCGGTTGCACGCGCCGTCGCCTAGCACGCACACCACGGAGCTGCAGTCTTGGGCGAGGGCTAGGGGCGCGGTGGCGAGAAGGCCCGCGGCGAGGGTGCTGAGGATGAAACGCATGTTGGTGGTGGGTGGGTGGGTTGGTTTGCTTGGTTGTTGGAGGTTCCTAGGTACGCAGCAGCGGTTGGTGAGAGTACGTTCTTTGGGATCTTGATGGGATTCTTGAGGGGACATACGAGAGAGTTTGTTGGGAGAGAGCTGTAATGATAGGTAAGTGTGCTGATGGGCTGATGGGTTGATGTGTAGGTAAAAGGCCTGATGTGAGTGAGTGAGTCGCCAACTTGGAGCTGGGTCTGCGGCTCTATTTATGCTAGTCTCGCCTCACCTCAAGGATACCAGGTTTAAAAAGGAGGCGCTTCACCTTCAGCTGCTTCTATGTTTTGTTTGTCAGATGAGACAGGGAAGTCTCTGTCCCACCAGCCATGTTTGGCATGAGATCGTTATGCTCGGTGTTTGATTCCATCCGCATGACAACGGGACTATTGCCCTGTTCTTTCATTGGGGTGTTAATCCGACGATGTTGTGGCAACTGCGGTCTTGACTGTGAGGCTGTTTCGTGTCTCGCAGTGCCTCACCGAGACCCGGTCAGTTCCAGGGACTGGATCGATTGGTTTCTATTCGTAGACGAGCGTTGATCAATTACAGGCAAGAGTTGGTCACATCTGCCCGTATTACTGGCACACATAAGGCTTTGCGGGGCCTTCTCAGCACTGGTCGTGGCGCTGCTCTTCCCGGCCGGCCTCCCAATCTGTTCAAGATCGGTTGCCCCCAGCGCCTTCAATGTCAATTACGGTGTCGGCAAATGGGATATACCATGCGATGAACCGACATTCATAATATCGTTCTCTCGGCTGATTCCCTAGCTTGTTCTTGGTGAAACATGTCAAGACTGCCCCGACACCCTTCGAGTCTTCTTCGCAGCGGTGCCCTGCTTCATCGGATTGGCAACCCATGAATCGGGGCTGAAGGTAACTTGAAATACCATGACTCACGTAACTGCTGATCGCAGCTCACCGAGACCGGTTTCAGCGTAACAACATAACCAATAACACCAGGCTTTCTCAGGTCGAGGCGCCGATCCTTTCCAGATCGCACTGATTGTCTGGCTGTTCCAGTTGCCCCAGGATCAAATGACTTGCGGTACGATTAGCGTCCACTCTCCGACTAAATACAGAATCCTCTGCGAGGTAAGCTGTCTCCAACTCCTGGAATGTTCTGTTGCTCCGGGTGGGCGGGCATATTGCTTTGACTAACGTATTCTGGGTTTTAGGTGGTTGCTGGGTTGGTGGAGATGGCGTGGCACCAGACAGACAGTGTCACGCTGCAGGGAGCTTCTGATAGGGGAAGATCTGAGTGGGTGAAAAGTGAGATGTGTTCAACAAAAGGAAAAGGCCAGTTGGAACTGGTAAGCATACAAAGGAGACCCCCTTTTCTATTTGTCAGTTCCCTGTGTATGACAAGGCCTTAAGAGCTGAGAAATACATGCTTATATTGCAAGAGAGACGGCAGAGAAATTGCCAGGCCGGCGGACGACTTTGACCATCAGCGGGAGACGCTATTTCGGAACGAAACCCTAAGGAGCATGACGGTCTCAACAAGGCGAAGAGCTCACTGCTGATTCAAATCCGGACGGGAGCAATAGGCCTACGGGACTTCTTGTTCACACGGGGAGTCCCGGAGGTTCTGACGCCTGCCTGCGAGTGTGGCGAGGGACGAGAGACTGCCGAACACCTAGTAGTGTGGTGTTTGGCCCCACCGTTGGCTCGAAGATGGGAGAGGACTGGAATTCGGACACGACGGGACTTTTACTCTGTTCTACACGGTATCAATCCCACGACTGCACGGCTTGCGAGGAGGATCCTCGACTGGCTGATGGACACGGGGAAGCTGCCGATGTACAGCTTAGCCAGGAGGCTCGAGCTGGAAACGGCGGCCTGAAGCGCCCCCGTTCGGAGGCCAGGAGGCCTCCTCTCTTTGTATATGTAGGCTCACTAAAACGCATCGCTCCTTGATTGTTGGTACGGGTTTTTCACCCGGCCTGGGAGGGCACGGTTTTCCTGTACACTAAACAGCAGAGGGTCCGGCACGCCCTAGGGCGTAGCGGAGTATGAATAATAATAATATATTGCAAGAGATGCGCATGTTGATTTGGTAACTAGGTAACTCTTCCCATGTTTGGGCGGTCCTTAGGGTGGTGGTAGAGAATGGTGTTGGGATGGTATCATGGTAGCATCGTTATTTCGCGAGCACGTATGGTATTGGGGTGTTGTAGTTGATATCCCAGTGAGATTGCGATGGGGTTGATATTGGAATCACCAATTATATTAACTATTGGGCAGTGACGGTCGCTGCCCCATACTGAGCACGAAACATCTACATCGAGAGTCGCTGGTGAGATTCATAGGTGAATTAAAGCGCTCCGTCCATGTCATCATTAGGTAGCGTTTGTGGCTGGGTTAAATTGCGCTGTGTGCCATCCTTCCACTGTCACTTCTGTCACTCAAAGTTCCTCAAACGTCAACTCACATCTGCCCAGAGAAGCGCACGGTGAAATAAGGATTCTTTTTCCCAGTGAGCTGGTATCCGCCAGGAATTTCCAAGGGTGAGCTTCGACAAAAACATCTCCTTTTTACCGTGAACTTGGTTCGTTGGGCTGCTGACTACCTAAGTACAGGCCCAATCACGGTCCGGTTGTCATCGTCCTAGTCGTCGGTCCCTCCGCTGCGGAAGGCTGCTTGTGCCACTCGCCCGTTGTTTTCCTTTCCCTCCGTGTTCTTCCCCCGTCCGCCACCGCCCTCCTTCCGCACTCTCTTTACCATCTTCCCACTGCTCCTCATCTCCTTTGTACCATACTTCTCCCCCACCACTAGGGAAAAGGCTCAATGGCAGCTGGGCTGGAGTCCGTTTCAGCATCATCCTTGTCGGCACTCGGCCCCGGCAGGTCCAAGCAACTCAAACTGCTGTCACGCCAATCTCACCTTCCAAAGTAGCAACCGGCGGCTGACCACCCCATGGCCCGTTCCCTTCCAGGGATTCCGGGTAAACAAGGGTGCGCCTTGGTCTCGCATCCTCTAAGAATGTGGTAGCGAGGAAAGATCGCCGAAGCAAAAGTGCCTCGAACCCTGCAGGCGGCCTAGAATATTTTTCGCGAGTTTACTATCAATGTAAGGTACCTAGGTACCCATTTACCCTAATGTGGCTACCGAGCTGACCTTGTTCCAGTCGGCTGTTCCTCCCCACAATAAACGCTCCAATACCCTCTTATTTCAACTGTATCTGCCGAACCGAATTTTGCTACTTGACAGTTGGGGCGCCATCAACACCTTGAACCCCTAACTCTCGGTTCTCGCCAACCAACCCCCATTCCAATCAGCAGGCGCTAGGCCCAGAACAGTTGCAACCGCCAAGGGTATGAACTCGCCAGCCACGATCCGAGCATCGAGACTGGAAGACATTGCACCCATTCTTGTAGCAGCGGCAGACCTCCTCGGAGCCCCCCTCGTAGCCAATGACCATGTTATCGCCATAGCAGTAAGGAAGCGTCTGAGGAGTGGGTAAATTGCCGCCATTGTCCTGAAAACACTGCATCACCGAACAGTCATAGGCCAGTACTCCTTTTCCGCCAGCAAGCAGCAAAGCCGCAGCCAGGACAACATTGTTGACTGAGAACTTCATGGTGGAGGTGGGATGTGTTGCTGGGTTGAACTTGGGGTAGGTTCTGCGCGAGAGTAATATTAGTCTCAAGTCCGGTCTTGTACAAGTTGTGTTTAAGGAATTCACCAACTTTGACTTTGAGATGTGAGGATGTTGTCTAGGACTCGGGTGGCAGTCGGAGCAAGTCTGATGGTTTTTTCTGGATTCTACGGGAACCTCGCACCCCTATATATACTCGAGTGTCGGAGACTTTCTCGAGTCTCGCGGTTCGATGTACGAGGGCCGGGAGAAAGACGACTAGGCACGCCGGCGACATTCAGCGCCAAAGCAGTGTATGGAAACAAGGATTCCTTCCTTCCGTCCTCCCTTGTTTCCTGAATCACCTCTACCCCGCTCTCGAAGCGCCTGGTTCATTGTCCTGGCATTAAGAAACCTCCGATGTCGATTCCTGTTTTGGAGCACTAGTATATTCGGCCCCCAAACGGCTTACATTTGGCCCCCAATCAGCCCTAAGCGGCGCGAATAGGGGCTGCTTAACATGGGACCTAAGTCCGACGCTGCCTGCCTCTAAGGCCCTTGGCAAATCTTGGCTGCGCCAACACACCCAGCTTCTTCAACATGCGGATGTTGCAATCCAGTCAACCTAGCACAACACAAGAACCCTCTAATTCCGCACATTCCAACCTAGGTACTCACCGTACTCTAAAGATAGAGCTTCCTGTGCGGCTAGCCTCAGTTGAGCGCGATGAATATGTTCGATTAAAGTAACCACAGCGTTTGGATCAGTGATCACCTACCTACCTAGGTAGGTCTAGGTCTTCTCGACGAGCGGGCTACTTCTGACTGTCACTTTAAGGTTTTCTTTTTATGCCGCTGACACTGGGACTGGGGTGTGCCAAGTGCGGGGGATTAGGCAAAGCTAACCGTACTCAGGCGGGCCTTGTGTTTCTTCGTTTCCGGGTTGCACTTCGTTGGGCCCTTTTTCTACATTGATTATGTGAGGGGGAGGGTGTCTGCATGTATTTCTAATGCATTCTTCACGTCACTGCACTCTATTAACTCAGTTCTATGGCCCATCTCATTTCTTCTACGAAACAGCTTGCAATGATAAATCAAACTGTGGCCCTCATGCCACAACCATGCGCTGCAGTTCTGATCAGATCATTAGCCCAACGCCGTACCACGGCTCCCCAGCCTTTTTCTCACCACCTAAGCAACTGGTTTGTAAAGGTACTTTGGGTTATAAGGGATCATGCCAAGGCGTTTGAAGTTGTTGCCGCCATAGTCACGCTTTCGGAGCGCGTTGTGGTCATCCAGCTCCTTTCTGGTCACTTTCCACTTTGGCGCCACATAATCTCTGTCCTTACCGAGGGCTAAATTCCGCATCTGATCCATCCGAAGACGGGTGTTTTTGATGATTAGCAGATTTTGTTCACCGCCCACCACCCTGAATGGAACCGTATTTTGGTGGAGAAGTCTGTTGAGCATGGTCCGGTCAGCGCTGCCCGACGACGAAAGCGTCTGGCGAGACTACATGTACGTACCGAACTTGAGGAGACCCGTGATGCGTTGACGATCAATCACGGATATGCGTGTGGTCTGTCCGTTCAAGAGCCACAGGTCGCCCGCTTGCTTGTACCCCATGGGGTATTTTTCCGGAGCGTTGAGGTCGAGCAAAGGTTCCGTGAAGAAACGGGTCTCGCCGCCAAAGAAGGCGGCTTCCCACCAGCGGCCGGACTCGCCGGTCACGACGCCGGCAATGGTCTTGACGTCCCTTTCCAAGTACATGAGGCTTGGTGGCGTGTTGGGGAGGTGGTACCCAGCCAAGAATCCAATGAAGAAGTGGCACAGCTCATGGGCGACGGTGATACCCATCATGGCCATCTGGATCTCATAAGTCCTTTCATAAGCGGAATCTCCGCCTTGGATCCGTTGTGAGGCGTCGACAATGGTTTCGAAGATCTGAGAGTATGTCAGTTTAGAAGGGAGGAGGGAGACGTGTAAAAGCAGTGGCTAGCTTACAAACTTGTTGAGACTTAAGATGCCGGCCCGTGATCCAGTATAATCCTCGAGTCCTATCTTTGATTGAGTTCCAGTTGGTCGTGCCCAGTCGAACTTGTGAGCCGCGCCTTCTCCATTCAGCTCGTTGGTCAGCTTGATGGGGACCATGTTATTTCTCATTTCGTTCAGATAGGCCGTGACATAAGGTGTCATGTTTGCGTGGGTTGCCGGAGTCACCGGGAAGATGTGTGGCTTTAATTCCGCTGTCCAGCCCTGGATAGCAGTAACACCGAGACGAACAAGAGCGTCTTTTCCCCGGGAACTTTCAAGCATCTTGAGGCCCAAGTTGACGGCTGCTGCCACGGACAAAAAGAGAGGAGAACCGTCAGCGACCCCGGTTTCTATATGGGGTGGTGCGTCTGACACTAGCTTGATTCGCAGTCCACCGAGGTGATTGGGGTTGGTGGCGGTGGGTATGGCGGTGGCGGTGGTCGTGACGGTGGTCGTCCGGGGAGGAGATGGACTCTCGCTCTCAGAGGAAGACGATGAAGCGCTAGAGCTAGAAGAGAAGTACGAAACCAAGCCGCTGATGTTTCCGCTGGCCGCTCCGGGCCCGGGAGTAGTGGGCCTACTAGTGGGCGCCGCGTCCCGTCGTGGTTCTCCACCTGAGTTGGTGGTATTAGGTTTATGGGCGGTGCCGCCACCGCCGGTGCGTGGCTGTCCTCCGGGACCGGGAGTGGTGGGTCTGCTAACCGTGCCGGCACCGGTACGCGGCTGCCCGTTTCCGGGAGAGGAGTTTCGGGAGGAACGGGAGGAAGTGTTGGAACTCGGACTGTTACTCAAGAATAGGGAGGCAAGTCAGTAGGTAGGTACTCAAGGCAAGGATACCACTCATACAACCCACCCTCTGTTTGACATGGTGTATGATGGTGATATGGGAAAGATGGAGAATAATTCTTATGCTTTTTGATGAGAGATTGAACAAGGTAGGGAATGGCAAATAGAAGAGTTGGAAGTGAGGAAGTAAGGTGCAAGAAGGATTTGTCGGTAGGTGGTGGTTGAAGTAGGAAACTGGTAGAATGAATGGTTTGTAGCTCGGGAATTGAACTTGAAGAGGAACTCTGATACCTTCTCGACACCGAGATGCCGGAGTTTATACGTGATAACTCTCAACAAGCCGCTGTTGACTCGGTCAACAACCTGTCGGTGGCCGTGATGGATATTCTAGGTTGACCTGTTGGTCGGTCGGCCTTAGCAGCTGCTGGCAAGAGGCAAGTAACCCCTGGCCTTGCCTCTCGACAGTCCAGTTTCAGATTCCTTGGTCGAGTCTCTGTTTCAAAAGAGGTCATCGACGAAAGGTTGAGCATGATTTCGGGACCTCGTTGGGTGTGATGTTGCCATATTGATTGGCGGGAGATATTTTTAACCTCGCTCGTGACACTGTTCAGTGTTTTGACCTTATGCATATGCTGGGCCAGGAAAAGGGTCTGATCCCATCTCATGGTTCCATGGTTTTCCATTTCACACCTAACATGGGATGGATGGCCCGTACTGTGGATGCGACAGCCATCACCCAGGGGCGTAGTATGCTGCAGTTGGTTAGGATGGTTTTTGACGAAACGGGCCGGCTGAGGGCCTGCTGAAGGCCAGCTGAAAATATGGAACGCGGACTGATAAAAGGCCTTGGCCCGCTGTGCCAATTGTGCCCCCTGCGGCCGCTGTGCCCACCGTGTGCCGCTGTTTTAGGAGGTATGGTATGTATGTACCACATACCTCGGTCCAACCGCACACCCATGCGGCTTCCTTCATCTCAACCTTGTACCATCACCTCACAGTTCCTATCTTCTGTTTCCGGTTTCGACGAACAGCTCTACACTTTCTTTGACAGCTTAGAATCAGAAAGACGAATGATTTCGGATCCCTGACCCAAGACCGGGATCTCATTACTGTTTTAGTTTCTTAGATTTCACAACCATGGCATCGACAAGTGGGACTTCCCCATTCCCGACATCGCTGAGCGGGGTAGAGATGTTGGATGTGCAACACAGAGACGCCGTTACCCGTGCAGTTCTCCGACTTCTCGACACGGAAATTGCGCGGCAGACCTATGGTCAAATCATTGATGGTGTGCCCCTCTGCGGCGTTGCCCGAGGTGTGCAAGATCATCGGGTCCTCTTAGGCCACCCCCTTGAGAGCCACGTTGTTCTCTGCCCAGGTGTTGTAGATACGGGCATTCAATTCAGAGCCGAGTTTAACATGGAGACGTTGAACTTTGACACAGAGGTTCCTCAGGCATGTCCGGTACATCGGGCACCCAAATTCTGACTGTTTGATAGTTACTTGAAGCATTCCAAGAGGCGACCCCGGATTCGCGCCCCTTTCAGCTTCGTCTCATCGAGCTCACCGCCGTGACCCTCCACCAGATTGCCGTTGTTTTGTACAAGCGGAACCTGAGACTTCATGATCGACACATCACCAACCCCAGGAATTCTGTTGATCAGCTAACTTGGTGGCGGCAAGTTGGTGACGACGAGGGAGACGACAAGTTCCCCCCAGTCTACCGACCCGAACCCTGGCCAACCCTCTTCACGCACCCCCAGTACTGCGATTATCCCCAGTATCCCGACGGTCTTGCTGACAACGTCGGTTACTGGGCCGAAGACCAGATCTTCGGAGGCGTTGTTCTCTTTGACAGGTCGCAGCCGTGGAACACGCCAGCCGCCGACGCGCTGACGTCTCCTGAACCCAACCTCTATTTGCATCCTGCCAGATACGGCTTCACACGCCGCCTCTGGCAGGTCAAAGACGAGGAGCAACGGGCCCTGTTGGAATTTCTGCTTTCTCCAACCCCCGCGGCGGCGTCGTCCTACCAACCCGGGGCCAACGGCCCTCTACCCCTCTTGCCAACGTCGGATCATAGGGTACGAATTGATCCTCATTATGCCATGTTCCGTCACAGGGTTTATAGAGATATTTGGGAGCGGCCGGAACCCACAGACGAGGATTGCTACTTCTGGGATCGTCGCCCACGGAACTCAACCGATTACCCCGAGGTGGAGGATGAGTTCAGGAGCTGGGGACTGGAGAAATAAAACATGTTGGCCAAGTACTTGGATTGAATCACGGTTTAATACGCTATTACTGAGGTATCATGGATTACCCGTGTATATGAGTACAGGTCGGTCCTAACGGTTGCGAGCTCTCAAATGTGTGTTTTGGGTCCAGGTTGGTCTGGCAGTTACAGGCATCTCCACCGCACTCGCTGGTTTACGATATCCTTTTGATTACGAAGTAAATAGTTATCTGGTCAAATTTTTTGAACAAAAGCCTACGCGGGGATAAGCCTTGCTTCTGAAGACCTACATGTACATGTCGCGTGGTTGTTTACATGTTTATGTCTGCCTAAGTTCATGTATAGTCGTGGGTGTTGAAGGCACTGGGTGTGTTGGGAGACAGAAGGGGTTTGGGAATAGCAGTGGTACAAATGGAAGCCCGCAAATTGCAATGCCAATGATAATTCACTCAGGTTATCGTGTGAATTGAACTCCCCCTCCTTCGGTTTGACCAATCTCCGAGCGAGTCTTGGCAAACAAGCTTTTGGTTGCTGCCTAATAAAGTCACGTCGACGAACCCCAACTTCAATTTCCTATCTTCATCCAAATCAACGCCAAGGGCAACTACGCCGATCGCAGTTATTGTGCGTATTCATACTTTCCGACCCAGGTAGGGGGTTTTTGCTCTACGATGGATCCCCAGCCAGGCCAAGAAGGCACCGCCAGCACGCAAGCCACTGAACAGACACCGCTCCTGCCACAAAATCAATCGGATCTAAGGGCACCGACCCGACCCCGACCAGTGCCACGCGCCGTGATCGTCGGCCACTGGGTGACAGCGCTGGGTGGAATATTGGTCATTATCCTGGCAGCCGCGGTTTATGCAATCAACCAATACAACAGCCCGCGGGTGTACTATTTGATCTGGGGAATCCGGGACACCCTCCTCGCCACTTTCTTCGCTGTATGCCATCCCCCCTATGCACTTGGTATCAATGACGGTGAAGTTGACAAGGTCTGCACAGGGAATATTTTCTGCATCATGGGCTATCACCAATCTGGTACGCGTTCGCCGGATCGGAGTGCTGATGTCGGCGCTGGTAGCGGCGATCATCCATGCCGGCCTAGCAATCTTTTTGGTAGTGACACCCATTCAAGCCGCCGATGCCCTCCTGCAAGTCCAACCATGCCGTATATATGGCGGTGACGAGGACGACGGGAGAGTACTCAGATGCAAGCAGTGGGCGGCGAAATTCCATATCCTCTTGTGGACGTACCTGATTTTGGCGTTCCTTCTTGGGTAGGTCTTGCGCCCGGGAATTATGGACTTGTGTTAACAAGTTGCTAGATGTGCTCACGCGGCCCTCTTCGTCTCATCCTGCTCGTCTCCTTTCCGGAATCCCTCCTGGCGACAGAGTCTTAGCAATTGGAGGGTCCCGACTGGCCAGCTGTCGGTTGAATTCACTGTGAAATTTCTACGCCAGGAGCAACCCTCTGCAGTTGCTCAAAATGCCGCCTCGGCCGTCAACGAGGCCGCGACGTGAGACTTGGGGGACATCTCTGGCGTTATGAGAGACCTGGCTCGAGACCCTCGTGAAACCAATCTGGCGGAGGTCACATACAGCACGGCTCAGGGGCAGCTAGCTGTACATTAATAGATCATGCAAGATATTGTTGTTTTCTACAACTATCCGTTTTATTTCTAACCTTGCCTCAAACACCCGTTTTTATTCCCCCCTTCACCCCCTTCAACTTCCAACCAGACTTCACCCTCACGCAATCTTCTCCTTCGCCGCCTTCTTCAACAACCCGCCCACATTCACTTTCCACCACAGCGCCGCCTCCTTCCCCGGCGTGCGGTCCCGGTGCCGGAACGTCGTCCCATCCCCCACCTGCGGCACAAACTCCAACCTCTCCCCCCTCGCAAACCTCCCAACATGCTCCACTACCCGATCAATCGCCGCCTCCAAACACTTGGTATACAACGTATCCTCACTATCCCCCGCCTCCACCACGGGGTACACCTTATCCAGCACATCCCCGCCATCCAAACTGGCCGTCAACTGATGCAGCGTCGAAGCCACCCGATCCACCCTCCCATCCCGCAACGCAAAAAACACACAATGATTCCCCTTATACTCGGGCAAATGGCCCGTATGCAGATTGACCATCAACCCCGCCCGCGCAATCAACTTCTTGCCGATATACTTCGTCCCGGACACGATGGTCAGCTCGGGCCGCCACGCCTCCACCGCCTCCCACACGGCCGCGCTATTGATCGTGTCCACCACCAAGTCCGGCGGCGGCGACACGTGGCCCGCGGGGATCAGCCGGTCGAAGTGCGCCGCGCGCTGCCGCGCGTAGCCGAATAGTTGGCGTCGCATGCCGTGGTACCGCTGCCACCACGCGTCGAGCGTGCGGCCTTTGGAGGTGAGGTGGCGGGAGTTGCCCGGCGTTGGGCTCGCTGATGCAGCGGTAGCCCGGGAAGGCTTGGTCCAGCCGGTAGCGCAGGTAGCGGTGGTTGGGGCTGTCGGAGCAGATGAGCAGGAGGCGGAGTGGGGGCTGCGGTGTGGATTTGAGGTCGATGCTGCTGCTGCTGCCGGGGAGGGAGGACATGGGGCTGGGGCTGCGGGACTTGTAGGTTGTGGTGGAGGGGGGGATCTTGCCGCGGTCGGGGTGGAAGAGCGTGTGGATGGGGTCGTGCTCGCCTTGGAAGGAGCGGAGGACGGCGCGCGCGATGCCGGGCGCTTGCGCGAACCCGCCCGTATTGTTGCCGCCGGTGATGATGAGCTGGCCGCCGCGGGCGGTGGGGATTTGCTCGAAGACTCCGAGCCCGGTGGGGGTGAAGGGGCGGACGCAGAACTTGCGGTGCCCGCCGGGGTACATGGCGGTTGGGCCGCGCTTCTTGGCCTCGGCGTAGCCCTGGGGGAAGTAGATGCGTGCGACCTCTTCGAGCTCGTCGTAGAGGGCGTTGAGTTCTTGGGAGTCTGGTGCTGGGCGGTCCAGACCGACGTAGCCGTACCCGCCGCCGAGGACGAGGATGTCTTCGCCGGTCTGCTGGTCCTTGGCTACGGTGATGTTGATGTCTTCTACCTTGTGAGCGCGGCGGTGGATCTTCATGGAATTGTGAATCTGCGGGTCCAGGTTCGGAAGCTGCAGCCATATACCCAGGACGCCTTGGACCAGGTTCTCGGATGCCGTCCCGTGGAGAAGTGCTGCTCCCGTGGTGCCCGGGCTCACCACGAAGTGGTCTGCTTCTAGGTTTCCCTTTTGTGATCGCAAAAAGGTCACCTCGCCTTCGGAGTTGCGTTGGACGCCCTGCACCTTGCAGTTCCAGATGAACTCCGCGCCCCGAGCGATGAGGTGGTTGATCAGCTTGGCGACGAAGAGGTGGATGTTCACCGTGAATCCCTCAGCGATGATACCTCCGGCCAGATGGTCCGTCTCGGCAGCGGAGCGGAAACCCGGAAATGACTTCAGAAGGTCCGGGGTAGATGGGGCCTGTAGAAGCGAGCCTAGCCGACGGTTGAGCGTGACGGACGCGTCCAGCGCGATTGTCTCGACGTAGAGGCGCACAATGTCGTTGTGCAGACCCACGTCTTGGAACAGGTGGGGGGCCGTGTTCATGAGTTCTTTCCACAACTTCCAAGACTCGCAGTTGACCGAGTGGATGTTCTTCTTGAACATGGCTGCCATCCAACCTGGGACACGTTCGAAAGCGCCCACCCATGCCTGCTCAGCCGAAGAGAATTCCTTGGGATCCTTGACGCTCCAACCGCCGCCCCGGACGGTCTTGCGGAAGATAGACTGCATGTCTTGGTAGATATCGCTGTTCTGCTCGTTGTAGTTGTCTGCCTCAGTGTGGGTGAACATGCGGGCATTGTGGCCGCCGCTCGTGACACCCAGGCTGATCCAGTCCTTGGGTTGGCATGCGCGGGGATCGGGGCCCTGTTCCACGATGCGCACCGAATAGCTGCGCTCAACCAGGACCTGAGCGGTCATGAGGTTCATGATGCCGGCCCCCACGAGCACAACGGTCCTCCGAGAGCCGTTGCTCTTGAGCCGATCAACATTGGCCCGGCGGCTCCCGGCGTTGGCACGGGCTCGGGCGTAGAGCATTTCTGCCTCTCGCAGGATTGCTTCGTCTCTTTCTCTTGCCGAGGAACCGGACTGTTCCTTGGGAAAGGTGGCTATCTCAGCCACCCGACTCTTGGAGTATTCCTGTAGGCGGGGAATGGCGTTGGCGTCCTGTACCAGCATCGACTTGGGGGTTTCAGGGGCTTGGCCGAGCCACTGGTCCACCAGGTCGCCGGTTACTTCGTCGCCGTTGCATATCCATACATCCAGGTCATGAGACCCGGCCAGGCTAAGGGAGACATCATGGCCAGCATTGCTGAAATGAATGTAATGAGGTTGCTTTGCCCCAGAAGAAAAGGAGGGGAGGGTAGCAGTAACGAAGAACCTCATATTTGCTCCGTATGTTTTCTGGGGCTTCTAAGAAGGTGTCTGTCGTAGGAGAAGTCGCCCCTGAGTGCAGCCGAACTGTTACGAAAGGGGGCTCATCCCTTGTTGAAGGGCACCGGCCTTTATATACCGCCATCGCATCGGCCTGCTAGAGAGGAGGAGCACTCCGCCGGAGCCATCACATCTCCTGTCTACGAATGATTGCGTTTTCCTGGGGCCCGTGACGCAAGCGTGGAGAGGATCCTGCAGTCAGACGGATAGCACCCCGCTCATCACCCCTACTCTTAGCGGTGTGGTGTCAGTCGGATGGAGACAAATGCAGAGGCGATGAGGTGAGGAGCGCGGCTAGTACTTCTTGCCCGCCCGCCGTACGCGCCAGAAAGTGGTAGGGCGAGCCACGCGTTGACCAGGTAGGGGCTGCATTTTTTAGGCCGTCGATGGGACATATTGGATATGCAACTCGGCACTTGCCCATGCGTCCCCGTCTGGATTTGGTGTTGATCTACCCCAACTCAGGCAGCCTCATTCCTCAGCCTGTGGGGCTGGGCGCGTGTCGATTGGGATGGTGTGTGAGGTCGGATATGGGGAGGAGTGGACGGAGACGTGGAGGGTAGCATTCGGATTTACTACCCAGTATGCGATGTATGGCGACACGGGACCAAAAAAAAGTAAAAGTAAAAAATAAGGTGTTGCAGTGGCCGCAGCCGTTACTGAAAGAAGCCGCATATCCGCGGCTGAGATGAGACAAGGAGGGAATGATATTGGGGCCACGGGGGATGGATGGCCCAGGAGGGTGGGATGGGGGTGTGATGGTGGCCGCTGTGGATAGTCATGGATGTCTACATTGCCTAGGCTTGGTTGATGACTTGGAGGCTATCGATGGGCTGGCCACATTCTGATGTCGCGGACTAGAGTCCCAGGGGGTCGCAATGAGTAGGTGGGGATGAACTACGCTTCCGCCAGATCGATGCCCAGATCAGATCGCATCCTGCTCGCACCCCCGGCGCGGCTTCTTGCGTCTGACCACCCCACCCGGGCCTGGGGCCAGGACGAATCCGATTTGTGGCACCGGTTGATCTTGGAGCTTGCCGTCTGCTACACTAATGCAAAACTAACGTGGAAGCGCGCGATCCGGGCTTGGTGTCTCGCCTGATTTCTTGGTGACGGCCCGCTGCGGCCCGTTGTCGACTTTCTTATTAGCTGTTGCGATACTGTCCTTCGCCTATCGACTTTGTGATCTTCTCGGATCTGCTCTAGGAGCCCTGTCAAGCGACGAGCAGTGGCACGAGTGGGTCGTACATGGGCACTTGTCAGTATTTAATCCTGCGATGCCCAGACCGTTCAAGGACTATCATGTTTGAATCGTGTTAATCATGTCTTTCATCTCAATGTTTAAGCGGCTACTGATGAGGCTAAGGGCGGGAAAAAGGGGATTCCGGGACGAGGAAGCACTGGCATGCAAGAGCAACAATCAGCCCCAGGGTCACAAGGTTCCATCCGTCAAGTCTTACTGGGATTTACTAAGTGAGGTAGTAATCCTGGGTTCACAATTTTCGAGAGAAAAGGAGGAGTCGACTCAGTCGAGGACCATGCAGACATGCAGTGGGATACTGTCCTGTCATTGGACTCATTGGCCTCGGGGCTAATGACAGCGAGTGAGAGAATGGCATGACAGAGCGAATCCTGTCACTATCGACCAAAACACTTTGCTGACATAGCCGGCCAGCACCCCGGAAGAAGTGTGCGGTGGTGTGATTCTGTCCCGTTGGACGTAACGTCGGCTTGTGAAAAATTCAGGGGCTTGGCGTGTGTTGCCTGTCTGAGACTGTGCAGGCTCGGCAGATGCTGTGTAACCCCAAGTCTGAGCTTCTTTACGTAAAACCCGTTGTTCCTTCGCTGTTGGCGGTTGAATTTCCCTTTTAAGCCCATTCAAGCGATGCAGGCCCCCGGGGGGTCCGCGGAATCTTCCATGGATCTGCCAGTGCCAGTGCTGGTTAGGTCCCGACCTCTTCATGTTACGCCCCCCGAGGCCTGGTTTGTTTTTCTGTTTGTGAGTGAGTGAGTAACTCCCTGACACTCTGACTCCCCGGGGACCCCCGGTTGTTGGCCGGTTCTTCCGAGACCCCTGACGTCTGGACCCCCGGGGATGGTCGGCTTCTGATTTGCAGCACACCGCCTGACCGCCTTTCACCTCGGCGGGAAACCGATTCCGACTTCTTCCTCTCCGATGACGGCAAAGGAGGCGAAAGCCGGGCCGGAAAGTCGACGTTTGCTGTCTGCGATTTGTCCTGTCCTTTGCGTGATCGCATCCCGGATCCCCGAATTCGACATTGGCCGTCCAATCAGTCATCGGATGCCCCTTTCTGCACCGTGTGCACTCGGCGCTTCTTGCGGCGCGGTTGGCCACTATTTTGTTCTTTACGAGGTTTCCTGCCTACCTCGTCCAGCCTCGCTTCGGTCCAGTTTCGCTCCTTCGCCCCGGGCATCGCGGCATGGTCAACATGGCACAAGAAACCCAAGCAAGCGACGACTGGCGGGGGCCTGATGACCCTGATTGTCCCTACAACTGGCCCATGTGGAAGCGCATCTACATGACCAGCATCCCGGCCTTGCTCTGCGTCAACGTGTATGTGACGCCACCAGTCATGTTGCTCAACCCCAAAACACGTGTCGGCGTTCTAATTTATGCAGGTCCTTTGCGTCTTCCGTCTACACCTCCGGAGCCAACGATGTATCGCGAGAATTCGGCGTCTCTCATACGGAATCTCTGCTCGGCCTTTCCCTCTTTCTCTGGGCGCTGGGTCTCGGGGCCATCATTGCCGCCCCCGTCAGCGAGTATTATGGTCGTAGAATTGTTTATCTGACCACCGTTCCCGTTTTCGGTTTCTTTATTTTGGGTTCTGGTCTAGCACAGAACTTTGCCACCTTGATTGTCTGCCGTACTCTGGCTGGCTTCTTTGGGAGCGCCGTCGTTTCGGTCGGCGGGGGCACCAATGCCGACATCTGGGAGCCCGCGCGGGCGGGATTTGTTTATCCCTTCTACTTTGTGTCCCCCTTTCTCGGGCCAGCCTTTGGTATGTATGGTGGACTCGATGACTCCATCCCGAGTCCTCTCTTTCGTCGTCGCATCAGTTATTTGGACTCTGCTGACTGTCCCAGGACCTGTCATCGGCGGTTTCCTCAGCGAAGCAAAAGGCTTCCGCTGGCTAGAATGGGTCATCCTGTTCATGGTCGCCTTCAACTACCTGTACGCTCCTCCCGGCAGTTAGAGACGTACAAGAAGACCATCCTCCAAAAGCGCGCGCGCGACGAAAAGCGATCTGACGCACTGGCTTCCGCGAGTTCGCTCAAGGTGGCCCTCCCCTCGAGCACCGTGGTGCAGCGCATCGTTCTCAAGCCCTTCAAGATGCTCTTCGTCGAGTCCATCGTGCTCTTCATGACCATCTATATGGCCTTCAACTTTGCCGTCTTTTACAGCTTTTTCGCCGCCTTTCCTTACATCTTTGGCGGCGACAAGTACAATTTCACGGCCGGTGAGCAGGGCTTAACCTTCATTTCCATCGCCCTAGGCTGCGTCATCGGCTTTCTCGCCGTCGTCTATATCGACCGGCGCACCTACCCGGCGCTGGAAGCCAAGTACGGCGTCGGTTCCGTCCCGCCCGAGTACCGCTTGTACGGCGCCATGGTTGGCTCGGCCCTCAACCCGGCCAGCCTCTTCTGGTTTGGCTGGTCTGCCAACGCCGGTGCCTACTGGCCCAGCCCCGTGGTAGCGGCCGTGCCCTTCGCTGTCGGGAACATCATGGTGTACAGCAGCGGCGCGCTCTACATTATGAATGCGTACGGATCGCTGCACGGCGCGAGTGCCCTCAGCGCCAACAGTCTTCTTCGGTACGCCTTTGGAGGCGCATTTCCCATGTTCACGGTGCAGATGTTCTCGTCTATGGGGATCGGCTGGGCCAGCAGTCTGCTGGGCTTTGTATCGGTGGTGTTGGTGCCCGTCCCGTGGGTACTGTATAAGTATGGGAGGAGGATCAGGGCGCATTCTCAGTATATTACCATTAAGGATCCGGTGGTTGACAACCAGGGCTCGTCGACAGAGATGACGAGCAGTGAGGGAGAGGAGACGGGAGTCTAGATAAAAGTCGTTAGTTGTTCTGGTTCTAGAGGGCGGCCGTGGTTTGAATCGGGGCATTCGACCGCGCGGGTAGTCTGGCGCAGGTGGGTTGCTTTTTAAGCGCTTAGACAGACAGTAAACATTAGAAGAGCAGCCGTGACCCTCAACGGCAGGCTGCGCTCGCGATTTTAATAATACCACTTGGATGTTGTATTCCCAACTGAGTCTGGGGTGTTCAGGCCGGGGAGCGCAGCCGTCAACCGAGCATCCCCCCCAGGGCCCCCACACTCTCCCCAGATCACGGCCAGGCCAGGACAGCAACCCACATCCTTCCGGGGCTGACTGTGCCTGACTGACGACATCCTCATTCTGGATGGAATGCCGATGAAGGAGCCCACCTTCCACCCCCCCTGTTCGACGTGGGTTTCCCTGACAAACACATGGCCAATGGGGTCCCATTCCCAGCTTTCACCGTCCCCTGCCACAGTTACGAGCCATCCACATGACCTCCACCGGTTTTCTTTACCCCTGGCCGAGGATCCCGCTCCCGGGATCCACCGCCCAACGGCCGGCTCGCTTCCGCTGACGTGAGACGATCTCGGCCCTCAACGGTGTGGTCGTCGGAGAGGTTCCCGTTCGGGACGCTCAAAGTTGCCTATTCGGGACCCGACTTCGCCAACCAAGCAACTAAAACGTTCAGAGAGCTCCACACGGTACGATATCCCGGCGCCCATTGTCACCAAAAGGCCTATCTTCGTCGCACTAGGACCAATCAAGCCGCGTGTTTGGCTGGTGACCGAGGAAGGAAGAGGTGTAAATCGGAACGCCCAGGGATGGATGACATGAAGGAACCCAAACAGAGTGGCTCACATGACGCGGATTGCATGTCCTCGCTCACCGACTACTCGGGCCAAGTTGGGTGGTGCGCTTTTTAAAGAAGATGACTCCCTGGCTGATAAGATGAAAATAATGCGGAAAAGAATAATGGAAATGAAAAAAGGGGAACGGATAAAACATAAAACATAAAAACCCCAGAAAAAGGACATAGGACGAAAAAGAAAGAAAAAAGAAAAGAGAAAACACCCCGGACCACACACCACACTCCACCATGGGCTCCCTCCCACCCCCCCTCAACACAAGCACCACCCCCCTCCGGCTGGCCATCCTCGTCTGCGACGAGCCGCTCCCGCGCATCTCCACCAAACTCGGCCAGTTCGACGCCATCTTCACCACCCTCCTCCGGCACGCCTGCGCCAGCCTGTCCCCGCCGCAAACCCTCGAGTCCCAGCTCGCCATCACCGCCCACGACGTCGTGCGCGGGGGGCCCGACACGGGCGCGTACCCGGACCCGGACGCCATCGACGCCGTGCTGATCACGGGCTCGCGCAGCGCCGCGTACGCCGACGATGCGTGGGTGGTCAGGCTGGCGGCCTTTGTGCGCGGGTTGTTGGATGGGGGCCGCGTGCGGGTGATTGGGGTGTGTTTTGGGCATCAGATCGTGGCGAGGGCGCTGGGGGCCAGAGTGGCGCCCTCGCCGGGGGGTTGGGAGTTGTCGGTGACGGAGGTGGCGTTGAGTAAAGAGGGGAGGCGCGTGTTTGGGGGGGAGAGTTTAGTGAGTTTTGGGGTTGCTGGTCGTTGTTGGTGAGGGAGACTGGTTGCTGACGCCGATGGTGAATAGAAAATGTACCAGACGCATCGCGATGCCGTCCTCGAACTGCCCCGGGGTGTTGCGCTGCTGGGCCGCACCGAGCAATGCCCGATCCAGTCCATGTACGTCCGTGGTCGGCTCATCACGGTGCAGGGCCACCCGGAGTACTCTCGGTTTATTATGAGCGAGATGCTGCGAGCACGACACGTAGCAGGGGCTATTGCCGACGGGCCCTACGAGGATGCCATGAAGAGGGTTGGGGATCCGCATGACGGGCTGGCAATGGCCCGAGTCTTTTTGCGCTTCTTGAGGGAATGACGGATATGGGATCTTACATACACGGCGGGTTGCGTTGTTATTGTATGCTACTGACGAGACCACAAGACTAGACACTAGACTGGGGTTAGATTAGCAAGGGTCATTGGGAATTGCAGGGCTATGGGAGCAAGGCGATTGTTGAGAACAGCACAGCAATGGAACAGCCAATAGACGCAGGTACCAGTCCCAAGTAGAATGGGACAACACATTATCACCCCTTTACAAGTGTAAAATACAGTTCCTCCCTACCGTATGGCTCATGTTTCCCACCCGTCTCCCCCCTTCCCGTTTACATCCGGGTGAACAAGCCTGAATTATATTACCGCAACCCAACCTCATCAAAATGGACGAGCATGCAAATAGCCCAAACCCCCAGCCACAGGACCAGGGCTCCCACCCAAAGAAAAGGCACGTATGGTCCTCGCCAGCCGAGTAAACACCTCATCAGGCCCCCGCCCCTGCAGCCCAGCACCACCAGCCATAGCAGCCAACTCCAACTTAGCCGCCACGCGCCCCAACAAGCCCGACAAATCCACCACCTCGCGCACCGCCGCCCTGTCCCAGGCTGCATCATCACACGTAACCGTCAGCCGATGCAGGGCCACCGCGCAATGCGCGAGCTGCGCCCACTGCACCAAGGAAATCCCCCGGAAGCGCGCCGGGGCCGGCGTCAGTAGGGCGGCGGAGCAGGCCTGCACGGCGCGCACGCACTGCCAGAGGTAGGCGACGCGCTCGTGGCGCGCCGACGCCGTGGTGTCGGTGCCGCTTCCGCCGCCACTGTCCGTGCCGCTGCCGGTGCTGGTGTGGGTGCCGGTGCTGCCGTCGCCGAGGACGACGTCCCGCGTGCCGGCCATGCGCGAGAACTGCGTGATCATGATGGGCACCATGGCGCTGACGGCGTGGGTCACTTCGCTGATGCTGAGCTCGGCGGCGTGGATATGGGCGGTGAGCAGGTCGCGCTCGGGAAGGGTGGGGGAGAGGGAGGTTTGGATTTCCTGGCGCTGGGTTTGCAGGGTGGTGAGGGCGATGATGGCTTGGAAGTTGGCTAGTTCTGTCACTGGGACTTGGCCTTGTTCGAGCTGTTGGTGTTGGTGGATTTGGACGGATTTCTGCGCGAGCAGTTGCAGGCGGACCTGGATGGCGAGGGTGGAGTCGGTTGGGCAGCTTCGGTCGTTGCTTATGGCGGCCAGTCCGTCGTCCATCTGTGGTGTCCATCGCAGTTCATCTATTGCTTGTCCGCAGTACGCCGAGACAACAGAGCTCAACGCAAAGCATGCCAGAACGGCGCGCTGCTGCGCCAGGAAGTCCTCTCTCGTCATAGGTCCCCCATCATCAGACGAGCCGAACCCAGGGGTGAATAGGGCCATGATGTGCGCGTCCGGGCCAGGTGGCCCGTCCACCCGTATCTCAGAAGCCAGCAAGTTTGCTTGCGACATGAGCCGTAGCAAGCTGCCCCCGTTTAGGACGTGGTCCCAGCCCCAGGAGATGTACGTTAAGAGCGCTAGTAGCAGGTCGATTCGACTCGTGCTCGACTGAGTGTCGCGTCCCAGCATGTCCTTGATTATTGCTGCCTTCAGCGCTGTCCCTCGCGTCGCCTTCTCCTTCGCCGAGGGCGACGCGACGCACATGATAGCACGGAAAAGGAACGGTCTATCGCACCGAAGTTGGTGGGCGCTAAGGGTGGCGGGCAGGTGGACAAATGGAAAGTGAGACAGCATGCAAGATCGGAACGTGCCGATCAGAGTCTCGGCTTCTCTGTCGGAGACCTGTGGTTCCGGGGAGTCCGATGCGGCCACGGCTTTGAGGGCACCACCTTGGTGAGCGAGTCGGGGATTGTCATCATAATCACCATCATAGTCGTCGTCGTCTTCGGGGTGTCCGCCGTCTTGCGCTTCCAGCTCTGAGGTATAAAATTGCTGTGCGGATTCTTCCCCTGAATGAGAATTCACGCGTCTCGATTCTCTCGACTCCCTCGGCTCCCTCGACTCGCTTCCAGTTTGACTTGGTGGATGTGAACGTGACGGTTCGCCGCCAATGACATTGCGGTTCTGTAGCTGTGAAATCAGATTATCAAGCTTACCCTCTAGGTCGGCAATGCGGGATGCTGAGTTTTGTGTCTTGTCGATGGTGCGCCTCCGGATAGAATCAGACGGACGACATTGTTTGTGAAGGCGGTGGCAGCGTTGACAACCTTCACCGTCGGGGCGGGCGACGCATTTGCACTTGGCTTTGAAGCAGTTCGTGCAAGCAAGTCCGTAAGGGCCTAAATGACTAGGACCTCGCCTTTCCATGATGCCGTGATGCCGGCCCCCCTCAGGATTTGTTTGGGAAGCGATGGTGCGGTCATGGCCCGGCCCAAAGTTCGAATGGGGACCGGAATTGTCGGAGTCCGTGCCGGCGCAACAAGGAAATACCCTCTCAGCATATTGCCGACACGTAGTTCGTCTTCTAATTGGTGAGGAATGTGCTGCGGACAAAAGAAAGTCCGCCGTTAACCGAAGCTGTATAAGTCGCCCCAAATGAGACACCCTAACAGTTGTTAATTGTGATGGAATAGAAGGTTTGGTGAGCCACGGGCCAAGGGACTTAGAGCTTACATTGGCGATAATAAGCACATCATGGGTTCCAACCAGGACGACGTGATCACGCAGCAGCCCGGCGCCGGAGAGGATGGCGTGGGCAGCAGCAACGTTAACCTCGACCGACTTCCCGACCTCATGGGCCAGTTCCCCGTTCTTAACGCTTACACTCACATAACCTTTGGATTTGAACTCCCACTCGATGTCGACCGCGACGCTATTACTTCCGCCCTTCAGACCAGCCTCGATCGGCTGATAGAGCTGATCCCGTGGCTGGGATGGCAAATCGGTTTGGAATCAGGGGTACGCACGACGGTTCCCTGGCCCGAGGATACGCCCAGGGTCCTACTGCACGTCAAAAACTGCGACGACATTGTTGTACCCATGGCGCAGCTTCTTGCCGCAGGCATTCCCATCAACAAACTTGATGCCAAAGTGTTGGCCCCCTGGCCGGCACTCCCGCAACCCCACGGGCTCACAGGTCCCGTACCAGTCATCACCCTCCAGGCCAACTTTGTCCGCGGCGGGCTCATCCTCAACTTCAGCTCGCATCATACGGTGATGGACGGCACGGCCAACCTGCAAGTCCCGAAGCTATTCGCCGCCATCCTTAACGGCGATACTATCCCAGAAGCCGACCTCCAGCAGGCGAACCGCGACCGACGTGGCCTGATCGAGCTCATCCCGCGCAGCGAGCCTATGAAGGACTACTCCCACTTGCGAGGACCGCCAGGATATCGATTCACGCTCCCTGCCAGCGCGCCGATATGGTGCCACTTCAACATGCCCATGGCCTCCCTCTCCAAACTCACCAAGTCAGCGCGCGACCCCTCCCGACCCGTCAACGAAGACGACGTTCTCATCGCCTTCTTCTGGCAGCGCCTCTGCGCCGCCCGCATCGCCCGCGGCATCGCTCGGGACACGGTGTCCAAGATCTCGCGGGCCATCGACGCGCGCGTGGCGCTGGGGATCCCGCCAACCTACCTCGGCGCGCAGGTGCACATGGCCATCACGCGGCTGCCCATGGGCCAGGTGGCGTCGCTCACGCTGCTGCAGGTGGCGCAGGTGCTGCGGCGGGCGCTGGCCGACGCCAACACGCCGTGGGCGATCCGCAGCCTGGTGACCTTCATCGCGCGCGAGCCAGACCGCTCCCGCCTGCTGTACAACGGCCCCCACGACGGCAACACCGACGTCGGCGCCACGTCGAGCCTGAACATGGCCCACGCCCGCCCGCCGCATTGGGGACCGGTGCTCGGCCCGTCCCGCTTCTTTAGTCGCTCGAATGGGGCGCCTATTCCGGGGTCGTTTACAGTCTATTCGCCGGACGGCGCCGGTTTTGTGCGCATGTGTATCTGCTTGCCGGTGGATGATCTGGAGGCGTTGAAGAAGGATGCGTTGTGGAAGCAGCATACGAAGTTTGTTGGGTGAGCGGGCAATGGGGCTGGGAGAGGGTACATGAATAGGTAACAATTATATTTTCCCTCTATTATACCACCTTGACTTGTCTGTGTGTTCGATTTTGTTGATATTAAACGACGCCGGCGGTGGTTGAACCTCCTTTTTGCCCTATTAACAATAGAACAACTAAGATAAGCCCGCTAAACTGAAACAGTTGATGAGGTGCCTCTTGTCACGATGTGTCATGTGAAATTGGTGTAGATACTGGAGTCCCGGGCTCGCCTCCCGGGAAACATTAATGCCACCGCCCACGCCGGCTATGGAATCCCGTTGCACACACGTATCGCATCCGCCACCAGCGTTTGATAACCTGCTTCTGATAGAAATATTATTCGTCCCGCTCACAAGAAACTGGCACTTGGACTTTCTTGGTACAAACCCGGCGACATGAGGACCCGGGTGTTATTGGACCGGCTATCAAAGCTATCAACCACAGCTGTGGTAGTCAGTTCATCACGAGTATCTGGGCTTATGGTGCCGTATCACCCTCATTTACCGGATACACTAGCATCGGTACCAGTTACATGCTTAGAGTGGACTCCATAAGCCCGGGACAACGAGAACGAATGTATTGGTTGGCGTTCCCCCGGAGTAAGCCGGAGTTTTTTCCCGCCGTATGCACAACCATTCACCCCCTGCCGCGTTGGGATGGACGACCTCAATGTCTCGCAGAAGCCAGTCCGAGCACTAGTCCGATTGCAGAAGAGTACGGAGATAACGGCAGCATATTCCCACCCCACCCGTTCAGGGTGATATTCCGTCGCTGTCCGGCCCGGAGTCTTTGCTGCTATCTTTCTATGATACGGCGATACTATGTACACTGGGTACAAGCCAGGATCTCATGTGGCTGCCCATGTGGACAAAACATATGGGCAACCGGGAGGGACTCGCCTCAGCGTCATCCTACTAGTAGAAGAAATACTCACCTCGATGTCTGGAAATACAATGATAACACGCCCGCAACCATTGTAAATGCCAACATCTTTACTGTCACCGGTCCAGGCACGCTCTTAACCCCCAACGCATTACCTTTCTCGGCCTCCACCACCAAGTTCAACCTGCCACACAAGTCACCATGGTCGAGGGTGCCAACCAGGAGTGGTCCAAGGACCAGGAGCCCATTGCCATTATCGGCTTGAGCTGCAAATTTGCGGGGGATGCTGCCAATCCCCAGGGGTTGTGGAAGATGCTGGCCGAGGGCCGCGATGCCTGGTCCGAGATTCCCACCTCTCGATTCGACCCGAAAGGGGTTTATCACCCCGACGCCCAAAAGTTGTCTACGGTGAGTTCTGCCTAAAGGGACTGGAACTGGAGTAAAGAAAGGGGGAGGAAAGGAAAAAGGCTGGACCGCGGAACTGACAAGTGAGTGTTGTCGTAGACCCACGTTAAAGGCGCGCACTTCATAGAAGAGGACATCGGGTTGTTCGACGCCGCCTTCTTCAACTACTCGGCCGAGACTGCGTCGGTAAGAAACCCGGAGAGTAAACCCGAAAGACAAGCCAGACTGACCGAGTGATGATTTCTCTGCGCCCCGCAGGCGCTAGATCCTCAATATCGGATCCAACTCGAATCTGCCTACGAGGCGCTGGAAAATGGTAGGCGAGCACACCACTACCAACTACACCGCCTCTTTGTTATTAGCCACTAACCAACCCGTCCACAGCTGGCCTCAGCATGTCGCAGGTTGCGGGGACCAACACGTCCGTGTACGCCGGCATTTACACGCACGATTACCACGACGGGCTGATGCGGGACGAGGAGAAGCTGCCCCGGTTCCTGCTGATCGGCACCATGGCAGCCATGGCGTCGAACCGCATCTCCCACTTCTTTGACCTCCGAGGGCCCAGCATGACCATCGACACGGGCTGCTCCACGGCCCTCGTGGCGCTGCACCAGGCCGTGCTGGGGCTGCGGGCGCGCGAGGCCGACATGTCCATCGTGGGCGGGTGCAACCTGATGCTGGCGGCCGACATGTTCAAGATGTTCTCGTCGCTGGGCCTGGTGGGGCCCGACGGCCGGTCCTACTCGTTCGACTCGCGCGCCAACGGCTACGGCCGCGGCGAGGGCGTCGGCACCGTCGTGATCAAGCGCCTCAGCGACGCTCTGGCCGCGGGGGACCCCATCCGCGCCGTCATCCGCGACACTTACCTGAACCAGGACGGCAAGACCGAGACCATCACCTCGCCCTCGCAGGCCGCCCAGGAGGCCCTCATCCGCGAGTGCTACCGCCGCGCCGGCCTCAGCCCGCAGGGCACGCAGTACTTTGAGGCCCATGGCACGGGCACGCCCGCGGGTGACCCGATCGAGGCGCGAGCCATTGCGGCCGTGCTGGGCGGGGGCCGCACCGAGAAGCTCCGCATCGGGTCGGTGAAGACAAACATCGGGCACACTGAAGCGGCCTCGGGGCTGGCCGGTCTGATCAAGGTGGTGCTGGCGCTGGAGAAGGGCCAGATACCGCCGAGTGTCAACTTCAAAGAGCCCAACCCGCAGCTCAAGCTAGACGAGTGGGGTCTCAAGGTGGCGACGGAGCTGGAACCGTGGCCCGCGACAAACGGCGAGCCCCGTCGCGCTTCCGTGAACAACTTCGGCTACGGCGGTACCAACAGCCATGTCATCTTAGAGGACGCCGGGAGATGGGCGCCACAGCCCCTCATCAAGGCGCCGCCCAGCACCCAGGCCGAGGCCCAGAGTGATGTGCTCGTCTTCTACGGCCGCGACGAACAGGCCTGCCAGCGCATCGTAGCCAACACGCAGGAATACTTGCGCAACCGCAAGCTCGAAAACCCAGCCATGAGCGCCGGGGAGATCCTCTCGTTGATAAAGAGCCTCGCCTGGACGCTCAGCATGCGCCGCAGCCGCTTCCCCTGGGTGTCCGCACACGTAGCCACATACTCAGACGATCTCGATCAAGTAATCCGCAGCTTGGACGCACCCCAGTTCAAACCCGTGCGCATCCCTTCACGCGCGCCACGCATCGGCATGGTATTCACAGGCCAGGGCGCGCAGTGGTACGCCATGGGCCGGCGGCTGATCCACGTGTTCCCCATCTTCCGGTCGACGATCTACACGGCTCAGCACTTCCTACGCGAGTTCGGCGCCGACTGGTCGCTCATCGAGGAGCTGAACCGCGACGCCGAGACGTCGCGCGTCAACACCACGGCGCTGAGCATCCCCGTGTGCGTCGCCGTGCAGATCGCCCTCGTGCGCCTGCTCCGCTTCCTCGGTATCTCGCCGTCGGCCGTCACCAGCCACTCCTCGGGCGAGATCGCCGCGGCGTACACCGTGGGCGCCCTGACCCTGCGCCAGGCGATGGCGGCTGCGTACTACCGCTCTGCCATGGCCGCGGACAAGACGCTGATGAACGCCTCCGGAGGCGGGCCGAAGGGCGCCATGGTCGCTGTCGGGGTGGGATCCGAGGCGGCGCAGGAATTCCTGGACCGGGTCGCGAGCACCAACGGCAAGGCGGTGGTGGCTTGCATCAACAGCCCCAGCAGCGTCACCATCGCGGGTGATGAGGCGGCCGTGCAGCAGGTCGAGGATCTGGCCAAGGGAGACGGCGTGTTCGCCCGCCGCCTGAGGGTCGATACAGGGTACCACTCCCACCACATGATGCCCATCGCCGAGCCCTACCGCCAAGCTCTCCGCCAGGCCCTGTCCAGCAACAACCAAACCAGCCACAACGAGACCGACCCAGCCACCGCCGGAATCCCCGAGGGCGCGCCCTGGGCCAAGCAATACCTCGCAGCACTGAGCGCCGCGCTCGAGGCCGAAGCGCAGACCCTCCGCGACGAAGGCCCCATCGCCTTCTCCTCCCCCGTGACAGGCGGGCGGATCACCGAGCTCTCCCAGCTCGCCGACCCGGAGCACTGGGTCGGCAGCCTGCTGCAACCGGTGCAATTTGTCGACGCATTCACCGACATGGTGCTGGGCGACATGGACGAGTCCGGCACCAGCGTGGACGTCGTCCTCGAGGTGGGCCCCCACACGGCGCTGGGCGGACCCATCAAGGAGATCCTGGCCGAGGCCGAGTTCGAGGGTGTCGACGTGGCTTACATGGGCTGCCTGGTGCGCAACGAGGACTCGCACGACAACCTGCGCGCGGCGGCGCTGAACCTGCTGCGGCGGGGGGCGCCTGTCCATCTGGAGCAGCTGGCGTTCCCCTGGGGCCGGTGGCCGTACGAGCCGCGCGTGCTGACCGACCTGCCGCCGTACCCGTGGAACCATAATACCAAGCACTGGTCGGAGGCGCGCCAGAGTAAGGCTTGCCGCGAGCGCGGCCAGGAGCCGCATGAGCTG